CAATCGTTATGTCTTGATCTATGAAATGGATCATTGGTTAGGATGCCGGATCTTTTTGGATATAGAAAGCATTCTCCTTATCGAAATCTAATTGCTATATTCTCTCCATTCCATCATCTTCATCTTTCATATCTGTTCCATTGATATCTTCCTTTAATCGGGGAAGATGGTGGGCGTATTGCCCAATCGTGGAATATTTCATTTTGGAATTTCATGAATAGATTCTATATATATATATATATCTTTGTATTTTGGAATTTGATCGATTTCTTATTGGTAGATTTGTAATCTGATGCCTGAAGGAATCAGATTTCCTTCTATTCTCGATATTCTGAGGATGATTATTGGATCCTTGGTCTCCTTATCTCCCTTCATTTCTCTTCTTATGGGAGATTTGTCGGATTATTATATTCCTCATTTTCCTTCGTCTGCCATCATTTCCCTTTATCTTCCATCATCTCTATTATTTCTTTGATGGATCTTTGATTTTTGGGATCTTCGACGATATAGCATTTATGAATATAGATTTCTTTATGATATTCATATTCTGGATCATAAATATCGTTTATAATTAATATTTCTCATGAAGAATTGCATGAATTCTAGAATCATATACGCAAATGAGATGGATTCTTGGAATATAATTTCAATAGAAAAGATTACGAAATCGGATGAATTTTGAATCTAGAATAAGTTGTTGATATTCTAATTTAGAATGGGAGATTCTCTCGGATGGGGTATCTTGTTGGCAGGCCATTTGGGAATGGAGTCGATCATTGCTTGGGCCTGTGATAGATATGGATATCGATCTTGAGCCGATCATGGCTCTCCGGGTATTGAGCCCTCACTTCCCTCATTTGAGATTGGATAGTCAGCACCGCATTACAAAGAAATAATGGAGATGATGGGAGCGTCAATAGGTGGCTATGTCGTGAAATATGAAGGAAAATCTGGATCTTCAGGCATCAGATTTAAATCTTCAGAACGAGGTCTCAGAAACGAAATCCTATCCATCAAAGGATAAAAAATTAGCATCCTCAAGAGGCTTCTATTCGAGAATATCCCAAATGAGATCTAGAAGAAAGGGAAATCCTTCCGAGGAATAGATAGATATCCAATCAAAAGACGAAGAAAAGAATGGGATCTCCATCCCCCAAAAGAAAATATCCACCACCACCCCGAATTAAGCCAGGATAAGGAGATCCTCGATGAGAACGATAAGAAAGGCATATTATGAATAATGAATACGCCCTTCAAATCAAAGCATCAACGACTTCCGAACTCGGCCTGGCAATAGAGATGCGAATGGATAGATCCATAATATATCATCCTCAATCATCGAGATTTGGCTCAGGCAGGCTACGGAAAAATGAAGTGCATACCTTCTCGGGGGGCGATGGTCCAGGCGAAGTTGCTAGGCTGTTGGTTGCTGGCTTGCAAAGTCAAGTGGGTCGATGGTTGATTTGGGGTCATCCCTAGTATTTATTTATATCCGGTGCTCCCGTCAGTACTGGCGCCAGCGGCGAATGAGCCGCTGAGTGTGGCTACGAGCTACGTTGAACGAAAACGTGGTCGTAATGATATTGGGGAGCGTTGTGCTTCAGCTAATTTGGGTTATGAACCTATTGTATTTGAGAGCTTTGGGGGAATCGAGCAAGGAGGCATGACTCTTCTGTCCAGTCTTTGTGAGAAGGTTGATGCGTAATTGAAACGACGGCATGGAATGTCAAGGAGTGATTGCTTGGCACGCTTGTCTTTTGATCTGCAACGAGGGCTCCACGGTGCTTTGAATGCACAACGTAAGATACAGATGGGAAGTCTTCAGGTTGCTGAGTCTCTTGAAATTTTCTTGCACTTGTGCTTGGAGTGATAATGCTAAATTGTGCTCCCAGGCCTTTCTTTTGCGAGGTTGCGCTACGCCTCTGCGAGGTAGCTTTGCTGCTGGCCGACGCTGAGCAGATTTGTAAATAGATGCTTGACACTCTCATACGATGATTTCGCTTGATTGGCTGCGGCGCCGGTGCGCTGCAAATTGATAAATTCTGGAGCCGCTTTGGTACGTCTGTTGTTTGGGCTCCGTGCATTCCCGTAATTCGGGGTGGTGGTGGGTCTTTACCAGTGGGAGTGTATGGGGTCTTTGATTCCGCTGGCCTTGTCTGCGGCTCCCGGATGGGAAGAGCATAAGCCTCTTTGATTTATTTTTTGGGGGCAGAAGTCTCTCTTTCAATTTTTATTCTGAATTTCTATGAGGGATTCATATATTCTCTTCGTGATGAATACAAATTTCTCCTATAGAGATTTCTAATTGGTGCTTTTGGGCGTAGAAGTCGCTAGTATTTATTCAGATATTCGTTTATCCAATATTATAGTTATTAATTCCCTTTCTCTACGATTTGGGTTGGATATTCTGGAGAATGATGGGGAATATCCTTTCATATGCAAGCTCTCGATGTTTTGAGTATCTCTTGTTCTTATCCTCCGGTTATCTCGATCATGATTGATTCGAAATCAAATTGTTATATATGATATCTTGTCACTTGATTTCTATATACGTAACCGCAGGATTGGCCGGATCCAAAGATTGTCGCCCAATCGCCACCACCATATATGGAGACACCAATACGAAATCTAAAATTATCGGAGAGAATCTCTGCCATTCATTCTGCTTCAAAAGGGGAATTGACAGCAATAAGATATCCGCCGGGCGATATCCCTCGGCGTTCGGCAAGAGCCGCCCTGATTCGAATTTGGATAGATTTCCCATTGCTCGTATAATGCTAAAAATCATATTATGTAGGATACAATGTATACGCGAATTCACCAATCTATCTGCAAGTCATGCTATGACTTTTATGCCAAGAATACGATAGAAATCAAGGTAGTAAATCGGTCATCACTAAATCCATATTGACAAGACGAACCTCGGTTTACATCCAATATAGTATCTCTTTCATATTTGGACGATGTCGGGCCAATCATAGATCGGATGATGCGGACGGAGAAATCATTTCCAGATTCCTCGAAGGCTCGTCTTGATGATTCGATAGGATTTGTAAGATGATTTCTCTCCTCATAATTTCGTCATGAGAATCATGTCATTCATTGATATATAGAGTATTAATCCCAATATCTTAATCCATTCAATCCATAATCAGAAATATCATTCCCATACGAGAATCTTATATTCCCAGAAATACGAAATTAAAAAAAAATCAATTCGTCATTTCGAGATTCCCAATCGTACATTAAAAAATCCACCGTCCCCCCAATTCACCAAGAATCTTGAGAAAACGAAATCCCAAAGCCAACGCGCATACACACGATCAAGACGAAAATTCTTTACAAAGGGAAGATTCATGCATTCCAAAACCTAACGATTTAGCAGCCTTGACGTCTAATCGTCACTCACCCGCAAAATCAGTAGAGACGATACCATTAACAATTTCATTAACCCTAGCTACGCCTCCGGGGCCACCCCGTTTTCGACCCCCACGCCGAACAACAGCCGACTGCGCCTCCAACCAAAGACCATAACGATCGCCTGCCCGCCACGGAACTGCGCGAGAGAGAATGTCTTGATCGAAATAAGAAAATGATCAGAAAAGAAAATAAATTGAAGCGGATAATTTTTGATTTTACAATCGTTTTTTCTTCTCAGAATATTTCTTTATTATAGGAATATTCATATTTTCTTCCGGATTATTAAGGGACATTTGGCCATTGAAGCACAAGACTTTCAAATGATATGACTAGAATGTGTAACTTGGGTGCCACGAATAAGGGATCGGATTCGAATCTTTATACTTGGTTATCGGGGGATATTAGTTAGATAGATATTAGGGTATTGGAATATTTATATAAGATGATTGATGATTTCATGGATTAATCTGATTAATCATTTTGGGAATCTTCATCATTCTCATCATTATTTCGTCTTTCTGGGATGCCTCGGTAATTGGGAACGGTGGCGGCATAGCAGCCACGCAGCTGTGCCCCGGCTAACGCGAGGTGCAGTGTGGTACGCAGTGCGCAGACGGAAGGGCTTGTTCGCCCTCCTTCTGCCGTGTTAGGCGACCGATACAAGCTATCGAGTCGCCATAGACAAAATCGTCATCTAAGCCTGGGAACTCGCTAGCAACAAGCGTGCAAGGCTTCGATTAAAGAATTAGTGGCTGCCGTGGCTTTCGCCCTGCAATTATTCACTACTTCCAGCTCTTCTGCTGGGATAAACCCAGTCTCCCTTCTGCGGTTTTTTAGGCGACCGATACAAGCTATCAGCTATAGTCGCCATAGACAAAATCATCATCTAAGCCTGGGAACGCGCTGGCAACAAGCCTGCAAGGCTTTGATTAAAGAATTAGTAGCTACCGTGGCGCGGCTTTCGCCCCGCAACCATTAACTTACTTCCAGCTCTTCTGCCGGGATAAACCCAGTCTCGCTGCCCGCTGGGCCTCCCTGGCCTCAAGAGATTGTCCACAGCCCACGCGCAGATAGAAACCAACGAAGATCACGATGAGAGCACACCTTGCTTCCGGCAAGCGAGTCAAAAACAACGCTTCGTTGTCAAGTTCCGCGGAAGGGTCTTGAGATGAACAAACGTTAAACCAAAGCGAGCTGCAAGTTCAAAGCCGCGCTGAGTATGAAGGGCGCGTTGGGGTGGACCTGCTGGGTGAAAAGTGCAGGATTCCCGCAGGATGCCCGAGTCACCCGCTTCTGGCACTACGCAGATGTCGGCATCAAAACGTCCTTTAACGATTTTGGTTTTGCTCTCACGAAAGTTGTAGTATGTCACGAGTTCGCGAGCAGAGTTCACACGGCACAACTTACGAACCGTGCTCTCTCTTAAGAGCACGTCTGCTGAGGCCTTAAGGAGACCTCAAGCACCACTGTCGGTGCGTATTCTTTCACGTAGATTGGCTAAGGGTTGGGTTCAAGAACCTCTCTCTCTCTCTCTCTCTCTCAGCGGTATTGAAGGATTAGCTTGGGCTTTGGTCACTGGCCTGCTCATAAAGCACCATGGCCGTGAGGGTGGAGAGGGACATTCCCACAGCTTCTGCGTTGAGCTTGATCAGCTGAAGGCTTATGAAGACGTTAGCATCTCCTAAGGAGTAGTAAGTGTTGAGCTTCGTGGCGCCCTGGATGCAGGTGACATAGAGGGTTCCCATAACAACTTGGGATACGATCACCACGGGCAAGTTCGGGACAGTCATGCCCAGGCAAAGAACCACCCACCAAAGGCAGAACCAAACCAAGTTGTACGGCTTTGCCGATATGGAATACCACGCGCGAGTGGCGCCGCCAGCATCAAAGCCTGCCTGCTCCTTCTCAGGTGATGGCGGTGCGAAGCGCGCAATCAACTGCAGGATCACTGCAGCCAAGATGTCGCCGGAAGACTGCGCCACTCCGGCCCATGTCGCGGAGTGCCAGTTGTGCTGTTCCTTGAAGTAGATAGCGAAGAGGACAAACTCTGTCACGTAGGCGAAGTTGTACATGCAGCTGAACAGACCAGCCAGGAAGGCGGGGAGCCAGAGACTCCTGGGCAGCCGGCTCTGCGGACTTTCTGCCTCTGCCGACTTCTCAGCGGGCACAGGAAGTGGTGGAGGGCACATCATGAGTGAGCCACGTTGGAGTGAGCCACGCTGGTATTGCATGGAGTGCGCCCATGCCTCATGGAGACGCTTTGCCTGCAAAGAAGCTGTGGATGTGAAGAACAACCTAGCAAATTGTGCAACAGTTCTCACAATTCTCACACCTTCGCGCCTGGGAAGAGTGGCTCCCGTCGCTTACTGCCGAGACCAAGCTGACCAAGCTGAAGCGGAATCGACTATTCCTCTGCACACTATTTCGGCCGTCCTGCAGAACATCTGTGGCTGTGGGCATCTCTCCCTCAAGTCCCTTAAGTACTGCCTCTTGTTGCTCAAGCACATTGTGCAACAAGACTTGGACGCCTGGCTACCACGGCTGACGTTCGAATTGAAGCGGCGTCGTTGGCCCACTGGGCCCACAACTGCCTGCTCCTGGGTTGAATTTAAACTAACCGCCATGCTACCGTCCGACACTCTGATGAGTCTAAAGAAACTGGGCAGAACCAAGAAAATTCAACCCATCCGAGTCACCGCCGCCTCAGGGCTCAGAGTGTTGGGTGCATGCCTCAGCTGCTCCCATGGCACGGTTGAGAGAATCTTCGTTTGCATGCCTGCTTCAAGCATGGCTCCGTGCCGAACATGCTTCAATGAATCCTGCACGCCGCCTTGATACCAACAGCTTCCATCAGCCTTCTTGAGCTAAAAATGCTAAGATGCTGGGGTCTCTCCGCAGCAGATGCCGGGACGACTTTCTGAGTGTCGCTGCCTCCCGTGGAGGAGCGAGGTCGATTCCGCAGAGCCGTATCGTCCTTGCGCTTTGGAATCGGGGTCTAAAACGCGCATGCTGGTTGCTAACACCTATCTCGATGTTGCACTCCTGAATGAAGTAATGAAGTCGGAAGGAGCTGCGCATGAATGTCCGAGATGAGGGATGGCAGGAGAGCAGGAAGGGCTACCGTTAAAAAGGATGAGAGCAGCTCATGCATGAAGTCCTCACGAAAGTCAGAAGGTTCAGCATCATCTGCAAAAACCGGTCTCCAAACAAGACCACCCTTTTGCCACACTGTGAGACGTTTGAGTGCTTGAAGGCCATCGTGCTTCAGGGGGTCAGGTTGCATAAGGAATCCTGCCAACATCTTCGTTTTGGTCCAGAGATTCCCAATCTTCTTGTAGAATGTACGAGCTGGCGCGCGTCGAGCATTTAAGGCGACCTTTCTAGACGATGGTCCCTTAAGGAGTTGCTCTTTCCTAACCTACTACCTACTCATCACTATTGATTTGTTTTGGATACGAGAAATTGATTTGCATGTCAGTATAGTCAAAGAGGATCTCGTGAGCTTCGATCGGTTTTTGATTTGTGAAGATGCAGCTGCTGCTCCCTCAGTGCGGCCACGCTAGATGCACCGCTTCTGGATTCACGCAGATGGCTGAACATGTTCACCTGGACTTTTGTCTGGGCAGGTAAGGGTTAAGAGCAATGTGCCCAACGCTGCAAAACATGAACATATCTCGGCTGCTGGGCTAGCCACCGAGCCCATGTCAAAAGGAAACCTCAAACACAACAAAACATGATCAAAACACAAACAATTTGAAAGCCTCAAGAAGTGTGCATGTGAAGCTGTCGTCACGTATCTGTACTTTGACAAAGCTGGATTTGCGACGACGAGTGCACGTGGAAGCAGTATGGGGCCCCGTTTTCAAGGGTGCGAGTGTTGTTGGCACTGAGAAGGAACCTGTGGTGGATTCTGACAGCGGGGATGCCGCCAGAGATCTAGCCGAGCTTTGCCGGAATAGCCACGAAGGTGCCGATGGTAGGTGTACAAACCGGCGTAAGAATCTTCGAGAATCTTTGCCGGCTGGATTCAAGCGATGCGGCTACCTCGCGCAGACTAGACTACTCTGGAGGAATGTCCTCGTTGTGACTTCCGTCTGAACCGGGGACAAAGTGAACAAAGTGCTCAAAAGGAACGGCTTTGTTATCAAGGCCTAGAAGGTAAAGAAGGTAAGGGCGCCAGATCGGTACACCTGCAACCGAGTCTCGAGGTCCAGTTGGAGCCCCCTACCCTATGCTTGTTCAGAGCAAGAAAAGAGAAGAAACAGAAATGAGGAGGGTGGAGAAACAAAGGCCGTCCAGCAAGTTACCGGGACCGTTCCATGGTTGCTTAAGGTCGAGTGCGCTTCTGTGCAAGGTGTGGCCAAGCGGGCCGTCCTGGTCGAGATCTTCTGCAACTGCGCCAGGAAGACTTTGCTCGGTGGGAGGCACCGCCACTACGCGTATGGACGGGCCCGCCGATTCCGACCCGGGCAGCACAGAGCTCATCTCAGCCTCCTCGAAATCCTCTGTGTGGCATCGGCGGTGGCATCGGCGGCATAGGTCTGCGATGCTTTGGTGCACACATGGCTCCACCACGAGCACGCCACACACGACCACTTGTAGGCAGAAGTGCGCGATGACTATGCCAGGCCAACGGGCCAGGTCGTAGATGGCCCCACCAATCGTGGAGGCACTCGCGTAGCCCAGCACATAGCCTAGACTGTATGCTGAAACCATGAAGAGTCTGCGCTGCTCTTATTACACCAAACCGCCTAGAAAGTCCAAATTGCTAACAAACGGAGGCCAAAGAGCACTGCAGCTGTGCAGAGGTTGCGTAAGTGGCTTCGCTCTCTGACTCTGAGAAGTGGAAGAAGACAATGGCATCATTGGTGAGAACAGCATCGAAAGCTATGCTCATGAAAATCTGCAAAGCCACGTAGCGCTCCTCTGGCACAAGGAGGCAAAGTGCGACAGTCAATGGTGGCTCAGTTGTAGCTAGTGTGGGATTCGTTCGTCAATGTGCAGAAGAACGTGTGGTGATGAGGCTTCTGAGTGTTGCAGGTAGTACTGATTAGCAACGTCATATGGGCGCTGCGGGGAGGCAAGACCTCTATTTGCCACCTCCCGTGAAAAGCAGGTCATTTGAGCATCAGCCCCCCTCAGCGCCGGTACCTCAAGCGCTCCTCCTGCACAGTGACCAAGGCCGGCACCAGACAGCCAAGATGCACAATGTTGATCAACAGGGAGAACCATGGGCCGAAGAAGTTCGAAAGCTGAGCCATCACGAGCCTGGCCAGCGCAGACACGAGGCCAAGCAAGCCGAGGCGCCAGAGCGGCCATCCTGGTGCGGCTTAAAGGCTTTGGGATGGGGGGGAAGGCTTAAAGGGCCTTGATAACTTTTTCACATTGCAACTCTCAGGGGATTAAGGGGATTAAAGAGGCGGAACCCATCCTCAAGCATGCGACTTCGACCTTTCGTCCCACTAGGAGTGCTGTCCTTGCTCTTGGTAGTGCAAGGAGTTCGCCGACCAGAGCATGCTGCAAAGAAGGCCGTTGCACACGGGGAGCATCACGCAGATGAGCAGGAACTTCACCCTGACGCAACAGCACCCCAACTCTTACACATGCAGCCGGATCAATGTCAGCTCTCGATAGCAGGGGGTTTTAGAGCGCGGACGGTACTTGAGTCACTTTTGGATCATGAAGCAGCGATGTCCCACCCTCACATCCAGAACAGCGGCCTGGACCGGCAGCCCTTCCGCGGAGCGGCTGTCTCTATGTTCTTGATGTCCTGAGCAGCCGCTGGCACGGCTGAGTCTCCTGGTGCATGGAGCTTCGGAGCATCTGCCGTACCGCTTTCGGTAGCGCCTGCCATTGGCCCAGGCCTGAATGCAACTACTTCTTGTGAACAGCGAAGTCTGGGCCACGCAGGCTGCAGTATACTGGGGCCATGTCATGACGTCGTGCACTGCACTGGCCATCCGCATGTGCCCCCGCATGTGCCCTTGTGTTTGGGGAGGGGGGGTTGACCAGGGTAAACGGGTTTGGATGGTAAACGTCGAGACACTTCAAGCAAACATCCAAAGCAGGAACCAGAGAAGAAAACTTGGCAGGGTTCTAGGATGCTAGGCTTCTAGCCTCGAGCCTTGGCCCGAAATTGGCGCCGTTTAGGGTTTTAGGGCCTAGGGTTTCAGGGGCACATGGCAATTTCATGGCTGCGTTCTGACGCCTCTTCCGTGCTTGCAGGGGTGAAACTGCCATCCGAATCGGCTACTTTCGGCTTCGGAAAGAACTGACATACACGGAGGAGAAAGGGCTTGCAGCCCTCGGCGAGCTCAAGCGCTTGAGTCTGCAGCTTTTTGGTGATGTGGTCCATGTTGACTTTACCTTCACTCTGTGTCCACAACTCTTCCAGAATCTGCCTGGTTGCTCTCAGTGGCACTTTTTCACCATTGATCTCCTTCGCCAGGAAGCGCTTGGATGTGTACCTTGTCTTTGAAAGCTACAAAAACAAAGGGAACAGAGCTGCTTACTTCACGAAAAGCGACTCATGGTCTGCATCACTTTTGAACACAAAGGTGCGTGGCAACAGTGCACGCGGAGTCCTCATCCTCTGTTGAGAAGTGATGAATCAACCAGATCAGATCTGCCAAGAGCTTCAAGTTTTCTTCCACACCGAGCCTCACTTTCCATGCCATTCGGTCCGGCTTACAGGTCACCCTTCAACGAAATGGAGGGTTCCTAGACGTACCCACAACCCTGTGCACTGAAGCCCCAAAGCCCCAAATCGCCACTGCACCTCCCAGTCCGTCCGAGCCCCATGCGGACCCGGCATCACCTTGCCGCGCTGATAATCATCTGTAGAGAAAGCGCACCGGAGACGCAGGCGGTAGCCGAAGTGCCAACCCTGAAGGGCTTAATTAGGGCGGTTTAGGATTGAGGTCGCGCCCCCTGATTGTATACGGCAGCTATTTGCAAATCGCCTCGGCCTCCCTAAATGCTCCCACCGAAGCTTCGTTTGGCAACAAACCCACGAGCACAATGCCCAAGCTTCGTTTGGCAAGCACTCAAACACAGGCAACAGGCGCACTGAAGGCCTTGTGCAAGCTGCTGACACTGCAAGCCTTCGCTTGTAAGTCAAGGCAAGCAAGGTGCACCGCTTGGACCGCCGACGATCGCCGACGCGCGCGTCCAGTGGCTTGGGCTCGCTCGGCCGCCGAGGCAGAGCTTGCGCGGGCAAACGTTTAGAGTATTTTGGAACTACAGTGGCCTCGGAAGACAGCTCCTTCAAGAAAGAACATCGCAAGCTTAGGATTCATATAGGGGCTTGGTGGGGCACGCGATGGAATTCCCACATGGTTTCGGAAGCTTTGGGAGAAAAATTCGGAACCCCGATTCCGAAAAGCCTGTCCTCTGGGTTTTTCGTCAAAGTGAAGTGGTCCAGGGAAGTGCCTTGATACGGCCGGGAGCAAGTCTCATTGAGGTACCGCCTTGGCTTTGCTAGGAGGATCAAAGACACTCGCTTCTGTCTGATGCATTGAAAAAGAACGTTATATGTATACATACATACATACATACATGCATACATACATACATACATACATACATACATACATACATACATACATACATACATATGCAAATATGTATATATCCATATATACATAGATATACAATACAATATGCATGTAAACAATCTGTACATCTCTTTACAGGGCCTCTTTCCTCCGAGGAGGCGCATGGTGCTGGCGAGTGCTGCGCAAGCATACAGCTTGGCATCGTTCCTCATCAGGACGCCTTCCTTGAAGTCATGTACTTTCAGGAAGTCTGCCAGCGAGTAGAAGTCCTCGAAAAACTTCTGGACTCTGGAAAGCCCAAGCGCCAACCCCAAAATCCAGACCCTAGCGGGCTATCGAGCAAAGTCCGAACACTCAAAATGGACAAGGGATGAAACGTGAATGCCGCAAGGAAAAACAGCAGTGCAACAATACGTTGGAAAGGGAGCAACATTGAGTGAACTTGATGGTGTACACTCACTCCAAACCCTGAACCACGCACACACGCACACATGCGCACTCCCACGCACACACGCACACACTCACGCACGCACGCACGCACGCACTCTCCAAAGCATGTTCCTGAGTTCAACCAAGGAGCCTGGGGCGTGTAGAGCAAGCCCACGGCCAGGCGCGTCGAAAGAGGCTTGTCCCGGCTATCTACCACAACCGCCTTTGCAGGGCTCGAGGGTTTTTAGGGCTTCAGGGCTTCAAGCTTCGGGCCTCTACAGAGTTCAGGGATTCGGCCGGTTTGAGGCTTCGGGTCCCCCCCAAGGGCCTTGACTTCGACGAAGGAGTCGGTGTTGCCCCGGGCCCACAATTCCACGTGCTTCAGGACCCCCAGGGCGTCCTCACAGCCATGTGCCCCTTTCCCCATCCCCCCTCTGAAGAATCCAACGCAACGTCCCCCGACCCCCCTTCTTTCTTGCCAGGAGGCGAGGGGCGCCGGAAATTCCAAGAGTCGCAGGGGATCAACTTGCGACTCTTGCTCCTCATCCAGGCCGGCCAAGGTCGCGTCGTAAAGCCTGTCGCCATTCTCCTGAGTGAGCGGGTTAAGGACTGGCTTCAGGGTCTCGGGGCTTGGGTCTGTTGGGGGATGTCTTCACAAAACAAAAACAAGAAGCTCGAAGCTCCGTTCCCAAAGCTTTGAACTCCAACATCCCTCAGCTCTGAATCCCTCAGCTAGCTCGTCCTTAACAGAATGTGGCGGTTTGGGCCTCAGAAAGTTCAACCCCAAAACCTGGAGACCCGTAAGGCGGATCAGAATCGAATATGTAGATCGGCTCGGAGCTCTTCCTTCGGAACTCCTCCGGCTGACCCTGCCTTGCGTCTGCGAACGTCAGCCATGCTGTCGACATAAGGCTAGAGGCTAGTAGACTTTAGGGGTTTTAGTGTTGGGGGGGAGCACCAAACAACATAGAATACCTAGAACCCAGAAGCTAAGTATGTCAACCCCCAACTCGCCAGCACAAGCTCTAAACCCTGTAAAGCCGCCACTCTGCGAATTCAAGTTGCGGAGTGCTGAACTCCTGCTCCTCTGGGGTCGTCGGAGACCTCCACTGGTCCTTCAGGACCTCACGCACACATGCGCCAGGGCTTCCATTCTTTCAGCCGAGATGGTTAGGGTTTGGGTCCTTATTACCATTTGAGAACCATTGTAACCGTCATGACTCCTATAACAGCTATGTAGGCAATATATACTCACTTTAACCATTATCAACCACAAGTGAGCGTGCAACTTGTATGCGCTTTATATCCCGAAAAAGCCTTACAACCTTTGTAGCCTTTTGCAAACTCTAGAATCTGTATAGCCTACTTCATGTTTATGACTTTTAGTTTTTTGCCGTTAATTACAAGCCATACTTCGAGCTGTTGGAAGCTTTAGAACCTACACCTTGCAACGGCTCCCTGTGCCTTGGCCAGCCGGGAGGTCTTCAGCATTGTGCAGAACTCCCTGGCATCTAACGCCGAGTCTTTGTCCTTGTCGAACTCCCGCATGAGTCCGCTGGCCTCCCCAAAGCTCGACGTTGGGTGAAGCGAGAACTCAACTTTAAGAAAACCCTGAGCCTGGAATATTTTGTCGATTCTGAACCTCCTCATCCCACAGCAAGATTCCGGAGCAGGCGCCACCTCTTCTTCAATCATGTCCTCGAAGACAGGTGTGCTCGTCCACAGGTATAGCTCCGACAGGAGCGGGCGGAACTCACCAGCACTGATGGTACCTCGTCTTACCGCGATAGATAGCTGCAGCTTATCAAGATTGCGACGATCGATGTGGTAGACTTGGGTCTAGGGTATGAGGCTCTCGAAAATGAAGGCATCGTGGTCGGGGCTGGATATATGTATATGGGATCCATATATATATATATATATGTATCTACTAAATAGATATGTAGGCACACCACATAAACAGACACCGATAAACACAGAACTGTATATGCAAAAAGGAACGGAAAAACCAGTGATAAACTGGGGCAACCTCCATCTCCCTCCTTCTGCATCTCGAGGGATCAGCGCCATGGGGCTTAGGGTCAGGGCTTAGGAAATCTATAGGGGCGCTGTATACACCCCAAACCCTAAACCTTACAATCCAGCTTTGAAAAACAGGCCGGGGGACCGCTGCCATCGACATCGGCCCGGGCAAAGAGCGAGATCACCTTGGAGAGTCCCAAGACTTCAAACCCCCAAAGTCCTGAAGCCCCGCGTCCGAAACTGCCCCTAAAAGCCCCTAAACGCCCCAAAAGCCAGCCCGGGACTCAAGCTCTTTGGGCTTCGTTGCGCATCACGGCAGGGCCAAAGAAGCCCCTCTAAAACCTGAGCCCTCCGTAACCCTGAAGGAGCAAGCCTCCCAATGCCTCGAGCCAACGAACCACGAAGAGAGCCTTCTAGACCCCAAGCCTCGAGACGACGCGGAGGATAACAGCCTAATCACCAGAAAGGGTTTAGGGTTTAGGGTTTAGGGTTTAGAGTTTAGGGTTTAGAGTTTAGGGTTTAGAGTTTGGGGTTTAGGGTCTAAGGTTCCCATAAACCTCCCTAGAAATCTTGTTCAGGCTTCGGGGGGCTGAAGGGCTTCCTTCCACCGGTCAGGCGTCTTCCTCCACCAACTCGCCACAGAAGTTCTCTGCCAGCTGCTCGCGCAGGGCTTCGGCAGCTGCCATTTTTTCTTCGGCTCTCGCTAGATCACGTTCGCTTGTTGGGAAATCCCTGCTGTTGTAACAGACCCTTGTCTCTTTAGAGTACCCAGACAAGCCCCTCATCAAGAGGCCTATGTTTTGGACATTCGGGTTTCAAGGGTGTTTCTGGCTTTTGAGACGTTGCGGAAGGAATACCTGCATCAAAGTCTGGACTGGGATGACCTCGTTGTGGCTCATTCTTGAGCATGGTTGAGGGATCAATCGAAGCGCTTGGGCAGTTGCGAGCTGGCTTGTGGCCAGAGGTTTAAGGCTTGGTTGTAGGTCCCAAAAAGCCCCAATATTGGAACCGTCCCACCTGCGTTAGTGCTACCTCCACTGTCTTCACACCCAAGCGGGACTCGTTTAAGATTATCAAGGGGTTCTGCTGTTGTTCTTTCTAGAGCCACTATTGCAAGCAATGCTGCTAGTGCCTCGCTTCCTCTACATTAACCTACTGTCGTGTGAGTTCGGCGCAAAGGCTAGCAGCTAGCAACGTCCGATTGGGAAGGGTTCGCTGCAAGCAGTCCAACCCTAAACCCATCGCTCTCGACTTGTCGAGGGGCCCTTGACCACTTTCAGGGTGAGCAGTATTCCAAACCTGGCTGACTGAAACTCGAAAGCCCATGTGCGCTCGCAAGCTACGCCCGACGGCGCCGATGCACACTGAACACCACAGAGCCCTTTGTCTCCGAACTTCGAAGCAGGCATCAGGCCACGTTGAGAGCTGCCGTAATTCGGCCTGAGCTCCGTGCGCCAAAGCCCTGAACGCCTGATCGACCTCTGAAACCGAATACTTCAGGGGACAACAGCACCTGATGAGGTCTTGCGGTCTTACTGTGGGCGCTGTTAAGGTCTGGGGCTGCTTCGGCCCCGAAACACACTGAAGTCGTAGAAGTTCATATGTAGCATGGGCATTGTGAGCAGCCTCATATTTATGTGATTTATGTGTGTATGTATACGCATAAATTCATATCTATACAAACATACTTGGCACAACTTTAAGGGGACAGTCTTGGTAACTCTTTGGGCTCCTGTACTACTTGTCTCGGATCGCATCTAGGGGTCGAGGATTGCAAGGCATCCCACATTTTCGTGGGCACACGGCTTGAGGTTTAGGATTCACGTTTCGGGATTTAAGGCTCTTGCCTCAAGGTTAAGTGTTTTTGTGCGTTGTGCTTCGTAGGGCTCAAGGCCACAGAGGGGGTGCTTGGCAGGAATCGTGCCTGGTGTTCTAGCCCCTGATCATTCCCCACCTATGCAAAGTGCTCCCCCGTCTCCGACCGAGAATCCCCATTCCTGCATGTTTTACGCTGCGCACCTAAACCCGACAAATCCCCCCCACCCCTGCCTTCAGCTTCACAGCGTGGGCAATCACAATCGAAAAACCAGTGGCTCGACCTCGGCAGACTCAGAGGCTTGAGGGCACAGGCTTTCGAGACTTTCGAGTGTGAGATTTGGGGTTTCGGAACGGCCCACAGGGAAAAACACTACTGCGCAGCCCAAGGTTCCAGGCGTAGCTATCATTCTTGCCTACTATGAGGACTTGAAGGGTACGGAGCCACTATGAATTGGAGAGAGCTACCCATAGCCACGCAGTCCTAAGCCCGAAGCCCTAAAACCTACACAGCCCGAAACCGTAAGGACGACCCTTATTCCCTTGTCGGACGACCTCGATCCTTAGTTTTGCACAAAAGCTGGGGCTCTGGCAACTGCTGACGCCGCTCCTCTCCTGGCCTCGGGGCGGGCATAATCTAAAGGAGGGTTTGCTTTGGGGTGTAGGGCGGTGGGCCAGTTTGGGCGAAGGTTCGAGACGAGAAGCCTTAACCAAGATTAGGGCTCTCTCAGGGCCATAGGGGGCTACAAGGTTTGGACAACTTCTGCGGATTACCAGCCCAAAGAAGGGGGTGGTGTTTGCAAAACGTATGATGGAACTGAAGCTCACATCTTTGTATTGGGTCACCGGGAGGGTGAGCCAGGGAGTCCTATGAAGCACGATGTGCCACGTGCAATGTGGGATTTTGGGGTTTGAGGAAGATCAAAGATCAGAAGCCATGAACGCACAACCCAAGAGCAGAACCCAAGCATGACGTGAATCATGCCAACATCGTCATGCTTGCAAAGCCAGGTGAGAAATGGTTTAGTTCACTGGGTGGTTTTTGGAGGGCTCGCACACTGCACCAGCACGGAACTGCATGGCTCCCAAAACTCTCGAATTACTGTGGCCCTGCGGAGAAGGGAGTTCGCCAAGGTCTGAATTGGAGATTTCCACGACTGACAACATGCAGGCGAAGGTCCAGGCCACACCCAACAGCGCCTCATCTTCCCAGGCACGCAGTTCGACAATAGCCTCATGCTTTCAGGCTACAGCATCCAGAAGGGGTCGGCCTTCAACCTGGTGCTCCGCCTGTGCAGCGGCAATCGGCTGACCGGAATGACCATCACCACTTGGCCCCTTCTGGCATCCGACACGATCGCCAGTGGAATGGAACGTATGGAGTGGTCCAGCATGGCGGCCACTACCACACCATGCATGCGATGTGTACTGTATCATCGGGGCAGGGGGGGGGCAACCAAGTATGATGGAGGAAGAACGCTATTCGGTTGCGAGTGCTTGTCAAAGATCGCAAATCGCAACCTGCTGTTGCGACATACTTTTTAACCACGCCCCCAGCTTGTAAACGCCGGGAAAGACGGGAGAGCTCGGTCCAAAAACAAACCTAAATATTCACACGGTTACTGCTACGTTTCAAGCCTTCTTCTCAGGATCATACTCGTCATGCACCCCACGAACCAAAAGCAATTCAACCCCGAAACTCAACAAAAACCAACAATCCAACAACCAAAGGTCCGGGAGCTGGCACCAGTCTGGCTCAACATATGCCAGGGTCAGTGGCTCTCCCACCTACCACAGTTGGGCAGGCCCCCGATTTCGGGCATTGAGGCTCCGGGTTCTGGAAGAGGTGTTGAAGGAAGTGACTGCACTGCTACACCCCCCCCCCTTGCCAAGACAACGCGAAGGAGGAGATCCAAGACGCACCCGAACTTCCGAGGTGCTGCCAGAGTGCAAGGCATCGGGGGCAGGGGGGGGGGGCAACCAAGTATGATGGAGGAAGAACGCTATTCGGTTGCGAGTGCTTGTCAAAGATCGCAAATCGCAACCTGCCGTTGCGACATACTTTTTAACCACGACACTTCTTTGCAGCTCGCTCTTGTATGTCCCGAAGGCCAGGCGCACCCCCAGCTTGGAAACGCCGGGAAAGACGGGAGAGCTCGGTCCGAAAACAAACCTAAATATTCACACGGTTACTGCTACGTTTCAAGCCTTCTTCTCAGGATCATACTCGCCATGCACCCCACGAACCAAAAGCAATTCAACCCCGAAACTCAACAAAAACCAACAACCCAACAACCAAAGGTCCGGGAGCTGGCACCAGTCTGGCTCAACATATGCCAGGGTCAGTGGCTCTCCCACCTACCACAGTTGGGCAGGCCCCCGATTTCGGGCATTGAGGCTCCGGGTTCTGGAAGAGGTGTTGAAGGAAGTGATGACTGCACTGCTACCCCCCCCCCCCCCCCGCCCCCCAAATTTTCACTTCTGGAAAGCAACGAAGCAGCTTGCTGGCTGCAGCCGTGGTACCTAACAACAAAAAGAGCTGCAACAGACCAGCGACTGCAATCTTCAATGTCGAAGCACCAGGAGACTTTTCGTTGTGGCACCCTGTTGTTGACGCGTTGAACAGCAACCTGCGCCGCTACATGAACAGTGCCTGATTAAACATCTTGAGACACACAGACCCTGAACAAGTCTCGGCAAGCTGGGAGGAACCTCCAGCTGTCTCGTTGTCAGCATGGATACCTGCGTAGTGCGAGCGAAGAAGACTAAAGGGCCTTGGGTTGAAGAACATGTCCCGGATTAGGGGCTTCCAATCCGGCTAACGATAAACCATTCCACATATTTCGTGGAGAGTCTTAGGGATGTGTGCTTGAAGGCTTAGGGTTGAGGGTTGCGGATTTAGAGCTTAACGTTTAGGGCATGCAAAACAGGGGCTCTCGGCTTGTCGAGAGAAGCCGACCCCCCAAACCCTGAACCCTTTTGAGGGTTTCGGGCGGAAAGTGGTGGTTGAGGACAAGAACCTCAAGGCCACTAACGAAAATCCCTGAATCCTTCACTAGGTAATACTGAGAACCAGGGTTCTGGAGGTTTTCGAACTAAATCCAAACTTTTTCCAGGGAGGCAAGTGAAAGAGGGAAATTCCCTATCATTCACCGGTTGGGAGGGGCACCTCTGCACCAGACTCCACAGTCGTCTCCAGACGCACGGAGGGTGCACAGGAGTGGTTCATGGTGCTCAGAAGCACATAGACCTTCGTTTTGCGAAGGTTTGGGAAAGTCAAAAAAGCCCCCTGAAGACCCTGCAATTTAGACAGGAGCCGCACCGAAATTCTGCCTGGCCTTCTTGAAGCCTCGAATCCTGGATGTCTACGTATCAGAGCCTAGATCCAGGCGGGTACCCTGTGCGGGCACACAAACCCTTGAAGAGAGAATGAAGGTCCCCTTCGGAACGAACGGAGAGGAATCCCCTCACCCGGCCCAAACCCCAAGCTAAACTGCAGCTAAACATTGGGTCCACAGCCAACTCTTTGTAGAGTTTTTGATCGAACAAACTCAAGAGCCCTGAGTCCTCGACCCTAAACCCCAAACCCCAAACCCTAAACCCTAAACACCAAACCCTAGCCCGTTTCAACCCCCAACTCCCGGGGGCCGAGGGACTCCCGCTGCTCGGAGGGGTGGCGCCGTGTCAGTGCCAGGCACCTTCCGTTCAAGGGCTTCGGGGGTTCTCTGGCGATAGGGGTTTTAGGGTGTCCGGCTTAGGGTGTCGGGCCTAGGGTGTAGGGTTGCAGTGTTAGGAGTGGTGCAGGGGCTAAGGTCAATGGATTTCGGATGCTCGGGGATTCAGAAGCGTTGCGTTGGCAGAGTGTTGGCGGGGGGTCAGGGTCCAGGGAGTCAAAGAGCCAGAAGGATTTTATTGTCTTGGAATTCTGAATGGTGTACAGCACGGCCTTGTGGCAAAGCCACTTCGGGGGGGGGGGGGGGGGGGGTGCCCCTATATGCCGACAGCTCAGCTCAGATGAGTCGGTATTCCGAAGCCAAGACCATGAAGGCCTATCGACGTAAACTAGGCGAGCATCTTGGACTCGCATGAGGCTACTCTTGGGAACATTCAGGCGGAGAAGAAGACCACCCCCTGCCTTGGGAAAGATAGGCCAACAGCCACGACAGGCTTCTTCACGTCTAAAGCTGGCCAAACCCCTGAACTCCCAAGAGTTTTAGGGTTTAGGGTTTAGGGTTTGGGGTTTGGGGTTTAGGGTTTTGGGGGTTTGGGGTTTAGGGTTTAGGGTTTAAGGGCTCAGGGTTTCCGAGGCTGGTGCTGTGAAGCTGGCAGCATTCAGCACGAGCTTGCCAGCCAAGGCTTCGATCGTCTCCTTCGAAGTAGGGACCATCGGGGTGTGGGGGGTTGAGGTTTAGGATGGAGGGTTTAGGGTTTAGGGTTCAGTGATGGTTCAGGCTTTAGGGTTTAGGGTTTAGGGTTTGGGGTTTAGGGTTTAGGGTTTAGGGTTTAGGGTTTAGGGCTTAGGGTTTAGGGTTTAGGGGTCAGGGAACCGTGAGGCGTGTAGGCCTGAGGTCCAACCCGACAACATGGGAGACGTGGACTTACCACTGGCCCTTTTAACCATGGCATCCGAGCAACCAACAGCCCACCTTGCCTCCCAAGATGAAGGGCTAAGTATAAGCTACGGAATGCCTGTGTGGGTAGATGCAGTTTGAGGACCACAGCTTGCGCAATGTCCATGAAGGCTGTGGATTCCGCAAAGTTCTCTGAACGATGTTGCCACTTTTCGGGTACGCTAGGGGCCCTGCCTTAACCCCGAACTCGCAAACACCACGTGCAGTTGCCCTACCATCGATGTCGGCGCCTGTCCGCAACTAGATGCACCACTTATACCTCTGGCCCTGCCAGCCCTTAGCTAAGCCAGGTGACTAGTTTATAGGGCCTGGGTTGCCCCAGCAGCCCAACGCCCTGCAAATTTTAAACCGCCTGAGTGGCAAAATAGGCTCTCTTTTTCTCGCGTGGCTGCTCACAACGCTTTGGCGAGTCCGGCTGCACCTGTGAGCGACCCTTGGGTCGACTAGGGTTTTGGGTTTAGGGCTTTGCGGCTTCGGGGTTTACAGGGCTCGTACTTCCTTCTGGGCAGGTTCACTTGTTGTTCACTGAGGCCCTACTCTTACCCTAGAACCCTGCGCCCGAAACCCCTAAAACCCCAAAACCCCAAAACCCTGAACCGCCTGCCGCGCCCGCGAGGCCGGATGCCGCACCCATGACACCACCCGCCATGCCGGCGATTCCTCCGGACCTGAGAAACGGCCCCCTAAGACTCCCAAAACAAGATCAAGAGCACGAGGGTGGCACCCAAGTCCCAAAACCTTCTGGCCCTAGATCAATACGCGCCGTAACAGGGCAAAAGCCCTTTGAGGGCTTACGTTTTATCATTTTCGTATGAGGTTCGGGGAAATGCTCCGACAAAGTTCTGAACTTTAGCATCAAGCCGGGCAAGACAACACCCGCCGAAGGTTCCCTCATGCTTCCAAGGGCCAAAATTGCCCTGACGGATTCTTCAGTTCACTAGGAGGCCTTCATTTGGGGTTTAACGCAACAGTCTCGGAATTAAGGGCAAAAAACTTCAAGAAGAACCGACCCATGGGTCCCACAGCCACTGTACTGAAAATCTCAGAGAGAAAGAGCTCCAAAGTTCTCCCCCCCAAAAACCTCCCCTTCCTATCAGTTTGAACAGCCCTGCACCCTAAACCCTATATAAACCCTAAACCTAAACCCTAACCCTAAACCCTAAACCCTCAAAGCTTACCTCAACCCCCCCTTCGACGCCGTCCAGTGGCGCCGCGTCCCCGTCCGACGGCCCGGGAAGCGGGGGCGAACCGAAGAAGTCGTGGACCTGCTCTTGTTGCTTTTGGTGGTGCTTTTGGTGTTGCTTTTGGTGTTGCTTTTGGTGTTGCTTCTGGTGTTGCTTTGTGTGATGCTTTGTGTCATGCATGCTTAGGGTTTTTGGGGAATTTTTGTGAGGGCTTTCGAGATACAGGCTGAGGGTGCGCATGGCTTCCGCGGGCACGAGGTGTAGGGTTGCGCTGTTGCAAGACTTCGGGTGCCTTTGGCCCGTTAGAATCATGCTTCTCAACAAGCCACTCGGGAAAGATGCAAAGGTGCCTGCAAAACAGCCACAAAAGTTGGCGGCACTAGGCAGTGGATGAACCACTCATCCCTACATGATCCTCCTTGCAGGAACGCCCGCCACACCCGCGTGAGCTTCCCTGCCTACAGACCTTTTTACTCAAGTCTGATGCATGGCCGATGCAGCACCCCGGCACCCTCACCCCCACGGCCTCGTGCCAACATCTTACAGACACTTCACACACATCCTACATCCTAGACCATCAGGCCAAACCCTCTCCGAAGGCCCGTAAGCTTCGGCCTTCCAACGTCATACCCGGCCCTCAACCTAATTGCCCCACCTCGCGCCCAGCAGGCCCGCCCGGTTCGGAGTAGGGGTCTGTCAGGCTCAGGAAAGGGATCATGTTTGGGGCTGCAACGTGGTTTCGGAATTTGGGTGGGGGATTCTGGGTCGAGGAGGTCTCAGAGTCTCTTCTTTCCATCATGCCATCCAAGCCCCGAAGCCTGAACCGCTTTTGCAGACATGTAGCGGCCCATAAAAGAAGTCTTTCGCAGGGGTCGCAGGGTTTACAATTAAGAGTTTATGAAGAGGAAAAAACAAAAGGAGAGCAAAAAACCCTTAGAATTGCATGTGCTGAAAACGGGCTTTTGGCGAAAGGTTGAATGGATTCGTGCCTTACAGCCATTTAACATAGTGAGCTCAAACGGGATGGTAACAAGACTATTAAAATGAGGCCCTTTAAGCGATGTGAGCGGGGCTGACGAGCCGAAACAGGCTCCCCCCCAAACGGCGGCCAACGGCGGAAGGCTTTGTCTTAAAAAGGTGTGGCTCGGGCCTGTTCGTTTAGGCCACCCCTCAAAAAACAACACTCCCCCGCCCCCCCTTCCCTGCCCCAGAAGGAACCTCATGTTTCCAATTTCGCAGCGATTTGGGGAGTTTTGATACTCGGGCAAGTAATTCACTGCTGCAAGCATGGCCTGCCAGGCTGAGGATGGAGTTTGGCCCTGCCGCCACGCGTTCTTTCCTGCTTTCAACACATTGTCGCACCAGCTTCAGGTCTAGCATACTTAACCCTGGGGCGGAAGAAGGGTGGAGAATCTTTGCAGGCAGTGGTTTTTTTTATGCTGCTGCTTGATTACGGTTCAGGCTTCAGAGTTTCGGGGTCGAGGCTTATGTTTGCTTTGTCGGGTGCCCTGGGGGGAGGGGAGGGCCGGAGTTGCGCTTGAATGAGGACCTTTGCTTCCAACATCTTCTGTCCTCATCGGGCCTGGAGACACTTGACGCTTCAGCAGGTCGAGCTGGGGAAAACTCACCCACAAAGGGCTAGTAGGCAACTGCCACCCTGCAACTTTACATCCCAAGACCTCCAGGAAACGCTGCCCAAATCCAAAACATCAAACCCCAGCCAAACTTAAAACAAACCCTGTGTCTCAAAAAGCCCCGCGCAACTGCTTGTGCCGAGGCTCCATGGCACCTCAGGGAGGTCAGTACAAAGGATTTCTTGAGGCGTTGCTTGAGGCAGGGAGCATTGGGGTTAAGGAAGGGTAAAGCTAAAGGGTTTAGGGTTTAGCGCTGAGGTTCTAGATCTAGCACAGTGGAATCTGCTCCACCTTTTTATTAGGGCCCTGCATAGCGTGGGGGGTTCAGAGTTTGATTAGGGCCCTGCATACCGTAGGGTGTTCGGAGAATTTGGAAATTGGGCACCAGTGAGTTCGAAAGCCCTGCAACACCCTCAAAAAACACTCCAACTTTCAGGAGGCGCCTGGTAGAGGAAGTCCAGGAAAGCTGGGGCCATGTCGGAGGGGCGCTCGCCGAAGCCTTTGGGCGGCGGTGGCCGCCAAAGCCCCGCGGGAGGGAAGCCTCCCGGCCAGGGGGGGAGGGGAGAGAGGGGAGAGAGGGCTTCTAGCTCTTGAAGGTACTGAAGGTCTGGGGCATTCAAGCTCCTTTGGCTGTGAGATGTGGAGTTCGGACTAAAACATATGACATGCCTCAGGAACTCGCATAACACATGAAGGCAACCATCAGGTTCTTAAACTGGCCCAAAGCCTAATCCCGGGCCTCGTTCAAGCTGACACGAGCGGCCAGCTTTCAAGACATTGGTTGCTTGAAGGTTGTTCTACGTTATGCCCTGAGTGACAACTTGGACACTGGAATACCGCTGTAAAAAAAAAAAAAAAAAAAAAAACAGGACCCCCGAAACGAAAGGGACCCTTAGCGCAGAACGACTTTGGGCTTTTGGGCTTTGTGGGCTTGGGCGCCTGGCAAGTTCAGATACTCGGCGCTCTTACCCACCGTTTCGTTGGCAAGGGCGCTGGCCTGCAGAAGAAACCATCATGGTTAAGGGCTTGTGAGGGGGGAGCTGGCGGCTAGTTGCCTGCGAAGCTCTATAGTCTAGCTGAGGCGCCCTGGATCCATGCTCCTGTTCCTGCCCCAAAGCCGGCTCGCCAAGAGCCCCTAAGCCACACATCCCCAACAAAGGCGCAGATCTTGGGGGTTCTTCTTGAGATTTGTGTATCATGTGATGCCGGTGGCAATTGCTGGACCTCTGATTGAAGTGTTTTCGGCAGGAGAGGGACACGTGGATGATGTCAGCGTATGTATGCTTTGTACAAATACTCAAGGTGCTCATCACGCACACACATGAACCGTTTCATCCATCCACTTCCTCACGCCGACTGTTGCACAACGACGTCTCGTAAAATTGCGGCTGGCCTTGCCAATGGATTGCTCCAGCTGCGCCGCCGACAGGACCTCTAGCTACGCGAGCTCCACCGACGGAAATGGGTTTAGGGTTTAGGGTTTAGGGTTCAAACAGTGGCGAGAAACTGCCACCTCTTTGGACTGGTGGTGAAGGATATGCGACCGCAAGCGAGCCAGTGCTCAACACATGCGCTTAACCTCACCAAGGTGACAATGACACCCCTTAAGGCCCTGAACTTCTAGTATCATGATATAGTCAGAAATACTTTACTAATTCAACAGCTCATAATATCATCATGTCACTTAAAGATAGAATATTCATGTACTGATTCATATAATCAAAACTATTGTAATACTGCAAAACAATAATGATGGAATAATCCAATTCTGAAATCATAACCAAATCCAAGAACAAAAATCAGGGAATCATAGAAGCATAGAGGAATAGAAGCACAGAAGAATTCACGTATCCAAGCATATCAGAAAGAAGAAACAAAATAGAATAATGGAATAACAGAATAGTCGAGTACTAGAATAATAGAACAGTCAAATAGTAGAATGATCGAATAAGAGAAGAATAGTATAATAGAATCATAGAATCATGGAACAGTAGAACCATAGAATCATAGAATCATAGAATCATAGAATCATAGAATCATAGAATCATGGAATAGAATCATGGAAAAACAGAGTGATAGAATACAACAGTTGATATAGTCATAGAATGACCACTGAACCCTCTGAAGCCACAACATCCCACATCCCGACGCCCCCTCGAGCTGGGGCCGAAGCTGCCCTTCGGGCGAAGTCGATGGTGATTCGCAGCTGCTTCTGCATTTCGTAGGCTTTCATGTCCACCTGGTTTCGATTGGGGCTTAGGGGCGCTGAGGCTCAGGGCAAGTTGCCGATGGTGGTCCTGGTTCAGAAGGGGTCTCGTTAAATTTAGGGTGCGAGACTATGCCCTAAGCTTGCAGACGTCCTGCTATCCTGCGCACGGGAATTCGCCGTGGCCTCGCGTGAAGTGTCAGAGGTTCCTCTCCTACCACGCCCTTGTTAAGTACTCCTCCCCCGGCCCAGTTGACGAACTCCAGCGACGGCTGGAATCTCTCAATGCCTATATGCAGCGAAGCAAAGACCCTAAACCCAAAAAAGTCTCGCAAACTAGGGCTTTTGGGTGCACCCGTTTGGCAGGTTGGAATTAAGGGTGTTGGACTCTTGGCACGACCTGAAGGGGCTGCCGGGGCGAGGTGCAACATCCTCTTTCAGCCGAGATTCTTAGCTGGCTTGTCTTGGTAGCCCAGTAACCATCTTATAACAAGGGCACCCTTTTTTTGGTTGGCTACTTTATAAGGGAACCTTGAACCAAAAAAGGGAAAGGGGGACCACTGGGCTACCAAGTTGTAGATTCCAGAGATTGAGGGGCATCGAGGCCTCCCTGTCCGGCCGAGCCCATATGCTTCAAAGCTATACAACTTCAGATCTGAGTTGATATCAAAAAGCAGATGCCCTCTCCTTGGAGCATCTAATTCTAATTGTTCTCAGGCCCTACTATACAAGCAGGCGTCGGGAGTGATGACCCGGGCGGAGGAACGGAAAGGGCTCGGCGGGCGCAAACTTGCTTGAGACATCTCCAGCCAAGTCCTCCTCTGGCCAGGGCAGGCGCTTCGCTCCTCCTGTGAAGTCGACGCTCTTCAAGTCCACCCAGAAGACGCTGGGATGCGTCGTGGACTCGAAGAAGTAGCGCCGAGCGGTGTGGTCGGTGACGCTGCGCCACCTCGGGTAGTGGAAGAACTTCTGCCCGCTTACCATGAAGGTGATGCGAATTAGCCGACAGGGCGGGGCGATGTGGGTGGGTTTAGGGGGACAGACATCTTCCATACGCTGTCCTTACGGTGGGTTTGAGGATTAGAGGGGGGCGGGGTACCATTCGATATATATATATATATATGGCTGCGATGGGAGCGACAGTTCCGAGGGCCGGGTCTGAGTTAGGAGGGAGTTGGGAGCGAGGTTCTACTGCGTGTGTGGCCAAATCTTCGAACAGAGGTCTAAACATCTGTGCGCTTGAACGGTTTACAAGCGTTTGAAGTTCGGCTACGTGTAACCACTTTGAGCTGTAGGCCCTCTTCTTGTTTTAGCACGAAAAGTTAAACAGTTTAAGCACAAAACCTTTTTTAAGGGTTTTCAGGGCTTATCCTCTAAGACCCGATCGGTCAAGGGTTTAGGGTTTTAAAGAGAAGCCCGACAACTACAGGGTTAAGCATTAAACCTAAACCCTTAACCTTTAAACCCTATGGGGTTAAGGCTTAACGGCTTAACGGTGTCGGGTTTAAGTTTTAGGCAATTAAGCCTAAGTCGAATTAAACCTAAAGCCTTAACCTTTCAACCCTATAGGGCTAAGGTTTAACGGTTTAGGGTTTAAGATTTAGGCATTTAAACCTAATCCGGCAATTACACCTAAACCTGTCACCTTTGAACCCTACGGGGTTAAGTTTTAAGGGTTTGGGGTTTCAGCTTTAGGCATTTAAACCGAGTTGAAAACTTAAGGGTTCTGCAAACGGCATTTAGACTATGTATGAGTTGGTACGTAATCTGCGTACTTAATCGTGATTTGAATGAGTTTTTCGTCGCACAACATATTCCTTATGAGCATTAAGTTTGCTTATCAACACGGGAGGGGGGGTTTTGTCTTGGGCCCTTTCGATTGCGGGTTTAAGGCTTTAAAGAGAAGCCCCAAAACCCCTTTAGGGTTAAGCAACTAAGCCTTAACCCGAAACCTTTAAACCCTATAGGGTTTCTGTCTCAAGGTTTAGGGTTCACCTTTACACCCTATAGGGTTCATAAGTTAAGGTTTATTGGTTTAAGGTTTAGGCATGAAAACCTTAACCCCAAACCCTTTAGGGTCAGAACCCAAAAGGCAGTAAACATCTTTACAAGCCACCGCGTCGAGGCCAAATTCGGGTGGCGCGGGTCCATCAGCCCCAGGGGCACGGAGACTTCTCGCACCAGGGAGAAGACGGTCGCCACAGCCAACTCGGATGTGTTCACCTGAGCAAGGTGCCAGCCACGACCCCAAACCCTGAAGATCCCGAAGCCCTTCATGGCTAACGGCATGGTTGCAGTTGCAGCACCTTCATTTGTCAGAGCAAGACTGCGCTCATCTAGAATTTGCACGCCTATATGCCACGCTTTCCAGGCTCATTCAGTTTCACCAGTTCGTGGAGGGCATACCCTTACCTAAACCATACACCCTAAACCCCTAAACCTTAGAAGCCGAACACAACCACAGCCATCAAAAGCGTACGACCCCACAAAAAACAATCTCCATAATCTTCATAATATTCATATTCTAGAATACGAAGATGATCTCCAATACAAAGGGCCCCACACGCCCCAGGAAGGCAGGAAAACTCCGGGGGCCTTCAGGTTTCTTAAGGCGCCGGAGGTTCAGCCCATGGCCTTAAGAGCCTTGGGGCTACCCTCGAGCATGTCAGGTGTACAGGTTTCTTTGCGCCTTTAAAGCTTCTGGACCACAGGTTGGGGGCATTCAAACGGAGCTGAGCAGGCGGGTGGCCTTGGGAACCGAATGAAGGATGTAGCTCAAACGTGCGAAGCGGTCGGCCGCTCGATACGTTCCTGGGAGGAAGGTGCTCCCACCAATCTCCTGCCAGTATGCCGTCAGCGCTAGCTGCTGATCGTATGGAGGCGAGTTGGTCATCACTTTATATTGGGAACCGTTGTGGATGACCAGGCGGCCAGCTATGTACTCAAAGATTGCAGAGCCATTGGCTGCATCAGAAATGGCGAGGTGTCCACTGGCAGAGTCTCCACTGGGAAGAGTCGGGGCGATGATGTTAATGTCATCCGCCTGCAGGGCTGCGACGGCTTCTGGAACGGTGGCAAAGCTGTCCACAACGTACTGCAGCCAGGCGCCCATGGACACCTTCTTCTGATCGCCACGCTTCTCGGACCCGTAATCAGTCTCGACCAAGTATAGAAGGCTGCCAACCAAACCCTTCTCGTTGATGCCATCCACGGACCCCACGTCGTAGAAGGATGTCACCACGGAATTCCACTTGGAGGTCCACTCAAGCGAACCGGCACCGACGCCCCCGTCCCTCTTCATGCCCTTCGGAAATGCCCAAACTTTGGCCTTGGTTGGCTCCTGCCAATCCATGGTACGCCCGGTGTAGAAGTGGCCGGTGCCGTCCTCATAGTAAGCCCGCGAGCATCCATGCGCCACACCAGCAACGACAGCTGTCACCACAGCCCCAAGTCCCACCATGTTGGGCAGGCGTACTTTACAATAGTTCTGGTATGGCAGGCTATCGACGCTCTACAATCTACTCCCTTGATGGCCGCGAGGCAGTTGCTCATGGTGGTCCTGATCAATAGGGTTCTGGGTTTAGGGCGCGAGGTTAAGCCCTAAGCCCTAAGTCCTAACCCTACCGCAGTGTGGAGACATCCTGCTGCGACTCCCAGGCGTTGGGGCTTTTGGGGCCCTAAGCCCTGCGGTGTCCCAGAGCGCGAAGACGTCTTGCTACGACTCCCTGGCATTAGGGCTTTTGGGGCTCTTAGGGTGCGATGTTCAGCCCTAAGCCCCAAGCCCTACTGTGTCCCAAGGCGCGGAGACATCCTGCTACGATTCCCGAGGGTTAGGGCTTGTAGTGCGTGGCATCACTTGCAGGGGGCGCAGGCCGAGGTGTGCATCTTCTTTCAGCCTGGAGCCTAGCTGGCCTGTACATTTCAAAGGGTCAGGGGCACTGTTCGGCCGAGCCCAAATGCTTCAAAGCTACACAACTTCAGATCTGTGTTGCTATCAAAAGATGATGACCTCTCCTTGGAGCATCTAATTTTAATTGTTCTCAAGCCCTACTATACAAGCAGGCGTCGGGAGTGATGACCCGGGCGGATGAACGGAAAGGGCTCGGTGGGCACAAACTTGTTTGAGACATCTCCGGCCAAGTCCTCCTCTGGCCAGGGTAGGCGTTTCGCTCCTCCGGTGAAGTCGACGCTCTTCAAGTCCACCCAGAAGACGCCGGGACTCGTGGTGGACTCGAAGAAGTAGCGCCGGGCGCTGTGGTCGGTGACGCTGCGCCACCTCGGGTAGACCCGGAGATGATGTGCACTAGCCGGGAACTTACAAACTACAAGGCTCCAGACTAAACATCTCTACAAGGCACCGAGTCGAGGCCAAATTCGCATGATGCGGGTCCAGCACGCCCAGGGGCACGGAGACTTCTCGCACTAGGGAGAAGACGGTCGCCACGGCCAGCTTGGATGTATTCACCTGAGCAAGCACTTGCTACCCCAAACGCCCCAAACCCTAAATCTCCCGAAGCCCTGCACGGCTACTGCATGGTCGCAGATGAATGTCGTGACTCAGCGACCTCTGACAAGGGTCAAGAAGGACAGAGAGCAGGCAAGGGGCCTTGGGAACAGCATGAAGGTTGTAGCTCAAACGTGCGAAGCGGTCTGCTGCTCGATGCGTTCCTGGAAGGAAAGCCGTGCCCCCAACTCCTTGCCAGTATGTTGTCAGCGCTAGCTGCTGACCATATGGCGGCGAGTTGGTCATCACTTTGTATTGGGAACCGTTGTGGATAACCAAGCGCCCAGCTATATACTCAAGGATTGCAGAACCGTTGGCTGCATCAGAAAGGGCAACATGTACGCTGGCAGACTCTCCACTGGGAAGAGTCGGGGCGATGATGTTAATGTCATCCGTCTGCAGGGCTGCGACGGCTTCTGGAACGGTGGCAAAGCTGTCCAACACGTACTGCAGCCACGCCCCAACCGACAGCTTCTTCTGATCGTCACGTTGCTTGGACCCGTAATCAGCCTCTGCCAAAAATAGCATGCTGCCAACCAGGCCCTTCTCGTTGATGCCATCCACGGACCCCACGTCGTAGAAGGACGTCACCACGGAATTCCACTTGGATGTCCACTCAAGCGAACCGGCACCCACGCCCCCGTCCCTCTTCATGCCCTGCGGAAATGCCCAAACTTTGGCCTTGGTCGGCTCCTTCCAATCCATGCAACGCCCGGTGTAGAAGTGGCCGGCGCCGTCCTCATAGTAAGCCCGGGAACATCCATGAGCCACACCAGCAACGACAGCTGTCACCACAGCCCCAAGTCCCACCATTGTGAGCAAGGGTACTTGACAAGACGTCGTAGTGTGGCGGACTCTCTACGCTTCACACTCTACTCGCTTGATGGCCGGGAGGCGGTGCGGGAATCCAACACTAGGACCAAGTGATCTTACCCTTGGACTGCAAAGAAAGCGCAATGCACGACCCAACCCCCCCTGCTCCGGCATCTCACTACTGTACGGAGTTCAGGGATCAGGCTATCAAAGACTATCAGAGCCTTGCGGAATTCTTTAAATTTTCTCAACCTTTATTGAATTAAAGGCCGCCAGATTCGAGACTGCAGGGATGGAGCTGCAAAAATCACGCAAGGCTGAAGCTTGGGCAACTTAACCTCTTTGGTAGCCGCTCAAACGATGGTGATTGCGCGGAGCATCCTGGCGAGGCTGGTGCTTACAAGTCAGAGTGGCTGGCGTGCCCGCCCGGGCGGAGGAACGGAAAGGGCTCGGCAGGCAGAAACTTTTGTGAGACATCTCCGGCCAAGTCCTCCTCTGGCCAGGGTAGGCGCTTCGCTCCTCCTGTGAAGTCGACGCTCTTCAAGTTCACCCAGAAGACGCTGGGACTTGTGACGGACTCGAAGTAGTAAAAGCCTCCATTGTGGTCGGCGACACTGCGCCACCTCGGCTATCACACACACACACACACTTTTTGTTTTATGTGGAAACAGGAACCTGGATCGCTGACTCTCTCTCTCTCTCTCTCGGAATTCATGCAAAAGTTCATAGCTGTCGGAATCAGTATTCGTAGCAGGCTGTGTATACGGAGTAGTCACACAAAGCAAAAACATGGCAGTGCAAAACCTATTGGACGAAAGATCTTCTTAGCAACTGAGGCTCTGCGTGGTGGCCAAGTTTGGTTCAGTTGGGTGTGTCACACCCAGTGGCACGGACACGTGCCGTATCAGCGAAAAGACAGTGGCCACGGCAAGAATGCTCGAGCTCGCCTCAGCTGGCAACAACTCGACTTTCAGCGGGTGGGATCTGAGGCAGCTAACAGGCAAGTGGCCTTGGGAACAGCATGAAGGTTGTAGCTCAAGCGTGCGAAGCGGTCTGCCGCTCGATGAGTTCCTGGGAGGAAGGTGCTCCCACCAATCTCCTGCCAGTATGCCGTCAGCGCTAGCTGCTGATCGTATGGCGGCGAGTTGGTCATCACTTTATATTGGGAACCATGGTGGATTATCAGGCGCCCAGCTATGTACTCAAGGATTGCAGAACCATTGGCTGCATCAGAAATGGCGAGGTGTCCGCTGGCAGACTCTCCACTGGGAAGAGTCGGTGAGATGATGTTGATGTCATCCGTCTGCAGTGCGGCGACGGCTTCTGGAACAGTGGCAAAGTTGTCGACAACGTACTGCAGCCAGGCGCCAATGGACATTTTCTTCTGATCGCCGCGCTTCTGGGAACCGTAATCAGTCTCGACCAGGTAAAGAAGGCTGCCGACCAAGCCCTTCTCGTTGATGCCATCCACGGACGCCACGTTGTAGAAGGATGTCACCACGGAATTCCACTTGGAGGTCCACTCAAGCGAGCCGGCACCGACTCCCCCGTCCCTCTTCATGCCCTGCGGAAATGCCCAAACTTGAGCCTTGGTCGGCTCCTGCCAATCCATGGTGCGCCCGGTGTAGAAGTGGCCGGCGCCGTCCTCATAGTAAGCCCGCGAGCATCCATGAGCCACATTAGCAAGGACAGCGGTCACCACAGCCCCAAGTCCCATGATGGTCAAGGGCTGCAAAAACAGAGCCAAGAGATGAACCCAGACTCGGAAACCCTGGCTGCGTAAACTCCTGATTCCTTTCCTCGGTAAAAAGTGTCAACGCCCTACTTGTGGAATCTCTCGCAAAGAGCTGGAACCTTGCAGGCGGCTCAGAGAGATTGCTCTGAATTGCTCTGAGCCTGGGCACAGGTGCACATAGGGCCCAACAGTTCCTAGGTCCCTTGCCGTGGGTGGGTCGCCGCCACCCGTCAGCATGCCAAGCATTCCTCGGAGGGCTTGAGGCTTTCAGGGTTCCTGTGCGCACCTTGCCGACGGCACACTCAAGCAAGCAGGGTCACTGATTGCGACTGCTATGGGAACAATAACTATGCAAGGTCTGCTTCTTCAACGTCAGACCCCAAGGTTCTCAAGCCTTTAATTTCAAGCCCAAGAACTCTCAAAAAGGGTGTCTGCACTTAAAACTCAGGCCTGGTGTCCTTACCTTCAAAAATCCACGAGACCTGACCTTCTCACAAGACCCAAGCCAGAAGCCTCCCGAGCTTAGGGCTTGTAGGTATCAGGTCGACCACCATCCCGGATCACGAAAAACATCCAAAGCCCCTCGGCCCCGTGAGCTGCTTCAGTCCTCCCGCCATGCCCCCTTTTTTGTTGTTCTTCTTCTTGCTCATCAGGCCCTGGGAAAGGCGGCACGAGCAGGTTCCTTGTGTCTCAAAACGGCCCCCTGGCCCTGGCTCTATACTGCTAACCTCTGAACCCTAAATTCCACTCCTCAACTGCCCGCCTTGGCCAGCGACATGCCGGCGCCCAGCATGTCTCCCATCCTCAGCTCTTGCTGCCGACAACTTCGGGCCTAAGGCTTAGGACGTGTAGGGCTGGGGGCTGGGTTTGAGGCTGACGGTCCGCTGTGCGTTTGTACTTGGGGGTCTCCGAGAATAAGGGTCCCCTTTTCTTGTTTCTTTTTTTTGGGGGGGAACTGTTCTATTTGGGGCCCTAAACCCTAAACCCTAAACCCTAAACCCTAAACCCTAAACCCTAAACCCTAAACCCTAAACCCTAAACCCTAAACCCTAAACCCTAAATACACCCAAAACCCTAAAGCCCCTGAAGGCCCAGCAGCTGGTCGTCCGGGGCATCACGGAGGAAGCCCTCGCCGGTGCCAATCTGCCACTTCAGGGGCTCTTGCTCGCCTCCCGAGGCATGTGGGCCAGGGGGTTTAGGGTTTAGGGTTTAGGGTTCAGGGTTTTGGGTTTAGGGTTTAGGGTTTAGGGTTTAGGGTTTTTGTTAGAATTAACAGAAAACGAAGGACGCCGCCCAAAGGGACCCTTTGAGAACGACTTGGGGTTCAGTACGCCCTTGAAGACTCGGTGGACACGCGCTGCAGGACCCCAATTCCTCCCCCATTCCCAGGCCATTGCCCTGTAGTGAATGCAGGTTTGCGTCTCAGGCGCCTAGCTTGTTCATTCGCGGGTTCACGATTGTTTGTCATCTTCATTGCCGACGAATACTGTGGTTTCATCGTTTAGTGCCTGCTGACTTTCCAACAGCCGGCACTTCAACAAACCAATCGTAAACCCTGCATAAAAATCCTTGAACTTAGGGAGTCTGAGTTTGAGGTTTGGCGGAAGGCCCACGCATGGTCTTTAGTCAATGATCTACCAAGCAAGTTGGCAACGGAGTGAAATACCGAATCCCGGTCAGGCTATCAACGTGGATCTTCCTGAGCCAGAATACCGCTCTGCCGATCCACCCCACTATATAAACCCAAACCTGCCTCTAGGAGCGTTCTGGGATTTCGGGTTCAGGTAGCTGGCCAAACCTGCCCCTTCCCCCTCCCTCCCCCAGAAACTCCCCAAAGCGACCTGCCAGGGGGCCAATCTTGCTCCTCGGCTCTTCGGGGACAGGGTGTTTGGGTTGAGGTTGAGGGTTGAGGTTGAGGGTTGAGGCTGAGGTTTGGGGAGTATCTCTTCGCACTTGCTTAGTGTGCGGGATTGTTGGCTTGGAGGGCAAACAACGAGGGCATTCAAGCCAGCCAGCCCATTGTTGGGATTCAAATACCTACACCGCCTACACCCTGAACCCTAAACCCTTTTGGGAGGTCTTTGGGCTCTTACTGGGTTGTGGCTCAAGTCTCTCAGATCGCAGGGGCAAACGAAAGTTGCTGTAGGCTTTCACAGCCCGCCCCTCCCCCCGAAATTGTTCGACCCCACCCCTGCTGGAGAGAATGGAGCAACCGCAACATGCCACTGGAAGACACTTTGGGGGGGGTGTTAGCGTCCCTTCTAGCCACCTCGCTGCGATACGCGGAAGCCTCCTCAACTGCCCGAAAACCCCCCAAAATAGCCAAAGGCGCAGCATTGACCCCAGCCCGGAGGATGGCAACCCAGGGTTGGTCACGTTCTGCCAGGGGGTGCGTTGTTGGGCTCGGAAGAGGGCGGGCTGCAATGGAGGGAACAGAAGGGCAGTACGTGCATCGAAACTAGCTGTGCGGAAATGGGTGTGCTGTAACTGATTAACAAAAACATACGGAAGGGGCGATGAAACCTGCCAACAGGAAGACAGGCTCCTGTGCAAAGGGGGGAGGGAGTGGTGGGCACTTGGACTACCCGCCCCTACAGATCCGCTGCGGGTCTGCGTGGTGCCACTGCACATGCTTCCTAGGAGGTGGCTTAGCTAGGGAGCCCCTGCCTCTGTATCTGCATGTGTCGTTTCGAAAGGCAGCCCTGAGAGGTTTAGTTAGGGCTGGCCTGTCCATACCTGCCATGGCAAGAATCACGTGTATAGAAGGAGGTCGCGTTGTTCGCGAGAGATCTGGTTTTGAGACATTGGAGACAGGACAATAGATGGGGTGCAGCCCAGAGCTTGCACCAAAAATGAGCTCACACCTTGCGACATGACTTGCTGGACCTTATTAAATCAATCCTATTGGTTGTTCAGCAGCCTGAAGCCTATTGAAACCCTAAAGCCCTAAAGAACCCCACATCGGCAGCATCTCTTCATGCGCTCCTTGAGGTAGGCGACAACGCCGTGAGCTTCCGAAGCCCGCACCGCAGCCACCGACGTGATCTTCCGAAGCTTCCTGCGCCCGAAGACTTTGAAACGGAGTGGGCCTTAAGTGCTTGGCAGCTTTGGGCTTCAACGAGTTTTAGAAGGGGTGTTTAGGGGGATGTTGAGCTGGCTCTCAGGAGAGTTCTGGCTTGAAGGTTGAGGAGGTTGTGTTCCTGAAGGCTTGGCAGTCGTCAACCCCTCTGCTACCCAGCCATAAAACCATCCACATTCGAGTCTCTCCACCCCGCGTCTTAGATCAGGGCTCAACAGGCTTAGGCTTTCTTTGCGTTAAACTCTGTAGACCCCAAAACACCCCCCCCCTGGGCCCCCTCTGAGAATGGTCCTGGACTGGAGGTGCGCAAGGCGCAGGAGCCTCGGATGGCCAGTGGCTGAGGGCTTCTATGTATTCAGAGCTCGGTTTAGGGTTTAGGGTTTAGAGGGTGCAAAAAACGCATACTAGGAGAAGCTCGGTCTGGCACGCCAGGCCCAAAGACGAGCGGAGGGGATCTGACTATGGCTTTGGTTTTGGACACGCCATCGGAAAGATGAGCCGTGTGTACCAGGCCCTTCCCCGAACCTGGGGTGTGTGCCCAGGAAGACCTTTGAACCAACGACGTGCAGTTGAGGGCATCGTAGTCTCTAGGGCCTTGTGAGGGGATAGTAGTCTGCAGCATCTCTGAGCAGGCAACTCGGAGGCATTGTTGGCGTTTACCTCCAGGGCCGGCTTCTGAGGGCCAACAAAGAAGGAAGGACTGAAAGGCAAGCATGCAACTCAGCAACCGAGGTCGCAGCAAGCGCCCCAAACCCGATGCCCATGCTTCCGGAACGGGTCTTTCAGGTGGTTCATTACATGACTAGATACACTAGCAGGTTACTATCCTTGAGGGCAGAATCCTCATCACCCCCCCCCCCCCCCCCCCCCGCAAAAAAAAAACCCTCAAAAACTCTCCGAAGGCAGCCCTTGCCTGCCCCTGGATTCCCAGGCGCCCTTGCCATGTTGCGTCGTTGGCTGCCGACCTGGGAGTGGTTTGGAGCTCGGGCTTGAGGCTTTTCTGGGTGCCTTTTTGTAGGCATTGTAGGGTTTATGTCTCACAAAGTACCCCAAAACTCCAAACCCTCAAGGCACTGGCAGGCCCCAAAAGCCTAGCAGCACAGACTTGGAGCCTCTCAGGCTCGGACCACTCCGACTGATCCGAGGACACGAAGGAGGAGGGAAGATTCTCCAAGGCCTACCCGCATTGACCTAAACCTGCCGGAGCAGAACTCACCCGAAACCTTAACCCTCTAATCCCTTAAACTGTCTTACAGCCCGAAGCTCCGTGCCTCTGCGGCGCAGCAGCCCGGCATGTCGCGCAAAGTCCCCCGGCCATCGCAGTGCCAAACGTTGAGTTTGCGGGTCTGCTTCCGATTTGAGATTGCTTTTCAGGGTTTAAGAAAAATGGGGATCGAGCTTTGGGGATCGAGCTTTGGGGCTCAAGGTTTAGGGCTTGAGGGTTAAGCTTTTTGTGTTCAGTCGATTTGCTGTCGAGCAGGTGTGTGGCAAGATTCAACAAGGATGTAGGCTGTGCGCAGGATGCCTAGCTGAGTACCTGGCCAGTTCTCCGGATCCTTGCTTTTGGGGTCCCTGCTGTAACACCACCTCCTAACGGTTAGTGAATGCTCACTCACCCCGCTATTCTCCACGCATTAGGGTGGCGATGCTCAACAACAATTAGCATACTTAACCTCATGTGCATATGTATGTGTATATGCATATGTGTCTGTATACATATGATACACAAATATATATATATATATACATACATATTCTGACAACGATAAAAACAATATCTTACACAAGTGCGCATATGTATGTATATATATATATATGTATGTTTATTGGTTTATTTAGTTATGTATTTATTCATGTAATTATTTATTTACACACAGTGGACTTGCCAGCGTGCCCACGCAGTTGCCGCAGGCTCTGCAGTTCCAGGTTTCTCTGTAGGGTTTGTGAGAGAAGGGGGATTTCGAGCATAGGGGATTTTGGGGCAACAGGTCTTGAATCGAAAGGCGACCGAAACCCCAAACCTTTGAACCCCTGAAGCCTCAGCTCAGGGGGCACGGCCAGTCCTCCCGTAGCAGCGTGGCGGCACTCTCCGTGCCCACTGCAGCCTCCAACCTGTCCCAGTTTCGAAATGTGCGCCCTTTTGTCTTTCTTTCTCTCCATCCAGGGTCGTCTAGGACTGTTGGGGCCCCCTAATCCCTAAACCCCAAACCCCAAACCCTGAATCATCAAAACAATGACTTATGACCCACCTACCACTGCCACCTACTCCCATAAAACCCCCTAAACCTTTCTCGGACCTGGACCGGAAGTCCTTTGAGCCACTGAGTTCAGCAGCCACTTCCGCCGGCCTAGGCTGTGGGAGAGAGCGGTTGAGGCTTTGAGGGCTTGGGGGTTTAAGGGCTTGATAGCTGTTGAGGGCGGTTTAGAGGGCTTGGGCGCTGAGGGCTTGAAGGGTTTGGGTTTGTAGAAGTTGTAGAAGTCTTTTGGGGCTTGGATTTGGGGGTCTTGCGCTTGTTTAGGGCTTCGGGGTTGAGGGCTCTGGAGCTTTACGGCTTAGGGGTTGAGGGCTGAATTTGGGGTCTGGGGTGGATGGTCGCTCTTGATTCGGGGCTTAGGCACTGCAGGCTTGGGGGCTTAGGGATCGTTGGAAGCTTCACGCTCCCACGAGATCGGTTTGATTTGGGTGTGTGCCAGTAACGGAGGCTGATCCCTAAGCCCACGAACCTGCCGGCAAAACACGCAATGGACAAATTGCGAGAAAGCGCAGTCCCAGATTCATGGTTCGGGTTGAGGTTGTAAGGGTTTAGGATTTGGGGCGCGGGCTTTGGGGTTGAGGGCTTCGGCTCAAGGCCTAATGGAACTCAGCCGCAGGGACAATGGACATGGGACTACGTGCCGACAAGCGGCGAGGTGCCGTGTAGCCTTGGCATCAAAAAGTCAGAGAAAACAGCACCAATGTGACGGACTGATGCTAGTCAGTTTCGGTTTGGTTTGGGCCTTGGTGCTTAGGGTGCTCATCACTCCAGCTCCACCCCATCAACATCGCACACCCGTGATCAAGAGCCCTTGCCAGGTCACCCCTACCCCGCCGAGCCCCTGATTGCCTCCGAACCCCGAGCCCCTGAAGTAGCCCCGAAACCCCTGAACGCTATGCTGGGCCACCCTGCGTCACAGAGGCACCGTCTGGTGGGCCCTGGAGCCTACAAGGCTGAGGGGAGCTTAGTTGCGGCTAATTTGGGTGGACTGGGGCCTGTTCCCCAGCTGTTGTCCCCATCATCACCTCGTTCATCCTCTCCTTCTTATCCCCAGCCCTTTCGTTTCACCGGCTCATCTTCTGGGACTATATCAGCCCTTCCGGCAAAGTGCTGTATGGCAAACATTTCTGGAAGCCGGCATGAACAAACAGAACAACAAACTAGACCCTTACGGAGAGACGTCCCTGAGCTAAAGACAAACAACCCTCAACAACCCCTAAACCATAAATCCTAAACCCCAAACCCTAAACCCTTTGGAGGTGTCCCTTCTGGCAGTCGCCGCGGGTAATGTATTTGACCTGCCATGCAACGGGGGTCCTTCAGGATCGTCTGTCAATGTTCTCTTGCTTATATAGGGCCCGCGATGTTGACGGTTTGAGGATTTGGGTATGGTATACATGGGACCTCAATGCTTGAAGTAAATTCAGATAAGGCGCGGATTTTTGAGACTGGGGGTGTGGGAGGTTTAGGGGTACGGGGTTGAATCGGTTGTGGGATTTCCGTGGATGAGTTTTGCCCGTGCACCGGTCTTAAGTACCCATGTAGAGTTTCGTGCATGGTCGTTGCCATTTGCTTGCAATCATTGCAGTCACGCACTGCAGTGTGCAGAAGGAGGAATGCGCAGCGCTAGAATAGATAAATCCGCCGTATACATTCACATAACCCTGTGCTGAACTGAGGACCAGAAGCGTGCCTGTGATGAAACCGAGCTCCCTTCCGTTAGTCCCACTTACTCATCGACAAATCAATCAACATGTCGCAGGAGATGCGCAGGCATCTCATTGCTAACATTCACCGTGAGTACGTGGTTTGGTTTCACAGAAACGCCGGAGAACAGTCTGGGAACCCTACCCATCCGACCCATCAGGTCCGAGCTGCCATGTAATGTGCTTATCTTCCAAGAACGAACGCTGAAATCTGGTCCCACATTGGAACAGCTTCTACTCCGGGCGGTCTAACCGGTTCAAACATGCCAGGCGCACATTGAAGGGTGACGAAGGCGTTGATGTTGGTCCAACCCCAGGAGCAACCAACCCCAATCGCCAGAACAGGGTTTACAAGAGCCGGAGGTTCAAAGCACAAATTCTCCAGAATAATTCAGGGGGTTCAGCAAAACGATGCCGGAGATGAACTGCGAGGATGATGAAGCGAAGGAGCCTAGAACCAACCTCTCACGGTGTTTTGCGGGGTTCAAAGATATGCTCTTGACTTTCCGGAAAATACCTCCGAACCTTGAAGCGTCTTTGCCGAATGCGTTGAGTCTTCAAGCTTGTCGGACTTGGATCCCCCTTCTCGTCTCGAGTTGAAAGCCCGGTAGGCCTAATCCAGACCTCTGGATACCGGACAGCCATGATCATCTAACAATATAATAAAATTCTTATTTGCTGATATAGTGATATACTTCTATGAGGATGAATAACTAGATATTTATAGCGTCGACTGAGAACTCACCAGGCCTGTCAAATGGTTTGAGGGCTGCCGCCAGCGCGCTGCTGGGGTCTAAGCCCACCACCTCCCAGAGGATGCTTCTCAGGAATTCCCGATTTCGGGCCTCAGTGGCTTTTGGGGGGGCTTTGACCAAAGAGACCCCCCCCCACACGATAAACCCTGAAACCCTAACACCTAAAACTTTCCCAAAACCCTGTGGCCCAGAATCCCAACACCGAAGCTCGGGGCTGCAGCCCGAAGCATCTCAGGCTTTGTGCTGAGCACAAGGAGGCTCAAGCGGCGTTAGCCCTTAGATTATTTACTCGTGCTGGTGCTTCGTGGGGAAGAGGGACTTGGTATCAGTCGCATCTCGTATTTCCAGCATTTCTAGAGAGCCTCATTTCCTCATTCCCTACAAGGAGCTTTTTTCGTGGAGGATGCGTGAGATCATGGGGCTTAGGCACATGAGCAATGAAAGGACTCTGGAACCCTGAACATGCCTGAACCCTCCCGAGTTTTGGGTTGTCGTGCAATCCAGATCCCGTGCTGATGACAACTGGAGTGCCAGCCTCCACGGCAGTTTTTGCCGTGCCGGCCACCTTCTTGGGGGCGGGGGGGGGGGGGGGGGGGGGGGGGGGCAGAGGAATGTGGTGTTCAGTGTAAGGTGTAGGGTTGCGGGATAGCTTGAAGGTTCGGGTTTGGGCTAGCCGTAGCCCATGAACACTACATCCAAAACCCTATGCCCTTCTACACCCCAAACTCTAAACCTAGCACAAACCCTGCAGCAATCTTCAGCGCAAGCTTCTGCCACCACACCCTGGTCAACCTCCAGTTGATATGAAGGCTTACGCAGACGAGACCTGCACACCTCCAGCACAAGCCTCTGCAACCTTCAGTTGTGAAGACTAAGTCATCAACCCTTAACCCCTCCAAGTCCTGCGAGACTTTCACACCCACCTCTGCCAAGCATCGGCCAAATGCTTCAAGGCCGACGCAGCTGTCCGGCGACTTCCTCGGATCGATCTGGGGCTTCTGGGTAAAGAGCCGATTCAGGGTGTCGAGGAAGGAAGCAGTCCAAAAAAAGAACTCCGTCATCAATGTTGAGCAATGAGAAGCACACGAAGTAGTCAAGTGGTTGTCGGCAACTGGCCGGCGAAGGCCATCCCTTTCACTGACGAGCATCTCTTTCTGCCAGCCACGCCAGGCAGTCAGCAACTCCTCTCATGTGTTTGGAGCGACATCTTCCATCTGCTGGCACTAGCAAGCTTGCAAAAGCAGCCTCGCCATAGCACACCGTCGAAACCAAGGCTCCAATCACCAAGTTGCAGCTTCAGTGCAAGGGGTGACTTTCGGAACTTTTGGATCTTTAAGAAGTTTGAACTACTGGTATTGGACTTCTGGCCCAAGAGGTGGAACTCGGTCGAAAAGCACGTTGCAGGCTGTCCCTGGACCCTGAACCCAGAAGGAGGCGTTTAGGGCGGAAACCCGCAGTCCTGCGTCAGAAACTGAGCTATCGAGCTTGCGCTGCATCCTTCGCAAAGCCTCCCAGAGGCATGCAACAATTGCCATGAAAGCAGCTCACGTGCAGGATCTCTACTGAGAGACTCTGGATCTCAGGAGATGTCTTACGATTTAGGCCCAACACCCCAAAACACTGAAAACCAAAAACCCAGAATCATCAACAAAAACCACGCCTCAACAAACCCCAACCCCCCCCCCCTCCTCCCCCAAACAGGTATCCTCAAGAGTAGCAGAGCGCGCAAAGGCAAGGGCACGCCCCGAATCCAATAGCAGCTCTATGTAGCAGGCGTGCGCTGACTCCTTGAGCGCGGGCTCTTTCGGGTTGTTTTCATGGGTTCTTGCAGCGCGTGGTTGCTTTGAAGCCGCACTCTCGCTCATGCGAGCGCGTGCTCTGCACCCCCTAACCCTAAACCCTAAACCCTAAACCCTAAACCCTAAACCCTAAACCCTAAACCCTAAACCCTAAACCCTAAACCCTAAACCCTAAACCCCCCATACAGCGCCGACTCGGTGCTTCCTTCCAAGCTTCCCGCTTGAAGAGCTCGCTCAGGAACGCTCCGCAATCCCAGAACCCTGCCCACCCGCAAAATTAAAAAAACTGAATATACATATATATATATATATGGTCACCCCCCCTACGACAGACCCTGGAATTGCATTTCCAGTCTGTCCAGGAAGGGGGCGGAAGACCAACACTCCAAAATTCCTCGAATTTCCAAAAATCCAAAAACCCAAAAAACCCAACCCAAGTTTCGGATTTTTGGAAACTCGAGCGGGAGCCTCAAAATCCAAAAATCGAGCAAAATCCTCGAGTTTCCAAAATTCCAAAAATCCAAAAACTCCAACCCAAGTTTCGGATTTTTGGAAACTCGAGCGGGAGCCTCAAAATCCAAAAATCGAGCAAATTCCTCGAGTTTCCAAAATTCCAAAAATCCAAAAATTCCAACCCAAGTTTCGGATTTTTGGAAACTCGAGCGGGAGCCTCAAAATCCAAAAATCGAGCAAATTCCTCGAGCTTCCAAAATTCCAAACCTTGGGGTGATTTTTTTGGATTTTTGGAAATTTGGAAACTCGAGGAATTTGCTCGATTTTTGGGTTTGGAGGCTCCCGCTCGAGTTTCCAAAATTCCAAAAGTCCAAAAACTCCAACCCAAGTTTAGGATTTTTGGAAACTCCAACGGGAGCCTCAAAATCCAAAAATCGAGCAAATTCCTCGAGTTTCCAAAATTCCAAAAATCCAAAAACTCCAACCCAAGTTTCGGATTTTTGGAAACTCGAGCGGGAGCGTCAAAATCCAAAAATCGAGCAAATTCCTCGAGTTTCCAAAATTCCAAACCTTGGGGTGTTTTTTTTGGATTTTTGGAATTTTGGAAACTCGAGGAATTTGCTCGATTTTTGGATTTGGAGGCTCCCGCTCGAGTTTCCAAAATTCCAAAAATCCAAAAATTCCAACCCAAGTTTAGGATTTTTGGAAACTCGAACGGGAGCCTCAAAATCCAAAAATCGAGCAAATTCCTCGAGTTTCCAAAATTCCAAACCTTGGGGTGGTTTTTTTTGGATTTTTGGAATTTTGGAAACTCGAGGAATTTGCTCGATTTTTGGATTTTGAGGCTCCCGTTCGAGTTTCCAAAAATCCAAACCTTTGGGGTGGGTTTTTGGATTTTTGGAATTTTGGAAACTGGAGTCTGGATAAGATTTTTTCAGGGGTTCTTATATGATTCCTTATTATGATTTAGGCTGCCTATTCAATTTTACAATACTCCTGTTCACTTTAATGGGGGTCCTTATTTAATGAATAAGAATCGTAATCATTTTACTAGCATTCAAAGTGATTTTCAATAGGGTTCCTGTATTTGTTTAATGAGGTTCGTATTGAATTTTACAGGATGCCTATTAAAGGGCTTTATTGGGTTTAAGATTGATTCCTATTCATTTTACTCAAATGCCAAGCAATTTGAATACGCTTCTTAGTCATTTTAATAGCATTCTTATTCCTAGTTAGTTTTAATAAAAGTTTTAATAAATTAGCCTAAGAATTTTCATCAGCATCATAACAAACTTTAAACATATTCCTATTAATGTCAATAGGCTTCTTGTTCATTTTCATAAGATGTCGTACAATTTCTAATTGGGTTCCGTTTGCTTTGACAAGCTTCCTATTCATGTAAAAAGGCTTCTGATTAATTGGAATAGGCTTCGTATTCATTTTAGCAGGGTTTCTCATTCATGTTGACAGGATTCCTAATAATGTTCATAGGAGTCCTACTAGATTCCACAGTGCTCCGATTATGCTTTTAAATCCTGTTCCCTATTCATTTATTTCACTTGGACTCGAAGTAATGTTATTGTAACTCTTATTAATTTTATTAGCAATCCTACTTATTAAAAGTGTTAATAGGGTTCATCATAGTTCTAACAGTACGACTCTTATTGTTTCAAGTTTTAAAGCGTCCACGTTACTTTTTTAATAGAATTTTATTGGCTCCTCTTAATCTTTTAATAGGATTCATCTTCATGTTAAACGGATTCCTGTTACTCTTAAAAGAATTCATAGATTCTTTTGTAGGGTTCCTATTAATTTGAATAGCATTCCTACGAATTCAAAAGGGTTCCCATTCATTTCAATGGCCTTCCTATGATTCCTCTGAATTTAGGACTCCAAGAAAATTTAATAGGAGCCCTGTTAATTTAATAAGCTTCTACGTATTTCAACCAGGTTCTTATTGATTGTACTAGGATTCTTACTAAGTTTTCACAAAAGACTCGTCTCAATTTCAATAGGGTTCTCATTCATTTTAATGGGTTTCCTATTGATTTAAATGGGATTCCTATTGAACTCATACGAACCCTATGAATCCTATTAAATTTAATAGGAACCCAAGTAAAACTAACAGCAATCTTATTGAAATTAATAGCAATCCACGATGTCCAGCAAATTGTTCAGGTCACTTCTGTTTGAGCACTCGCTCGAGCAATTGCTGAGTGGATCAAATTATGTGAATTAAGCTTTTTGGAATCAACGAAGTTAACGAAAGTGTTTGAAATCAATTACGGTAGACAAATCTGTGAAGTTGAGTAAATATTTAATGAATTAGTAAAACCCTACCATGACCAAACTGGCAGGCCGATCTGTCGGACTTCAGGGAAGAGCATATGGAGACGTGTTTTTTTTTGGGGGGGGGGGGAGGTACCATATATAGATATACACACATATATATATATATGTATATATCTATTGTTTGTGAACGTGTCTGGCTGCTGTGTGCAGCTATGCTGTCCGTAGCCTTTTTTTCGCTTCCGGGGTCTGTCGTAGGGGGGGGGGGGTGAGCATATATATATATATAAAGAAAAAAAGAAGAAACCCGGAAAACCCCCAACCGAGAGGCCTCAGCGTCTCTTCGGACCTCGGAGACGGGCGTCTGAGAGGGTCTGTGGCGAGGGCTTTGGGCTGTCAGGCTTCGGGTTTAGGGTTTAGATCTTCGGCCTTACAGGGTTTCAGGGATGCTTTGGTGCCCCAGGCTAAACCTTGAAATCTCAACCCTCAACCGTGAACCCCTGAACCCCTGAACCCCTGAACCCCTGAACCCCTGAACCCCTGAACCCCTCAACCCCTCAACCCCTCAACCCCTCAACCCCTCAACTCAACCCTTAACCCTGAAGACACTGCAGTTGAGGCACCGCGGCCGCTTGGGCGCGCTTGGGCTCCGCGCCAACGGACGGAGGCATATCTGCTCGCTTGGAATCGGTTTAGGGTTTAGGGCTTAGGGCCTAGGGCGTGAGGTTCATAAGGGTTATGCAGCTTAGGGTCTAGTTTAGGTTTTGATAGGGCTCAAGAAGATTTTGCAGGGGCTGCGGAGGCACAACTTCACGGAGCCCGCCATCCGGATTGCACGAGGGCTAGGTACCAACATCAGGGTGTTGCGAGTTGGGAGTGTGAGAGTCCTAGGTGTCCGGGATTGTCGCCTTCAATGCCGTGTCGGTTGGGGCTAGGAGGCCGCCACACTGCGAAGAAGCAAAAGGTCCCTCCAGCAGGCAACTGCACCCGGAGCCCGTTCAGGGTTTTGGGGATTGTTTCCATGAGGTTCAGGGCATTTGGAGCACAGCCGAAACAACTCCAACATCTTCGCAGCCCTGCTTCGTAGGTGCCTCGCACCAGGCATTCGGAAGGTCGGACAGACCAAGGCCCCCTGGCAAGTGTTCAGGGCATTAAGGCTATAATTTGGCGCTTCCAGAGGTCTGCTAGGTGGCTAGCAACCCTAGTTCTACCCTAGAGGGATCAAAGCCGTCACGCGTTTCTGGCCGTTTTGCACGAAGCCTTCCAACGAAAATGCCAGCGCCTCAATCCGAAGCTCGTTTGAGCTGGAGGACAGACAGATCGGCAACTGGTACTGGTTGCCGGGTTCTACTTCGCGAACACGCGTGTATTGAAAACCTCACCTCCTAAGGAGGCGAAGCAAGGAATAAGGAGGCAGCGATGGTTCATCGACTTGCGACCTCACTCGACCACCAGGCTGACGAAGCCCTCAACCCTGAACCTTCACAAGCTCTGTAGTCTCAGTAATACGCCATAAGAAATATACATATATATATATACATATATATATATATAGATGTACAAAACAAATAATTCAAATAATAATTATATAGATATACTAAACATATGTATGTATATGGAGACCCGGCCATAGACTCCCGCAGCAACCTCCTCCTCCTCCTCACACCGAAAACGAGTTCTGGAGGCTAGGGAGGAGGTGAAAATGCCCGCAGGCTCGGGCCAGGTCCTCCGGCATGTCGCCTCCAAGCAAGATGTCAATAGGGGTTTAAGGCATAGGGTTTAGGGTTTAGGGTTTAAGGTTTAGGGTTTGAGGTTCATAGGGTCTAGGGTTCGTAGGGTTTAGAGTTCACAGGGTTTAGGGCTCAGGGCTTTGGAAAGGTGGGGGTTGGGCCACTGACCCCGAATATCGCACACTCAACCCTAAAACTTGCCATAAACATAATCCTCAAAAGCTCTATCCCTAAAACCCTGCACTTCCCCCCACACGTCTGAAACAGCAGCCTGATTTTTTGGTTGGGGACTAGAGAGTCACCAGAAAAAGGGACATGAACAAACAAGACCTCCCCAAGGGTTTAGAGCTTTAGGGGCTTTAGGATTGAGGTCTTAAAGGGAACATGTTTGGGGGCCCCTCTAGACATGCCAAGGCTCTTTACGGCCGGAGTTGTCTGTCATAACCTCTATTCTGCGAGTCGTGAAGGTAACAACCAGGATGGGAGAATGAGGATGAAAAGGGCCAAATATGTCGGTTTATCAGGCCCTTTTTATCTGCCTCATTCGCAGCGTTCACACACTGAATATGTCAATTTAACGCGCTTTCTTCGCTCGCTTGTAACTTAATGTTGTAAGTGTGCTCTCTTCGTCGGTGAACTGGGTGGAAAAGATGTTGTGCGCGCAACAAGCAAAGACTTGTAAGGGCGCATGAAGAATCAACTCGTTACGGCCGGAGTCTTTTGGCATGTAGGCTGGGCTTTTCGAAGGGGTTTAGGCTTCATGCCTTGTATGCCCAAACGCAATCGACAAAGCGTCTGCGAAAGAGAGATGCGCATATGCACAATGCTCAAGAAGCACTGCGCTGACCACGACTTCTGCGGGCGGCGCAGAACTACGGAATGCTGCCGAGAACAAGGTATGCTGGCGACGTTTTGGGGCTGTTAGGGCTGCAGGGCTATGCTCGGAACCTCGGTCGTTGGGGAGCAGCTCAGCCCCGTTTTGCAGCAACAGCTCGACCAGCGCCTGGCCCAGGAGGCAATAAACTCCCGAAACCCTAAACCCTACAAAAACCACCAAGAACCTCCACAGACCTAGAAAACCTCCAAAAAGTCTCCAAGAATCTCCAAAACCCTAAGCACCTTCCACGAAAAACTCACGATCCCCAGGCCACCCCCGGGTCCACCTCTTAAGGTTACATTTCAGGCATTCAAACTTTAGGGTTACCTACGATCGAGGGCTTAAGGGTTTGAGGCCTAGGCAATCCTAGGCACCACGGAACTCGTCGCCTGGTCGCCGACACTTGCCGCGACGCCCAAAGGGGTTGAACCCTGCAGTCCGGCCAAAGTCTTCGTATCTTCGGAGCAGGACCTCGATGCTTTTTCTAGGGGGCGGGATTCCGACCCCTCTGTCAGGCGCATCGGCGAGGCTCAGTGCACTTGGGCTCGCCGCAGGGTTTGGATTTAGGGGCAGTTTGGGTCGTGGTCTGAAGTTTTAATATTCAAGGTGCGCCAAAACTCTACTTTGCTAACGGCAGGATTGCGGAGGAATTGTGTTAGGAAAACCACACTTCCTGGCGGCAGCTCCTACATAACCGAACTCCTACATATCTTGGTCAACAGCCGGCCCTACAGCCCATTAAAGCGTCTAAAGCCCAGGCTTCGGAGCCTGCCCTGTCAGCCAGGAGGCTGCAGCCCCAGCAAAAACGCCCTTGGCAGGCTCGGGCGTGCGCTTCGTCGGGGTCGCCAGCTTCGGGCGTCGGGTTTGAGAACCCTATGAAAACTAATAGGAATCCCACTAACATGAATAAGAATCCCATCTAAATTGATGGGAATCTTATTAAATTGGTAGGTGTGAGGGAGCCCTGAACCCGCAAGACAAGCAAGACTGTACTCCAAGATTGGGTGGGTTTTTCCGGTGTGATTCTGGCCACAACCCGAGGATACCCAAACCACGCCCCGCCCCCCTTGCTTGCGACATATTCCCCGTGGTGGGGGTTTCCAGGCTACTCCATGAAAGCCCTTAAGAGGATGTTTGCTGCAGAGGCACCTCGCGCGAGCCTGGTAACACTGTAAGGCAAAAGCCCCCGAAGGATGCACGCGCCCCTGGGTTTGAACATCTGGTCAGTTCTCAAAAATCTGGTCCCCTAAATCTTAGGGGCCACCTTCGAAAAAAAAAAAAACTAAGAGGGACCGTAATTTAGAGAAGTGACCATCTGTTGAACATCGCTGAAGGGCTCGAGCTTTGGGGCTTGAGAGTTTGGGGCGGCAGGGCTGGTTTGGGGGGGTATACGGCGTACGTCTTATGGCTCGGAAGCTTTTCAAACATTTGGGGTCTCTGGACGTTGGGCTTAGCATCGAAGCCAGTCAGAACTATGGGATACAGCTAAGGGGTCACAAGCGTAGACATGGGGTAACGGTTCAATGCAGACGTGGCACATTGGGGTCAGCACGGTGTTCCAGCAACATGGCAGCCGACGCCAAGGCATGGGGACTGCCGCGGGCAAAGCGGACCAAGCCAACGAGGGGTGTGATGCCCAATCCTTTGGAAACAGGGTTCGGATCGCACCGGGCCATCAGCAGTGCTTTCAATGTAGCAGTGCTCGTCATGCCAGAGGCTTGCGTCAGGGGCGTGAAGCAGAAAGGCTCACGCCCGGAGTGGAAGTCCGCACGAGCCTCCAACAGAATTCGCACCTGCTCCGGAAATTTTACATGTGACACGGCATTGTCCCCAATATCTGCCCTGCGGGAGACATCCGCGCGCAGGTGGATCAAACTCGCCACCAAAGTCGCCGGCTGCTTGGACTTAACAGCAGCCATGAGGACGGTGAAGCTGTCCCGGAAGCCGAATTCTCCAAGCCCCGTTATGGTGAAGTTCAGGTCAGCTTTGTGCCTGACCAACAGCCGGAGCATCATCAGATCTCCCGACAGCACGGCACACATCACGGCATTCATGCTGCTGGTGTCCTCCACGGCCAACCCCAAGCTCGGAAACTTGAAGTGTTCCAGAAACCCTTCGGTATCCCATGTCAACGGGGACCGACCCAACATGGCGGCTTGCCGCGCCAAGAAGTACCGGTATGCCTGCAACGGCCCTTCTTCCGACAGGTGAGCGATCTTGCATTCGAGCGCACGGCGTCCCAGGCTGACCACAACTTCACGATCTGTTTCTACAGTGAAATCACCATCGACGACAATGTTTTCCTGCCAATCCCAAGTCATCATGAACTTTGCTTCCAAGGTAGAATGCACGACCACGATGCTCTTGTCACGCTTGTTGCTCAAGACATGACACCAAAGCTCTGCCCTGCACCATCCGCGAGAAAGCCAGGAGGTATAATTGCAATACCGGCCGGTTTCTGCGTGTACAAACTCGGGCACGAGTGCCAGAAGAACATCAGACACCTGAACATTTTGCGAAGAGTTCATCTCTGCGAAGAAATCATTCATCTTTAAACCGTCTCCACACATCTAGCCGTCGAACATGTTCCCAAAGTCCCAAACAGCCGTGACAATTCCTAAGACGCAGTTAAAATCACGACTGACCCTTGATTCCCGCACCTCAACATAGAAGGGGATGCTTTGGACTGCTTGCGCCGCATCTGTCTTCGTGACCTTCATCACTTGGGACAGGGCAGCCCTACAAAACCTTTCGCTAGGTTGAATACGACAGGTAAGTACCCTTGTTCGACATGAATGTCACGCAAAGCTGCTGCATGCTGACTTGTGGATGATCGAAGTAAACTTTGGACGCAGTTAGATCATACGCTACGAGAAACCTTTGATGACTTTGCAAGTCATGGTTTCCCGATGCAAGATCATCCACGGCCCCGTTCCAAAGAGATGTTGTCGCTAACGGGGCCAGCGACCCCCAGAGAGTTTCTGAAGGGTCGGCTCAGTACTCGGAGCTAGCCTTGCTTCAGGGTCTGGAAAAAGGAACACGGTTCGTTGTTTGTTGGCTGTTTGTTGTCTGCGTTTGATGAAAAGTGAGAGTTCTCGCGTACGTCCGAAAGCCATCAAAAGTTGATTCGGACATTTCACAATTCTGAAAACCATGGCTGGTCAGTCCCACGCTTTCATCAACCCGGTCATTGCAAGGGTCGGGACACTAGCTTCCGAAGCTCCCTGTGCTGCGCCAACCTCCTCATTGATGCCTGGAGCGCGCGCAGTGATCTGCGGAATAGCAAACCTCAGAACATCTGAGGGGGCCTGAGTTAAAAATACAATAGGCCCTTGTTGCGATCCTTAAATTCGGAACATGCGTGTCTCGGCATTAGTCCCATAAGCTCCCCAAATCCGGTGCCGCGCAGCCAGTCTAAGAAGAGATAGCCTTGGCGTATCCTCGCTGGTTCAACCTGCTGACTTGTGTATTCATCGATCTCCAACTCCACCTTGTCAGAGGCAGAAATGAGGGTGCGGGGGGGGGCTTGGCAAAGCCTGGGGCAACGATCAAGCCCCGGCTCCTATCGCACTACCCGTATCCCTACAAGTTGTGCCGCTTCCCCTTTTGGCAGGGAACTCTAACAAAAGGGAGTAGGGGATGACAGCGACAGTGACAGAAGCCAGCTAGGGAACCCCCAAAGCGGATTGTAGTGGCATAGGGTGTATGATCCAGATGTATAGGTTCATTTGGTCCCGAAGATTCGCTGCGACAGGATTTCCGATTTCTGACAATGACAGCTAGAAGCCCCCAAAGTCACATCAGAACCAACTCGGGAAGACATTCCGGAGAGCCCAACTGCAGAATAGAGAAGGTCAAACCATATCCTCCCTGCTTCTTCGGATGGCGCGAACCCTCAGCCCTCATTCTGAACTGGGAGCCGCCATGAGCCGCCCGGAATTCCATACGGTTTAGGGTTTATAAGGTCCCAAGATAGAAAAACCACAACGCGCACCTTGGAAACTCGAAGCCATGTAAGACAACGGCTTAGGATGCACCGCAGGGAAGTTTAGGGTTTAGGGGCCAGGGTTTAGGGTTTAGAGTTTAGTGTTTAGGGTTTAGGGTTTAGGTTCAGGGTTTAGGGTTTAGGGTTTAGGGATTAGGGTTTAGTTTAAGGTGTAGGGTGTCCACAGAGACCGGCAAGGACCGGCCCATCAAGCAGGTCCCACTCAGCAGGTTAGAGGAGCCCCTTGGGCTTGGGGGCCCGAAACTCCCCCAAGCCCATACCCTAAACCCTAAACCCTGAACCCTAAACCCTAGACCCTAAACCCTAAACCCCAAACCCTAAACCCTAAACCCGAAACCCTAAACCCTGAGCCCTAACCCATCTGCACCCCCCCTCCCCCCCCCAGCTGCTCTTAGGAGCCTCCAGGGAGCCATCCATCATGCCGGTGAGCGCCCGGCGCAGGACATCGGCGTGATTACCCTGAGGATCCTCGGCCATTCGTGGAAGGGAGGGAGGGGGTTTAGGGTTTAGTTTTTCTTTGCTATGGCCGTGCGCGCGTGCTGCCGGCGCGCATTGGCGCATACCCAGAGGAAGATCTCAGTGCCCTTGAAATGGAGGAGTATACTTGATTCGGTCCTAGAATTCCTCTACCAGGGTTGTGGTCCCATATTTCACTGTAGTACCTTTTGGTTATGACTTCTATCCAGTATGGAATCTTACCTCCCCGGCAACGCCCTGTGGCTTGGATACGGTCTTTATAAGCTGGGCTTAGTACTACGTGATGCATTGGGTCCGTTGTTGGGGCGAGGAACACTTGGCGCAGGAGTTTGTGTTCTGCGGCGTAAAGAGAATCTGAAGGCTTACTAGGGAAGCCGGCTTTTTCCCTTACTGCCGTGTTGGGAATGCGGGAGTAATATGATGCTTTGATACCCACTACGCGGCGGAGAAACCTGCAATAATATGCATCAATTCTTTTGAAGTGTTTTGCGAGGAGAGTCAGGGAATCTAGTCCGTAAATCAAGCTGGGCATAAATGTGGTCCTGAAGATGTACAGCTTACGCTTTTTAGACATTGTACTGTTCCAGACTAGTCTGAGTTTTTTATATGCAGATTCTGCTATCCCTGCTCTATGCTTGAACGCTACTTCGAAACTTTTGCCCCAGCTAATCATGCTTCCCAAGTGGTCTGGACTGGCGTGCCATCTCTGAACCTGATTGTACTTTGGGGTCGTCTGGAATCCTGCAGAATTTCGGTTTTGTTGTGGTTTAGGTTCATGCCATAAAGCTTAGCTTGAATCTCCAATCCGTGCAGCATTTCCGTGAGCTTCGTTGTGGTCATTGACATGAGTAGGGTATCGTCCGCGTACACTAGATCGTATACTGGTTTGCCCACCGACCATGTGTTGGTGGCGACTCCCTTGTTTAGGAGGTACCAGTCCAGGTCCTCAAATATGACTGTCTGCACCATGATAAATAAATACGGGCTTAGGGGACAGCCCTGACGGATCCCCGAGCCTACTGTCCCATATGCTTTGTCTCCCGTATCCGAGAGTGTATAGAATGTTGGGTCCTGGTATAGTGATGAAATGATATTTAGAGAACGCTTCGATAAACCGAACCTGGTAAGTGCGATGAGTAGGGCGTTGTGGTCAACTGAATCGAATGCTTGCTTCCAATCCAAAAACAAAAGACTCAACGGATGGGAAGTCATTTCAGACCACTCAATGGCTCTACGTAGTATAAAAAGCGGGTTTGTCGTGCTTTTGTGTTTTCTGAATCCGTACTGCGTCTCCCTTAAGTTGTGGTCATGTTGAGCACTCAGCCGAATCTGCAGCATTGAGGCAAAGACTTTGTAGATGGAATTGAGCAACGAAATGGGGCGGTAGTTTTCCGGGGAGGTATCTGCTCCCTTACCCTTGTACAGTGAAATAACGATGGCCTCCTTCCAATCTACTGGAACCTCTCCTTTTTCCCATACATCATTATAGAACTCTAACAGCTTCAAAGTGTTCTCATCGTCTAATAGCCGAAATAGTTCGTTAGGAGTCTCGTCTGGGCCTGGGGCTTTTCTAGGCTTAAGCTTGAGTATGGCAGCTTGTAGTTCTTCTAGGCTAAATGCATTGTGGTCTGGTAATTGTGGTCGTAGGTAGCGGCGCCCCCGCAGCTCCTCCAGGGCTTCCGTGGTACTCGTGTGCTGCTTCCATTGCTGTTGCTCTAAATGACTGCGAAAGGCTAAATGTGTTTGTGACCAGGGTACTGGCTTATCATTTACAATTAGGTGACGTTTTCTGCCTTGGAACCCTTTCTTTTGTTGCCGTACCACTTTCCACATGCCCCTTCCTTCCTGTGAATAGTCCTCTTGGAGCCTAGCGTGGATCCATTGAACCCTGTCTTTTCTGGCTGATCTCTTAGCTTGGTTTCTGGCCTGTTTGGCGTTGTGGTCCTGGGTAGCCTCCAGTTTGCGAGCACGATCCAGCGCTTCTAAAGTACTTTGGGTAATCCAGGGTCTAGCTGCCTGTCTCTGTTGACGAGGGAAGGTTTGTTGCGCCGCTTCCTTCAAGAGGCTGCTAAATGGGGTGTCTGTGGTGAGGCCCACTGTCTTACGTTGTTCAAGCTCGGGCGCAATGGCTGAGGTACCGTGTCTGGTAGCTGACTGCCTTCCTTCATTTGCGTTGTGGTCGGCTCTTTCGTTGCCTTCATGCCCCGCATGGCCTTTAATCCAATGAAGGTAAACCCTGACTGCTTTGTGTTTTTGGAGCTGCTTAGCAACGTTAACCAGCGTCTTGTGACTGCTTGCACGCCATTTGCCAGTTATGACGTTTATAGCCCATTGGCTGTCCGAACGTATATGAACCGTACTCCAGCCTTGTTGGTGCGCGTACATGATGGCCTCGATTATCGCGGTGAGTTCTCCTGTGTTATTTGAACCTACTTGTGCTCCCCTGTAAGAGGGATGGTGCGGCGTTGTGGTCACTGGTCCCCAAAAATCACGCCATTCCCCGTTGTGGTGAAAACAAAAGCCCCATCCTGCTGGGGTGTACTTCCCACATTTCCCACTTGACCCTGATCCGTCCGTGTACACTGTAAAGGTTCCCCCTTCTCTTGATGGTGCTGCGTTGTGGTCTGGGACTGACTCCGGGTCGTCTAGCATGTCTGCCAGGATAGCGTTAAAGTTTGTCCTATTTTCCGGGGAGTTGTCATAGTGTAGGACGGGTTTTCTAGGTCTTTTCGGGACTTTAGCTGCAAGGCGGATCTGAATTTCAGTGACCAGCAAGTAATGATCACTGGGGAAACCCGTATGAAGTTTGGATCTGCATGTGCGAACCGTACTTAGCCACTGTCTGGGGGTGAAGGTGTGGTCCAGTCTTTGGAACATTTGGGGATCCGCGTTCGGGAGGGTCTTCGGGGGAGGCAATGGGTCCGGTAGTGGTAGAAAACTACGAACGTTGGCCGCTACTGTTAGCGCATCCCCTCCAAACTCCTTGTGGAATGTTGTGTACACCTGCTGAATCGCCATTGGATCAAGGACATACTGTGACCAGTCCTTTGGTGGGGCTGTTTTGTCCCTGTACGTGATATGATGAAGAGGCGAGGGGTTTTGAGGTCTACAGCTATTTAAGGTGTACTTCGGGTCTAGGGCTGCGGGCTTTGGGTTCTCAGGGAAGATCCCCTAAAGCCAAAGTTTAGCTTAGAAATGCAGGCCTTTAAAAAGCTTAGACAGAAAGAGGCCTTGTTGAAGCCTTTAAACCTTCTATCCTAAACCCGCAAGCTTCCGAACCCTTAAACCCAAAAACCCAACTCTTAGCAACGTCAACCTTTAAACCCCATAGGCCTCAGACCTCAAAACCCCAGGGTTTAGTGTTTAGTGTTTAGGGTTTGGGGTTTGGGGTTTGGGGTTTAGGGTTTAGGGTTTAGGGTTTAAGAAAGGGTTGGGGTTTAGGGGTTTAGGGTTCAGGGTTTAGGGTTCAGCATTTCCAAGTCCAAGCATTCACTATATAGTCAAGAAATTACTCCAGAAAAACACCCACCCGCCGAAAGAATCCCACAATATTCAGAAAATATTTCACTTATGGCACGACCTTGCCCAGTAAAAAATGAGCTTGCCCGGTAAAAAATGACCTCGCCCAGTCAAATGATGACCTTGCCCAGTAAAATAACCTTGAGTAAAGAAAATGACCTTGCCCAGTAAAAAAATGACCTCGCCCAGTAAAAAATGACCTTGCCCAGTAAAAAAAATGACCTTGCTCAGTAAAAAATGACCTTGCCCAGTAACTCATTAACATTAGAATTATATATGAAAGAGACGTTTAGGGTTTAGAGTTTAGGATTTAGGGTTTGGGGTTTAGGGTTTAGGGTTTTGGGTTTCGGGTTTGGGGTTTAGGGTTTAGGGTTTAAGGGTGAGCGGGGGGGGAACTCTTTTTTACACATGTGGACCCTTTGAGGGGGCAAAGGCATTGCGAGCCCCACAGCTTGAGTCGAGGGCTTGCAGGGCTTCGGTTCAAAGCTGGTCTTAGGCTGGTGGCAGCTGGGAGGTTTGTGGAGACACTGAAGTGCAGCCGGGGTTCTGGATGAGTTCTGCCCAGCCACTGGTGCGACACGAAGATGACATACATGTCGGGCTGCCACTGGTGGAGTAGCCCCCGCTCTAGCAGCGCATGATGTGCCTGGCAGATCCCCGCATGGCTCCTTGTCACAAATAGAAACCCTAGGCTTACGGAGTCAGCATAAATCCCGTCCGAATATCTTCGAAGGCCCCTTGGACAGCCTCTGGCGGACCCTCCATCTCCAGAAAGTCCATGACCTGATCAGACGGGTTTCTAAGGTCACTTCAGGTCTTCAGGTTCACTTCAGCGGGTTTAGGGCTTCGGGTTTAGGGTTTAAGGTTTAGGCTTTCGGGCCGTTTAGGGCCTTTTAGGGATTTCGGGACTTAGGGGTTTCGGGACTTAGGGGTTTCGGGGGTGTAGGGCTCCCCGGAGCCTTCACCACGTACATGGGAAAGAAGCATGGATGCACGGGCTGGACAGGCGCAGTCTCACCACCGGCGCCGCAAATTGGGCGGCACAAGGGATGGTTACCCATGGCTCCCAAGAGAAGAAATATATGTGTATACGTGTATGTGTGTATGCATGTATGTATGTATATCTATATATTTGTATACATATTCATACGATCATCAGTTCTACACTTCCAAAGCCCTCACGGTTTCAAGAAGGTCAAGATTCGTAGAGTTCGGGTTGGGTAGGAGGAAAGATTTATAGGTTTAGAGGACGCCTACAGAGCTTTCAACCACTGAGCTTGCTTCGATCTGAACCATGGCCTACGAGCCCTCAGCTGAAAAACCTTCACGGGAGCGTCATGCACACCTTGGGGTTGCAGCCCTTAAATCTTGATCCTTGCTGCCCGTGGCCTTCCTAACCCCTCGCCCCCAGACCCTGAACCCCAAATTTCACGCCGATTGACGCGGCGGAAGGTAAGCATCTGTAAAGATGATGGGCTTACATTCCCCCATACTACAACACGGATGTCCAACCCTAAACCCGAAACCGGGTGTTTGAAGGGACTGAGTCTTCCACGTTCGTTCCCGGCAGGCTTTGGTGGTTTTGTGGGAAAATGATACCGAGGAGTGGACTGTACTACTTTTCAAAAATGCTAACATGGTCACTCTGCCGTTTTGCCAAGGGTTCGTTTTTAGCCTCTGGATTTGGCACGTCTAGGAAGGGCTAGAGCCTGAGTTACCAGCTCATGGGCCACTCCTCGCACTAATCAATGGAACAGCAGTGCATCTTGGCATGACAATCAGATTCTGGTTGACCCTAAACCATGAGCCCTAAACTAGTTTGCGAGGTAGCTTTGGGAGTGGGCAGCTACTTGCTGCTTCCCCGCTATGACATTTTTGGGCACAATCCTATGAGGGCCCGGTTCCGCTCCAGACATGCCCATATATGAAGTGAAGACTGAAGACTTGCCAGACTGCCCGTGATGTTCGACCCCCTTGAATTGACTAATTTAGCCCCCAACCTCAAACCTCAAACCCTAAACCCTAAAACCTCAAACCCGGAACCCTAAACCCCAACAGGTGCTGGCCCACCATCTTGGCTCGCAAGCGGCCAGCAGACCAGGGGGGTCTGGCGTTGGTGTTTTTGTATGGGAGTTTAGAGTGCAATAGAGTAGAAGTCAAGGGTGGGTTAGGATTTTAGGCTGATTGTGGTAGGGGAAAGAGGGAGGTAGAGTTTCGGAACGATCCAAGTGGTGAAATAGGTTGTGGTCGGGGCGCCCGCATTCTAGCCACCACATGGAACCCAGAACCGCTGCTTCTCTTTGCCTGCATCTATGCCCTTAGCTTGATTTCATGCTGTCTTGGATGTAGGAGCAATACTACCCCTCACGCCCTTAGTTCTAGAACCCAAACACCAAACTCAAACAAAAACAGACTCCAAGACTTCAAGTCGACCCAAAGACCCTAACCCTAAGCTCCCGCAGTCCCCCCAAACCTGACAGCAGCGCCTGCTATCCCCCCCCCGGCCTCGACTAAAAACCAGGCGCCGCTGGCCAATGGGCTGCGGGCGACCTTGGGTTCATAGGGCACGTGGGGTTTAGGGTTTAGGGTTTAGGGTTTGGGGTTAAGGGTTTCGGGTTTAGGGTTTATGGAGTTTAGGGGATTATTTGGGGGGCTTAGGTCTAGGGGGTTTGGGGTTTATGGAATTTATGATGATATGGGGTTTATGAGGTTTCTGGGTTGATGGGGTTCGGGTTGAGGGGTTGATGGGTTGATGGGTTTTGCGGGTTTAGGGGTTTGGGGTTTGGGGGTGGATTTGGGGCTCGGCCAAGGATACGATCTGGAACGTCGGGCAGGGCTGATTTGATGGCCTTTTTGGGACCCTCCCTCCCCCCCCGGCGCCCCCCTGAAACCTCTAAATTTTGGGGCTGCCTGCACGCAGGTCTATGAGGTTTAGGGTTTTCGGGGTTTCGGGGTTTAGGGGTTTAGGGGTTTAGGGGTTTAGGGGTTTAAGGGTTTATGCAAGACGTCTGCGGACCATCCAAGCGAGAAGCACGCCAAGATGCTTAACAGGGCGACATACAACGTTAATTTCGAATTTAAGCATTGCGCCGTTTGCGCACTGCTCTTGTCAGCTTTGTATAACAATTCCAGACCTCGACAGGGCTACGCAAAGGAACAGGGCAATGCAGTGCCTGTACTGGCGCACATATCATAGCCCGAGTGATGGCGGGATAATCCGCACCATTAAACACCTTATGAAATAGCTCATGTGGCGGTTGCCGGATATCCCTCGGCACAATGCACGTTGAAGCCACTGGCACTGTACATGCAAAATGTTGTAGAGTCTGACGTCGCTCGATCTTAATTTCAAGTTCAAGCCGCTTGCATACATCTTTAAACGCGTGCAAGAAAACAGTAGCTTGTTTACCAAGCGATGGCCTGCTCAGGGCTAAAGGAGGGTAATCAGCTTCACAGATGAACGCTTGCGGTACTGAGCCCGTTTGCAAGGTCGGAGGCAATCTGCCCGTACTCCATGTTGCCACGTTGACTGGAGCCAGCCATCCTGTGGACACTACAAAATGTAAATAAAGCTCCAAGATGGAAACCCACTCAGAAGACTCCACCCAAGTACCTTGCTTCATCCAGGTCTGAACTACCCACAAGAAACGAGGTCCTAGTAAAGCATCCGCAAAAACCTGCGGTTGGAAACCAAAACTTACAATTTGACCATTTTGAATCGATGCATTTGAAGACACAGCAAGGTCAGCTGCGCAAGCAGTTTGCTCAAGAACCTGTGTTTGATCATGCGACCGAGAGGTCCCCCGAACAATACTTTCCTGCAACGAAAAAACAAAGTTCGCTACTTTCACATATTCAGCATAAGCCTGTCGGGCTTTTTGAACAACGTCGGCTACCTGTTGTGGCAGCTCACGATACACAGATTTGGCAGCCTCATCAACAGCATCGTTGTGGCAGCGCTGCCAACGCTGAGCAAAACTTTCACCAGGTTTGGGCTTACTATGCGATTTAACATGCTGTATTCGCCAGCCGGTCCGTTTTGGGGCAAGCTTTTGCCAAACTGCCCACCACAAGGATGTTTCAGCGTTTTGCAAGAAGCGCGAATGAACCCACCCTCTAGCCAACAAAACCCTGAACCCCAAAACAACCGAAAGGTTGTCGGAGTACAAAGTAGCAGAAGACGCGGTCTGTACTGCAACAAGAACAGCATACAGCTCAGCACGGAAATTATCCTGTCGTCCTGGAAGCATGCCTCTTTCTACAATTGCATGGTCGAGCAGGGATAAGCGAGGACAACAGCCCAGGTGCTAACCGGGACAAATGCATGAGGTTGGGTTGAACCATCGGTAAAAAGATGCACGCCATCATCCAAGCACTCTTGGACAACAGGGTGCTCCAAGGCATCAAACATCCTACGTGCATCCGTTCCTGCAGGAGACTCAGGCCATAAACCTCGCAACAGAATCTCGTCGTCAATGGTCTCTAGTAGACCAGGCGGAATTTGCGCACGGGCATTTGCATAGTTGGGGCAAAGACGTAGGCGGTGCGCATACCCATCTTCACAACCACAGTGCTTGCATAAAGCCTCCTCACTGGAAAGAAAGTGCCGCTTCTGACCGGACGACAAAGCAGCACCTACAGAAAAACTCCCAACAATAGAATGACTGCATTTAGTAACCTTCCTAAGGGAAAGGGACACCGGCAGGGAAACCAGGGGGGCCCTACTATACCCAGGCTGGTCCGGCAGCTTCGTTGCGATCACCTGCCACCATGCGTTACAAACCAGCGCTTTCAACTCTTGTTTGGAAGATAAACACAGATGGATACTTTCACCAGAGGTACCCAAACACAACAACCCAGGCTGTGGAACCCAACCTAAACAACGAAGCTGCGCCAACAAGTACGTGTACGGACCTGTCGTAGGCGAACTCGCTGATATCACTATATCCCATTGTCTACAGGTGGACTCCGAGTCTTGCGCAAAAAACCCTACGCAAGGTATTGACTCGACGGAGAAGGAAAAGAATGAATGGTTCATACTGGACTTCAAGTCCAAGCAGGGGAGTGAGGAAATGGTTCCTATGACTCGTTGGGCCAAAGACTGCTGCTGAGTACTTGCCACGCAGTAAGCTGCAAGTCGACAGGGACGTACTTGCAAACTCACAACCAAAAGACACAGCCGAGCGCACAACGCGCACAAGTACATGGGCTTTCCTACTGTGTGCCCAAGGCGCGCGTTGCAACTTCATCAACCTTGGTTGCACAGCTTCCACACGGCGTAGCAAGCTCGCTGCCATAACCTGCTTACTTACATTAAAATCCACCCCGAGATCGTCCAACCTTAAACAAACCTGCAAAGGAGAACCTTGAAACGACATGTTGCGAAGTAGTTGCCTGCCTGCAGGGCAATTCGAGTAAAGCCTGGTCTTCTCAGAATTAAGAAGCAACTGCATGGTCTGCGTGGCCGCACTCACTTCGTTCAAGAACGGCGCAAGCTGGGAACTGTCCCACATCTGGGCACTCCAGTTGTCGACGTAGCTGACTAAACTAACCCCCAAGCCCGAAATCCTAGCGGTTAAAGCCCAAGTAACCACAATCATGCACGACACCGCCAAGGGGCATCCTTCAGGCACTCCGACCGTACTTTGGACAGGTCCCCACAAGCCACCACCAAGCTTAAAAAACCGTTTAAGCTTACTTAAAAACTTACTGTATGCTTCTGCCAAGAGCGGTGGCCAACCAGTGCGCACAGCCATCTGCATGACAAGATCACGAGGCAATAGGTTATAAGCCTTAGATAAATCAAGTGAAACACCGAAGACAGTTCGGTTGGAAGCCATCGCTTCTTCAATTTGCGCAGCAAGGTTCCATGCAGCATCAGTGGACGACCGTCCGGGGATACTGCCGCACAACGTTTCTGGCAAATGAGGCAACCAATGCTCCAAAATTTTCTTGGAAAAGATTTTGCCAAACAGCCGGTACAAGCTTGAGAGAATTGTGATGGGTCTACCATCTTTAGGAACTTGAGGCTGCTCTACCTTGGCGAGCAAAGCAACAGCAGCATTACACATTTCATCCGGCCATTCCCCCGTCAGGAGTATGGAGTTGAAAAGCAACGCAAGCAGTTGTGCATCTTCTTCATGCACACATTGCAGCTCAAAGTTACTAAACCCATCTAAACCCCTAGCCTTTCCCACCTTCAACCGTCGCACAGCTTCAAGAACGTCTGCTGTGGTGACTTCCGGGTCGAAAGCAGGTAAATGCGGCAAGGCGTGAACCAAGTACTGGGCTTGAGATTGTACGACCGGTCGTGAGTGGTTCCAATACGAAGACCAGAACTGTGAAAACTGGTCGAACAACCACACAGGATCTGTACACCACGCCTTTTGGATAACCGTTTTCCTATACATTTCAATTTTCATCGGGGAATCAAGCGTGACAACGTCCTTTTCAATTTTAAACACAGCCGCAGAACACTTACCAAAACACCACTTCGAACCCATCTGGACAAGTTGTGGCTCCCGGACTCGGAATTTGGCATGATCACCCTTACTAGTGCGCAACGGGCTGACATGTAAAGACGTTTCCCTAAGCAGGGAATCAAGCCTCGCTGGTGATTCAGGCTTGACACTGGCAGCATGCAGTTTACCGCCTTTCTTCCAATCCTGTTCGAAGGTACGACTGGCAGCAGCCCTTTGCTCACGTGCGACAGACAACTGCATTAGCTTGAAGTCATGCAGCACAGACGGCAAAATGCTATCAATCCACTGCAGCGACGGCACATCAACAGGGACAAGTGAACAAATGTCTTGCTCGATCAGCCACGTTGCAAAGTCAGGGCTGAAGCTACCATCAGCATGCAACTTGTGCCACAGGTCACGGCACTGAGCAGGTTGGCAGTTTTTCGCCAGCAAGTGGCGCAAATGCTGGAGCCTGGATATCGCTCTTGCACGCATGTTGAAGCGCACTCGATCTGTAACCACCTCTTGTGTCGGATGTAGAGCGGCAGACACTGGATGTACATGTCTTACCTTACCTTTAAACCGACCTAAGAACTTAACCGGCAGTTTTGACCCAAGGGCTTGCAAATGCACCCGCATAAACTTGTCCTCAAATCCTTCAACAAAACATCTAAATGCCGCAAGAGTATCCCTACTCTGAATGTATTGCAAACACTTGGCTTGATGCTGCGTCGAAATGGGCTCCGCACGGAATTGCTTCTGCAGCTGGCACAGCTTTGCAAGGTCGCACGGCAAGCTCCATTTGGGTATTCGGGTCATGACGGCTTCCCATCGGAATGTTGCTTGAAGCAATCCGTGGTCAGTAAAACCATTAGGATCTACCGCGAAAGTTTCCAAGGCCCTGAAAGCCAAGGGACAGCAAACAATGTAATCAAGTCTAGATACACCTTTGTACGTGGGTTGCGGAACTTCATTGGTGAGTGCAGCCATTTTCTCCCCAACATCAACAAAACCCTTATCCAAGGCGCACTGCCAACAACCCAGCTTGCGTAAGTCGCAATTGAAATCTCCCGTAACCAGCGTCGGGATATGGTTACACCCAATCATGCGAAAGATTTCAGCAAAAAGCGTTTCATTTTGTTCAAGCGCACCGGCAACCCCAGAATGCACCCCATAAACTACCACAACACGGATCTGGATATCACTCAGCTGAATGAGACAATCAGTGACTCTGGCCGATTGCCAAATAGCCTTGTCCCATAGGTTATGTAAGGATTTTAAATGATGTCTGGACAACAACAGCGTACCTGCGGCGGACGACCTTCCACCAGAAGACTGCTCTGGGCGCTTGTTATTCCAAGGCGCAGAAGATGCCAAATAACCCTTGATGGACCTAGCTCGCTTATGAAGCTTAGCAAGGGTGGCAGTATTAGCGGAGGTTTCACTCCAAGCTGTGCAATTGTTTTGAAGGTCTAATTCGTCGGCATGCTTATTTGCGGGGGTTTAGGGGTTTAGGGGTTTAGGGGTTTAGGGGTTTAGGGGTTTAGGGGTTTAGGGGTTTAGGGGTTTAGGGGTTTAGGGTTTAGGGTTTAGGGGTTTAGGGGTTTAGGGGTTTAGGGGTTTAGGGGTTTAGGGGTTTAGGGGTTTAGGTGTTTAGGGGTTTAGGGGTTTAGGGGTTTAGGGGTTTAGGGGTTTAGGGGTTTAGGGGTTTAGGGGTTTAGGGGTTTAGGGGTTTAGGGGTTTAGGGTGTAGGCCTCCGACGCAATGAAGTCCTTTAGATCAGGCTCCAACACCCATCAGCCCTGTCTCCAAACCCAATCAGGCCCCCTGTCTCCAAAAAGAAGCGCGAATAGCTCCAGCACCAAAAAAAAACAGCCGACAGCCCCCAACAAGCGAAAGCAAGCTTTAGAAGCCTACCTGAAACCCTAACAAACTTAACCTCCGGGTTCAGCCCACGCGGCCATGTACCGCCCAGCACGCGCGCTCACGCGCACTTCGAACTCCGCATCGGGAGGGACCAGTGCACTGTACTCTTCCGCGAGGGGATCCTTAGCCGGTGCTCTTGGACGACTTAGGGGTGTTTGAGCTTATGCGGGTGATGGGGCTTCCACTTGGGGGGTTTCTAACCACACCCGCCTCCCAGCCAAAAGGGACCCATATGTGGTCGCCTCTCTAAGGCTTGGGCCTCTTAGAGGTTGCAGGATTTTGGGGGTTGAGGATAACCCCCAACTCTTCCTTCAAATCTGAACAGGTAATCAGCTGCAGCTAAAGGTCCACACCAGATGGCACGGAACCACTCTCACTGCCAGCCGCCATCGCGGCTGTTGAGGATTTTGCAGGGCAAAGTGTTATGGAGAGTTCGGGCGGCTGATATTGAGGGAAGAAAGGCTTGGCTTTGGGACTTCAAGCCCTTCGGGGTTCAGGGGTTGAAGTTGTGTCAGTGCACGGCTTCCTGTGCTGCATGGCTTGGAGTGAGCGGCACTCCGGTGTTCAGAAAGCTCCCCAAGCCATGGAAGGTCTTCTACTTCGACACGCCGCCCTTCTCTTCCCTTTCCTTTTGCCTGACAGCTCTACGGACGCACGGTTCTCTAGCTCATGGTCCCTCCTCTGGGCTCCCTGATTATGAGGCGTATTCTAACAAGGGCCGGTTGAAAGGGACCATTACATACAGAAATGACCAGATGATTTCGCTCTGGCCGACAGACGGAAGATGCACTGACATCATTGATATCATCGGATACTCCTGCACATTGCAGGAGGAGGCACGGTGGGGAAGAAAGGAAGCCCAGTGCCCTTGCACTGTAGAAGACTTTCACGTAACCTCTGCGTCGCAGCCGCGCACCTTGCCGCCAGGTCCCCAAGCGCAAAAAGAGTGCTGGGTCGACACGTCGTGGACAACAAGAATCCACGATCGGCGGGAGGGGCAGTCGTTATCAGCCGCTCTTCGGCCTCAATGATCTCCGACTTCACAGGGAGGGCTCCGAAGTGGCGCTGGCAGCGTGGCTCACGGAGTGCCTTTCGCGCTTGCGCAGGGGTGATCTCAACGGCCAAGAGCGGTACCTGCCGAAGGTCTACTTGGCGAATCACAGCGAGGCGGTTTAGATTTAGGTAAGGGGCTTTTGGGATCCACGTAGGGCTTCGGTGTTATGACCACACAGGCACTTACAAGGGACAGACTGGAGACGCTGCCCGAGTCGGAACTCTGAGTGGTTCTTAGGTCAAACACTCCCACGCCTTCCCACGCCCTGGGTCCTGCATAACGGCCTCAAGCCCTAAACCCCCCAAGCCCATCCCTTCTACTTACCGCAGCTTCCGGCGGCCCAAAAGTGGAACCCGGGTCACCCTGAGCCCGAAAAGCCCTAAACTCAAAGTAAAGTGCCAGTACTCTGTCAGTGTGGGCTGCAGTACCCTTATCCTACAAGGTAAGCCATGCCCCGGCCTCTTGCTTCAGGTCGGTGGCATGTCAGCGTATCCCAGGCAGCGCTGGATGTGGCCGTTGTGCAGCTGCCACGTGGCAAGGTCTGCCTAGTGGCCCATGCAGGGCTGAGGGCCCAGGAGATGAAGAGCTTAGAGGTATGGAGAACCTACCATGGACCTCAAGTGCGCGTTCTCCATCCCAAGAGAGCATTCATCCAGGGAGCCGATGCTACGTCGGAGGAACCCCTAAAGCCCGACACTGAAGCCCACAGCAGCCCTTGCTACCAGCCTCTTCTACTTGCCCCCACAGCGCAGTCGTCGCCATGTTGCCCTGTCCTCGCCGGTTGAGGGCTTAGGTCGAGGCATGTTGATGTTTAGGAGTTGACTCGAAAAAGCGACAAAGCTGGGTGGCAGGGAGCGTGTTCTTCCCCAGAGCCACCATAGGGCTGACGCCCATCAAGCTACAGACCTTCAGACCTTAAACCCGAAAACCCTTAACGGTGTAATTTCCCGTTAAACCCCTGTGAGCCTCAGACCCCGGAGTGTTCCGCGTTCCATAAGTCCGCACAATACCCTATCAACCGAAGTCCTGAAGCCCTGTTCTACTCCCGGCCCTAAGGGCCCTAAGCCCTGCCCGACCTGAGCCCACAAACTTCAGGGAGCTCTTGTTGTAACGGATCTTGAAGAAGTTCACGCCGCCCTCCCTCTGCCTCGGGTGGGAAGTCAATTCGGAGATCAGCCTGCCTGGAAGCTCAAAAGCCGTAACCCCAAGAAAAATGCTCTGGAGCCCTCGACACCCAAAGCCCAACCATCCGCTGACGGGGCGCTCCATGCTTTGCAAGGTCTCTGCCGAAGAGGCGTTGATGGCGAACCTCCGGCATAAGGGGGCTTTAAACAAACCCAGAGCTTCTGAGCCCCCAATCATCATAATAACAACAATAACAATCATAACAACGATTTTACTAATGATGAAATGATGATGATAATGATAATAATAAGAAGAATAAGAATAAGAGTCATGTAGTTAAGCCTGTGGGAGGTTCCCTCCCTCAAGCATCGGTTTGCATCGGGCGGCCGAATGTGCTCCATCCCCGCATCGAGGCTCAGGAACTCCGCGATTCCTCGGTGGAAGAAAGGTTTAGGGGTTTTAGGGTTTTAGGGTTTTAGGGCTTTAGGGTTTGAGGGTTTTAAGGGTTTTGGGGTTTTGGGGTTTTAGGGTTTTAGGGTTTAAGGGTTTTAGGGTTTTAGGGTTTTAGGGTTTTAGGGCTTTAGGGTTTTAGGGTTTTAGGGTTTAGGGTTTTAGGGTCTTAGGGCCTTAGGGTTTCGGGTTTTGCACCTTAGGATGGTCTTAGGAGTCGAGGAGTCTCAGCTCTGACTTTGGCAGAGGTGGTATTCTTGAGGAGCTTGAGGGGTTGGGGCGTTTCGACATCTTGGGTTGTCAGGGCAGATTACGGGTGTGATTTTGGGTTCAGGGCGTGGGTCGGGGCCGCGAAGACGATGCCTGGCCCAGGCTCTGAACCCTCGACACAGCTGAAGTCTCGAATCACCGCCTACCCGAGCAGAAATCCCAGAAAGGCTGACAAGGGTTTGGGGTCAAGGGTCCATGGTCTATGAACATCGCACATCCTAGGCCAGCCAGCAACTATCGGCAGTCAGGCGAGGCTCTTCTCATCTCCACTTCCGGCGTCTCCCGCAAGGATTCATACCGAAGCCTCGCGATACACACAGGCCGGAATGCAAGAAGGGGGGCTTGAGGGTCTTGGGATGTTGAGCCGTGTGCCGGGAGACCTATGAATCTGTGAACCTCTGAGGGTTCTGCTTGTAAGGCCTTCCACGTGCTTTCGAGGAGCCACAGGATCTTCAGCTCCTGGTTGTCTTGGGCAGCATGGTGCCAAGACCGGATGTGATCCGACCAGGAGACGCCCGGATACATCCTGTACGGACTTGAGGGTTAGGGCCTCGGGTTGAAGGGTGTTTTGCCATCACGTGGAAGCAAGGTTGAGTTGTGCTTTGAAGACCGCATTCGCTACGAACGAAAACCCGGTTGAAATGCTTTGAACATTCCGAAGCGGCTGGCCCATAGAGGTCAGCCTTCCAAATGCGGCACCAGGAGGCGAACCGCTCCCTATCAACCATCGTTTTTTCCGTCATGAATTCGAGGACCCTGAACCCAAAACACCCTCCCTAAAGCCACTTGGGGGTGAGGGCCTGGGACGAAAGCTAGTTAAGGTACTCCCACGGAAGAGCTTCCGTCAACATGGCATCAACTACGCAGCAGGACAAGCACACGCAAAGGCAGCAGGCCGTGTCACACATCAAGGCTTCTGAGTCTTTTCTTGGGGGGCTTTTCTGTTAGCATCTTCCGGAGGGCTCTTTTTTGAACCGCATGACACCACAACAGATGTTGCACTCACCAGGCGAAAGCTTTAAGGGACGCCGGACTCAAGTCAACATCAAGGCTTCTGAGTCTTTTCTTGGGGGGCTTTTTTGTGGCCTGGGATCCACAGAATTCGGCGTTCATTTGCGCCCAATATACGAAAAAAATGAACGCCAGCCCGTTTCCCCAAAACCTGTGTTTGCCCACCGGAAACCGACCGTGTTTGCTGCGTTTCGTGCGGAGCCTCCGGGGGCCCTGTATACCCATCAGGTTGTAAGCTTCGCTTAAGCAAGATACTCCGCTAGCTCCTCAAAAGGCTAGCTTTCGTGACAAACGCTGCGTAAGCCACAAACAACCCACCCTAAAGTCCCTAAAACCAAAAAGCCCCTCTAGCCCTAAACCCCCTCGCAGTCTTTGACCACTGACAAAGGTGGGAGGACCCACAGAGACCAAGCCTTATGGGATCAGGGCGTAAGGGCATTGTGGTGTCTTGAGCTTTTGGGGGGTAGTGGGGATTCAAAGCTTTCAAGCAGGTGGTGAAAACAAAAACTCAAAGCTTCCCGTAAACCCGGAAACCTGAAGACATAAAACCCTGCGTCCTGCTGAAATCCAAACCCTAGGCAGAAGCCGCAACATGAGTTCTCCTTTCAATATCCGGGCCTGCGGTTGTTGATGAAGGTCCTGGGCCATGGGCTCCGAAACCTTAAACCGAAACCCTCAAAAACCCAACCCCACAGCTGTCGGGAGAAAGCACGACATTGCAAGTGCCCCAGGATCCGAAAATATCCTCAGCAACCAACGAGAACCTACAGGCCCTGAGATACCCAGAACCCTGAACCCTAAACCCCCCAAACACTCCCAACCCTCCCAACCCTCCCAACCCTCCCAACCCTCCCAACCCTCCAAACCCTCCCAACCCCCTGAATGCTAATCCAGGCCGAGGCACTTGAAGGAGCTGCGATCCTTCACTTGGCCCAGGCCCAGTCGGAATCGAAAGTAGGAAGCCAGGGTGTCATAACCGTTTCCTCAGTCACGAAACCCTAAACCCTAAACCCTAAACCCTAAACGTTGGGGGGGTTTAGGGTTTAGGGTTGATAGGGATTACGGTTTAGGGTTGGGGGCTCAGGGTTTAAGGTTGGGGGTTCAGGGTTTAGGGCCCGGGTTAGGTTTGCCTAGGCCGCTGAAGCTAAATCCTGCATGAATTCGAAGCTCGTCTGTGGAGTGTGGGATATGCTCCTTGCTGCCCAGCCACGATAGACATAGATCACCTTGAGAAGAGCTGAAGGCTTAGAGATTCAAGATTCAACCCCCAGATTTGACAACCGCGATATCACATCTCCTTAAAAAGAAAGCGAGTCGGCTCAGTCCGCTCGCTTACCCCTGGCGCACATGCTCAATAGTGCGACCCCTTGTCATCCGCAAGCCCGCGGCCCCTCAACCAATCGGACTCCGAACGCGAAACTACTGTAAGACCATATACCTTCAGCCGAAAGAAAGGCTTGGGTTCTGTTTTCTGCCAACACTCTACCGCAAAGCCAAGCCCCTTGCAGGATTCTTAGGGAACCTACCAGAACAGTGGGATTGACCATGGCTTTCACTGCATCCAAGCTGCTCGCCGGAACTTCTTGGCGCAGTTGGGGCACATGCACTGGGAGGGAGCCTGGTGGTCCACGGTGCCGCCCTGGCGTTGCGCGGAGGGGGGGCTGTTCGATATTCAGGACTGATAGGTGTTAAGGGTGTATCGGAGTTTGTCCTGAAAGCAGTCCTTGTTTGTTTTTGGGGGGGCGGGGGGGGGGGGTTGGGGCGACTTCTCAGGAACGCGACCGTGGGGAGGGGCTTGGAAGCGCCATACTGCTGAAATGCCTGAACAGCATTGGATTTGAAGAGCTGGCGAGAATTGCAAAATACGTCAAGGCTAAACCAAGCATCTTCGTTGTGGTCTGGCCTTGCAGGGGTGGGTGTCGCAGTTGAAGGGCTCGTGCGTCTTCCAAATCCGGAAGCCAGTGCGAGAGCGGAACATGTCGGGCGAGGTCCAGCCCTTGCCATCTTCCTTCGTAGGGTGAAAGGCAGAAAGGGCGGAAGCACCAAGCGGGAAACGCCCGCCCCCCCCCATCCACAAAGCAAAAAAAAAAACTACACTTCTAAACCCAAAACCCACGACCCTAAACCCCCCAACGCCGCTTCAAGGCAACTCAAAACGAGAGCCAAGAGTCGATGAAGGGGATAAAGTCATCCACGGCTTTGAAGGACGCCACCTCAGGGAGCCCCGGGCTCTTCACCGCCTCGGCTCAAGGAGACCCAAGGGCCCTAAGGCTTCGGGCCCCCAGACCAGGCAACATGCAAGAAAAACACAGAACCCGATCCAAAGTTCCAGACCTTCTCAAGTGCAAAACTTTGAGGCCGAGGCGAAGTACAGATTGGTCACCAGATGCCGAACCTTGGGGCGGTTTCATGGAGTCTCTGGGGGTCGCTCCAACATCCAGCAACCTACCCACTGCCCGCCACTTTTAGGGCATCAAGGGTTAATGGGGTATGGGAATGAGCCCTTAAACCAACCCTAGGTGCTCGCCCCAGTCGCCCAGGTCGAGCCTGTCTTTGGGTAGCTGGTGATCCAGACGTCCTTGCCAGGGGCTCAAAGCTCACTGAGCGGATTCACTCCAAGGACCAGGAGCAAAAGAAAGGTTGGTCTTGTGGGACTACATGGTCCGAGGACTTCAGAATACAGGTACTCACGACGACTCTGAAGCCACATGAGCGGATAAGCTGCGGTTTTGAAGAGTTGTACAACATTCAGAGATGTCGGGCGTGCGAGGTTTGGGGTATATTGTAATTCTCGGGGACGGCAGAGTAGAAAACAAAGAACTCTGCAACCCTAAGCCCCATTTTCGAATTCCGAAGCCGTCTCCGATCTGTCACTGACAGAGGGAGCACTTGACAACCACTAGCTTCCGCCGTTGGGGTAAAGGTGCGTTGGAGGATGCATGGGTAGAGACTTAAAGCCTGAAACTTAAACCCGGTAAACCTAAACCCAGCCGCTCTAGCGCTACGTGGACCTTGTCCGAGGGATCATCCTGCGGGAATCGCACAGGTCCAGCGTGGAGCTCTGAGCAAGCATCCTGGCAAAAGCGGCTCATGGCTCAGAGCACGCGAACCCGAAAGAATGTGGCGAGGAGATTCGAAAGCCTGGCGTATGTCAACAGAGTGTCATGCTCAAGTGTGGAAGCGTGCCTCAGAAACAGGCGTCTGTGTTGACCTTGCACAACCCTCAGCCCTAAACTCTGCGCCCAACACCCTTCGTGCTAGGCCTTGCAAGAGGAGCAGCGCGAGAGCATCTGCTTAACGTTGCAAGAGCCTCCTTCCAGTGAGGAAGCTTCTGACCCAAGATCAGGGACCGGGTGTTCTCACAGCAGAGACTGAATCAAAAGCCCGCCGTCGCACTCTAAACCTCGCCTTGAGAGCCACGGAGCCTTACCGGCCGATCCTCGATGAAGCCCATGCACATGCTCCTGCACCCCAACCCCCTGCACAGAAAACGTCTACCGCCAAAACCCTGAAGCAATCCTTCACTAGGCCGGGCACACCCGAATCCTCTCAACAGGCTTGGGCCATATTCAGGGGGGGGTATCAAGCCTGATCCAAACTTGTGAGGCCCTGCAAGGTCTGCTCCTGATGTGAAATACGCCGTGTCAGTAGTACCCCCCGCCCCCCGGTATCCCAAGCTTGATCTTACTTGAGTAGCGATTGAAAACCTCATCACTTGCTCGCGCAAGCAATGGCTGCACTTGAACCCAAGTCCAAAACCCTCACGCAAAGCCTAAACCAAAAGCTCTAAACCCGAAAAACCTAAAACCCTACACCCTAAACCTGCAACCCTAAACAAACGTGTTCGATGTTATTTCACAAAAACCACTTGCTGATTGAGTGGCCATGAACAGTGCTGACATCAAAGCAACACTGCATGGTGTTAAATGGTGCTTCATGGCAGCCAAGAGAAGACTTGCCGAGTTTCAGAATGTGCTTCTCTATTTTCAGAGGGCTCAACTTCTCGGAGATAGAGTGTGCTTCAACACATCTTGCAACCCCAGTGGACTATCGAGAAATTTGTATTTCTCATGTTCCATGGCAACAAAATTGTCTGAGGTGACGATTTAAACCTGGCTTGAACAGTCTATTTTTCTCACACATTCGACGAACCGACCTCATCAGTTCGTCTGAAGCCTTAAACCCTGAAAGCCCAAACCCTGACCCCAAGAGTTTGCGCCTCCACACCAACGGACCTCACCCCGAAGATCAGCCCCCCCAAGCCGCAAGCCGCTAGCCCAAGCTCCCGGCCGAAACAAAGTTGACCTACTACAGTAGGGACTCGGGTCGCGGGTTTGGGAGTTAGTTGCTTGCCTTTTTGCTATTACTTTTATTGCTTCTTTCGGGGGGTCTGCGGTACAGGAAGTGTAGGGCTTACATCCCAAATCCTGAAGTCAAAGCTGGCATCCTGTGTGGACAGCTCGTCATGCAGGAGCTACACCTGCTCATCGCCGCGTCACCTGCAAGGGCCCGGCCCCAGAGATGAGGGTTCTTTGTGGCTCCGGGTCTTGGGTTTGGGATTCTTAGTCCAGGGTGGGGGCAGGGGGGTAGGCGTTGGGAATCTAGCATTTGGCGCACAAGCTGGCTTGAACCATCATGCGACATTCGGGAATCAAGCATGTGTTGAACAGCGGACTCGCATCTTCGTCACTTCGGAGAATCCGTGAGCGGCTTACACGCCTGATGTATCTGAGGGTTTAGGGTTTGGGACAAAATAAGGTCACCCGCAAACTCCTCTGAAGCCCCAAAACCTAAGCTGCAAATACCAAGCAAAAAACCTTACACCGTCCACCCCAAACCCCGAAACCTCTCAACCCCAAGCTTGCCCCTAAAAGGAGGCCAGGCTGCTGCTGTTCGAGCCGACACAGAACATGGCGCAGGTCCTCCTGGCGTTCGGGCTTTGAGGCTGTGCAAGCCTTCATGGAGAATAGACCGATGATAGTAATTGCAATGGTGATAACAATGATGATAAGGATAACTATGATGAAACAAAAATCCTGATAACCGTGCTCGTAAGGATAAAGCGACAGTAGCAATGACAATCACATTGATCATCACAATGATAATGACAGTGGTAAACAAACAAGGACAATAATCAGAAGAAGAATCACAACATAAAGACAAAAACATAGCTTTGACAATGATACTGATGATGGCAACTGAGGCTTCTTGCTGGCCAGCTTCAAGACTTTGCAGAACAGTCCAAGGAGTCCAAGGAAGACTTCAAAGTGCTTGAGAGGAAACCCTTCGAAAGCAGCGTTTCAACCCTTCAACCTTCGCGCCTCTCGGGGTGGCAGAACTCGGCATCGGAGCACTGCAGCGAGGACAAGCAGCGTCCTTTAGAGGCTCTCAAGGCTGGGCGGGGAGGCCGTTTTGCTGATGCGGACAAGTCTTTGCGCTGGTTGCAGAGGCTGGTACGTTCCTCTACATAATTTCTCGCGCTCGTCAAAGTGGGTTTACGTCTTACCCCGGTAGACTATCCTGCACACAATAACTTGCTGAAGATCTGCTATCCCCCGGCAAAGCTCTCCTCCCTGCCGAGGCAGCATTGGCTTCCCCACGGAACAATTTCGCAGCTCCACCCGCTGGTTCGGGGGTCGCTCGTCCTTTTGCGGTGCCTCCGAGACAAGGCTTACAAGCAGCTACAAGTAGTTCAAACAGCTTCAAAACATACTGAACATATTGGGCACGTCTTCGGCTGTTAATGTTGTACCCCCCACCCACGCACCCACGCACCCACCCACCCACCCACCCACGCACCCACGACAGTCGAAGCAAGCTCATTCTTGCCCTCTAGAAACGGTCCACGGGCTTTGAAGGGACGAGTTGGCATCACGTCAACAGGGACAGAGACGCCCGGCAATTGCCTTTAAAGGCGCGCCACACGAAACATTCTTGCGACGCCCGGAAGACTTGACTTTCTGGAGGATCCCACAGTGCGCCCCTCCTCATAAGCCCGGCCAGGTGGACTTCACTTAAGGGGCCCCACAGAAGCGCGTACAACATTGAAGGGGTCGTTGGCATCCGGTCATTTCCTTTCAAATCACGTCCCGCAACCCCTAGTTTTAAGCGAGGGTCCGCTGATGTCAAGCGACTGGCCCGAGTAGTTTGAGGTGTCAAAGTTTAGGGCGTAAGCTTGACAACCCAAACGTGTGGGATACGGAAAGGTGTGGGGAAAGAATCACCGTCACCGCCCGAACAGGCCAACTACGGGTATGGCCTTCCTTGACAGCGTTTGTACGTAGCTACAGCTTATCGGGCGGGTAGTTGTTCTTTATGGGGATCCCTCCTGGTACATTCGCGCAACCCCATGAGAGCCGCGCCCCCTAGTGTGGCTTGCAGTTCACGTCTGTAGTCTTCGTTCAACTACCTGCTGTCGCTTGTATCGGCCGTCCGGGCGTCGTCCTGAGCTTGTCCAAGTGTGAAGCCCAACGTTTTCATTAGTCAGCGCTGTTGACAAGCGAGGAGGAGCTGAGGCTCCAAAAACGACGGTCACGAGGCTCGCACGATCCCGACACGCACGAGCCCTGTAAGCGTCAGCGTGCAGAATTCGCGTTCCTAAAAAATGATGGCAACGACAGCTGCGAGGATCGTGGGATCAAAAAGCGAGAACAGCTACAAAAATTCCTACTGTCAGCACTTGAGAATTTCTTGCGGACCGAGGAAACGATCTCCGCTCAACCCAATCCACACCGCAGGCCCTAAGATTGTTCGCTCTGATTCTCAGGCCTCCAACTGCACCTTCCGCGGCGGAGCATTTCGAGGCGGTGGCACCTACAACCAGGGTTTTTCGGAGATGGCTAGAAAGAAGGATTTGGGATAAGTCGCTTAAGATTTTGGGATTAGGGCGGGTTAGGCTTTAGGTGTGCAAAACACTCAGCATGCTTGTAGGTTTTTGTGGAAACCTCTTCGGCCATGAATGCTGCTAGCTGCACGCTCCAACTTGCGCTGTATTGTTTACAGTTCAAGTGCAGCAACTCTCGGAACCCTCATGAGCCCCAACTCCAATGGCCTCTAGGAGCCCCTCCCTTACCTAACAGTCTAACCCTTAGGCTCCTTATTGTAGTTCCTACAAAAACCCAAAAAGCTAGAGTCCCAAGAGCCAGAAGGAAGCCATAAGCCGACTCAAACAGCAATCTGCTGTAGGCGCAGACCACCAGGCTCTTGGCTGCTCTCTCGTGTTTTTGAAAGGGCTCTCAATCTTGGAAAAACGTTCCCCCTGATACCTTGACAGCTTCCGGCACCACCGTGTCAGCAGGCCGTAGGAAGATCCAGATCCTAGGGGGTTAGAGGGTTGAGGGTGGGGAGGTTGGGGGCAGAGAGGCTGGGACAGGGGCTGGTGAGCCCGAAACCACACACCCAAACTCAACCGGCTACACCTCTGAAGCCTGACCCTTTGAGGCAGGCTTCCAGACGATCGTGGCTGAAGCTGCGGCCAGCAAGAAGTAAAGAAACGCAGACAGCGGCTTCTTGCACATGAGGGGGGGGAAGAGTTGTCCTAATTAGGGATCTTTTCTATCAGGGGGTTTGGGTTTAGGGTTGTATTTCGCAGCATCTAGGCCCTATAATTAAATAGCCCCAAACGCGTTCACTAGGATTGCGCTCTCCGTGGGGCAGCACGGTAGCATGAACCAAAGCGGCATCATGTCGGATTTGCCCTGCCCTGCGCTGCCATCAAGATATGTGCACAACCGTGACTTAAACTGCATCCCGAACTCCTTGAATACTGACCCAACCCCAAACCGGGACCCTACACCAGCTCCTAAGCTGTGGACAAATCGAGGTGTCCAGGGTCTGGCTGTACACCTACTTCCATAGGAACTCCGAGGGGCTTGGGGCTTGGATCCTGGAACCCTCTGCAATTCTAGCGCTCTCGCGGGCAAACGATGCAGTCGCTCTTGGACCGTCCTGAATTCCAGGCTAAACCTAGCCTAGCCTAGCCCTCAGCTGTAGACGGGCGATCTGTAAAAAGACGCCGGTGTCCTGGGGAAACTCGGATGACACTAGGAAAACCCTGAACCACCTGAGCCCAAGACACCTGTTGAGGACTTCTGAAGCCTTCCGCGCCCAATTTACCGGTTCCAACCCGACAGTGTTGTCTCACGGTGAGAGAACCCGACAAGTCTGTACAGTCCATGTCCTGTTCGGGTCTGATTTTCAGATCCCGGGTCTATCTTCGATAGAAGCCAAGAAAGCCAAAAACAAATACTGGGGGGGTTTCTGTTGTAGAAAGGGCCCTCTTAGTTAACCAGCATTCCAGCGATGCAGCCTGTCATCAGACATGCAACTGTGCCTGTGACCTGGGCTGCAAGCCAAGGGCCCGAGATGCGCGAACAAATCACAACAACAATCATTCTGCTCCACAAGGTCTTATGGTTTAGGACTGGTACACCGAAACCTCAACTCGAAGAGCATGTCTTTCCAGCCAGAAAACATAAGCCTCCCAGCCCCTCAGAAGACCCTAACATCGCCCCGAATCCCCCGATCCCAGATGGCAAACGGCCAAGGTGCCATGGCTCTAAGGCCCAAGGCCGCGAAGTCCGCCTTGCGCCGCGGCTCCAACGTGGTGAAGCCGCCCACCTTGGGCAGGGCGAGGAAGGGTTCAGGTGTAGTTTGGAGTTTGGGGCTTAGGGCCGAGGGCTTTTGCGTAAAGGGCTCAAGTAGAACTTTGAGATTTTGGGGATCTTGTCTGAAACCAGACAAACCCCTTAGTCCTGCCTGCACGCCAATGGAGCCAAAGTTGGAAAAGCCGCAGAGGGCGTAGGTTGCAATGATCTCCTCAAGGAAACGGTTTATATGAAGGGCTCAGGGTTGAAGGTTTTGGGGTTCTGGGGCCTAGGGTTTTGGATTTCGGCTTTGGGCTTGGGGAGCCTTTTCTATTTGGGCGTTTATCAAAATACGGGACCCTTAACATGGCGCCCCTAAAGTAAGGGTTCCCTCAATAAGGTGCCCTATAGGTTCGGAAACCAGCACTCAAGGCTCAGCTGTCTGGTATTTGCAAAGCCTGGTGCCGAGGCTGCCGAGGCTGCCAAGGTGCCGCTTGGGTGCTGATGCCACCTTTGGCCTTCAGGTCCGCGAGGTTTTTATACGCCACGAACTCGTTGAGGATGGTCTTCTGACCTGCAAGGGTTGAGCGTTGAGGGAGAGCCTGCCCTTCCCGGCCCTTAGAGCCCCCAAATGCCCCCCCCCATCCTTCGCCGGCTTTAGACCTTTCTTTGAGCCCCGGCGGCCTATCAGCAAGCCAACACTTTGGCAGTCGGCTGGTGGCACTCCCATTAGCCTGGCATGTTGGCGGCCTCTGAGACCTAATTGAGGCCCCCAAACCCTAAACCCTAAAACGTATAAACCCTAAACCCCACAAACCCTGAACTCTAAGAACCCTAAACCCTTAAACCCTAAAAAAAAAACCAACGAATCAAGCTGAAGCCCAGCAACAAGGCCAGTGGCCAGAGAAGGTAGGAGAGCACCTCAAAAGGGGCATAAGCAGGCTTCCAGCATGGGTTTGTTGAGGTGCTTTGGGGATGCCTAGGGTTCTTCGGGTTGCTAAGGCTGCTGGGGTTTTTCGGGTTGTTTAGGGTTGTTTTTGGTTAACAGGGTGTTCTTTCAGGGGCCTTTTAGGGTGCCTAGGCTTTCGGGCTTTCAAGCTCGGACCGCGTCGATGGTGAGCCCACTGATGCCCACGAGCTCGCCGGCAAACTCGAGCCTGGGACTCAGGAGGCTCCAGCAGCACATGGGGAACCCCCCCTCCCAAACAGAAAACGCCTCTGAACATCTTAAGCGCCCGGGGAGGTGCTACGGACTTCGGGTTTTCAGGGCACGCGCTTTTTGGAGTCTACAGGGCTGTTATGGTGGGTTTAGGGATTAGGGCTGAGGGTGCCGAGCACAGGAGCGAGCTGTTCAGAAAGGCCATGACCGACATGGCAGCAACCAACATTGCGGCGACGCAGGCGGCCTAAGAACCGGGCTCAGGGTGTGGGATGGAGGGGTCAATATCTGGAGAATATAGGGCAGGGTTCTTGGGTACAGGGTTGACATGAGAAGGGTCAGCCTGAAATCTTCCGCCACGCCCGAGCCCTTCAAGAAAAGTAAGAAGCCTGAGCTGGCTGCCCTCCGCGGCATGCCCCCCAATTTCTCAACCACTCAGCCCTTCCCACCCCTCAAACAAAACAAGCGTTGGGGGTTTAGGGTGCCATATATGTATATATATACAGACATACATATGGATATTATATACCAGAAAAAAGCACGTAATCTTCACATAAACTTGTTTAGAGCTTCGGGCACTGAATGCGGGCACGGGGGCCATGGCCATGCCAGTCATGACCCCGGTGGTCATGGCTTCCAGTAGGTTCGAAGCGGTGTCGGGCGCGAGCACTTTCAGAGTGTTGGTCCTCTGCCGGGGAAGTCGCACCCGAGCCCATGTCCCCCAATCAACCTCCCAGCCCAAGCAATCAGCTCAGTACACCCAGCTCCTCGGAAGCTCGGTCTCCGGGTACGCCTAAGCACTAAGCCGTGCTTGGAAGGTGCTGGGGAGGACACAAGGCCTTCGGTGGTGTAGGGTTTGAGGGCCGAGGGTTTTGCGGCCAGGGGTTTCGGATCTGTGTTTGGAGTTTAGTGCTGAAGTTTCAAAGAAGTTCTCAAGGTGAAAGGGAGAAGAAGCTTTGCTGGGACTCCGGACTCTTGAGGCTTACACGCGCGGCAAGCCAAGACCAGCGTTTCTGATAGCCTGAACCCTGAACTTGGGACGTTCACCCTTCTACCAACAGTCCTTAACCGGGATTATAGCACCCCCGCTTATCATCCCTATTAAGGACTCTTAGTTTTAAGGGTAACATCCCCGGAGCCAACTTTCAAACCCTAAACCCTAAACCCCAAACCCCAAACCCTAAACCCTAAATCCCAAACCCCCAAGCCCCAAACCCTAAACCCTAAACCCTAAACGGTGTCTCTGTCAGGCCCGGGCCAGCTTCGACATGGCCAGTGCGGCAGGGGCCGACATTACGGAAGCTGCCAGGAGGTGGTCCTCGCCGGACATAAGAGAACTTTCGAGGCTTAGGGTCTGGGGTTTCGGTTTAGGATTCAGGTTTGAGGTTTGGGGTTTGGGGTTTGGGGCTTGGGGCTTGGGGCTTGGGGCTTGGGGCTTGGGGCTTGGGGCTTGGGGTTTGGGGTTTGGGGTTTAGGGTTTGGGGCTTGGGGCTTGGGGCTTGGGGCTTGGGGTTTTGGGGTTTGGGGTTTGGGGGTGGGCTGGGGGAATATGGGGGTTGTAGAACCGACACATGGCACACCTAGTAGGATCCGGTGTGGAAAGAGACACCAGATTGGCAAGCAACATGCAATCCGGATGGCTGAGTGTCCCTGGAACCCTCCTTATACACCGAAACTCCCCAAACCCCCCCTAAACCCTAAACCCTAAACCCTACACCCCGAAGAGAACGGTCCGCCGGCACGCCGAAGAGGATGTAGGCAGCCATGACGGACCCAGCGATGGAAGCGAAGCCGCTTGTCATTGCCTGGGGTGGGATGCCTTAAGGTCCTGTAGACGGCACCCTAAACCCTAAATCCTAAACCCTAAACCCTAAACCCAAAACCCTGAGAATGTACCTTAACCTATAAAAGCCCTACCTGGTTTTACTGCAACCTTCAAAAGCTTCAGGGCCTTTTGGATCCTCGCGTTGGGCTCAGGCCCCAACCTCACGCCGAGGGTGACGAACAATCCCCTCAACCTCCCTTAACCCACAATAGTCAAAGTCGAAAACCCCACGGCCATCAGCCCCCTATACCAGCAACACCCCGAGTCCCCGAACTCTTCCGATCGGCGAGGGTCCGAATGAATCTCGGACCGCGTCATGTTGACCAGAAAGGGCTTTACAATGAGCGGCGCCTGCAAGATGTCGCTTAGGGTTCAGGAGTTCGGGCATCTGCTTGGAGGTTCAAGGGGCTGAAGGCTTGGAGGGATGGTGGAAAGCTCTAAGCCCTAAGTCCGAGCCTCATTCTGGCTCAGGAAGATGTTGGCAGATGCCTGAGCTTTGACCCACACCTCTTCCAAGACCAGCCAAGCTTCGGCAGAGTCGAGGGCTTAGACCGGACCTACTATAGGGTGGAGCCCCCCTAGCCAAAGCTGTTTGGGGGTCGAGAGTCGACCGTCTATGAGTCAGGGTAGGCCTTGCCCAGTTTGGGTAATTGCACCACCACGGCCAAAATCATAGCCATAATATCCTAAAACACTTTACCATATAGAAAATAAGGTGCAATTATCCAAAATGGACAAGGTTATGGGGTCGCCCAGTTTGGGTTATTACATCACCGTCAACCAACTAGTGCTCAATAATCCCTAAAACACATTACCATATAGAAAATCATCCTATTTATCAGGCCGAAACGGGCAAGGTTAGGTTGTTTCATGTTATGGGGCATAGTATGGGTGGTAGGGGTTTCAATAATCATTTAATAATGCAATTAAACTATTATTGGTTTCTAAATAATGTGTTAATAGTTGTATTTTACTAAATTCCAATTACATATGCATATTTGACCAATAATCTTCTACTGCTTTATGTTTGTTGAAATCAATAATTTCTAGTTTTTCTCTACTACAAACATAATAATTTTTCTTTTTATGAATTTCTAAGAATTTATCATATTTTTGAATAATCTTCTTACGGCGATATTCGTACATATCAATATCTTTTACATCGTCTTTTTCATAATATTTTAATAGTGCGAATTTAATCGGAATATAATGTTGTGTTTCTATGTTCATTACTTTTCGCGTGTCATCTCCTGCTTTTATATTTAACTCATTATATCCCTTTTTAAATGGATTGTTTTCAGTTTCATTTGCCTTATCGTCTTCTTCTACTGGTTCATTATTATTATCATTATTATTAATATTATCTAATTCTTCTTCTCTTTTCATATCCTGCATTTTAATTTGCCATTCTAATTGTATTCTTTCATTAACTGATAATTTGTCATCATCTTCTTCATCATCTTCTTCATCATCTTCTTCATCATCTTCTTCATCATCTTCTTCATCATCTTCTTCTTCATCTTCTTCTTCATCTTCTTCTTGATCTTCTTCATCTTCTTCTTGATCTGCTTGTTCTTCTTTTTGTTTTCATAATTAACTATATTTTTCAACTTCTAAATGGCTTCTTCTAGTGTTTCAATTTCTTGTTCTTTTGCCGTTGCTTCCCCTTGTAGCTTTTCATTTTCACAAACTAATAAGTGGTCATCATCACAGTCAAATAAACCAGTGAATTTCGTCTCATATAATAATTCTCCAACTTCTTTTAGTTTGAACTCAATTTTGGCAAGTTCCTCCTTTTTGCTGGATAATCGGTCAATGTATTTGCTAACACTAATCATCATATTAATATATTAAGTTGTTATTTCTTTAAGTGCTTTTCTTAAGACCCTTTTCACAAGAGAACCTGAACTCAACCCCTTTTTACGTCTGATTCAGTTTTGCTTTTAAATATCCATGTGAATCATCTATTCTTGAAATCACAGTAGAAGTCTTTTTTATAACAATTGGCATTCTTTTAAACGTTTCTCCAAATAACTTTTCCTCTGGTTGACGTCTTTTATATATTTGTCGTCTGCTGAAGATTTGTTGATTGATTTTTCCATGTCCTTTATCAATGCTTCAACTTTTAATAGCAATGAATATTGATTTTCTGCAAATTCATTTCTTAAATTTTCCATTTCTGTTTCAATATGTGAAGCATTTTCTTTGTATATGCTTTTACTCGGGTCTTTTCCGGTCGCGATTTCATACATCGCTTTTAACATATACTTTACAATATATATTTTAATCTTTACAACTTTTAAAACTTTGTACTAATAACATTTTTCATAAGAAAACTCGCTGTGCTCATTCCTTCCCTTTAAGTCTAGATTTTTCAGTATTATTTAAACAAGCCCTATACGATTTATTGTATACTCTTTTGGAACGTTTACTTACAAACTCATTTGTGTGTTTTATTTGCTTACAACATCACCTGATAAATAGGATGATTTTCTATATGGTAATGTGTTTTAGGGATTATTGAGCACTAGTTGGTTGACGGTGATGTAATAACCCAAACTGGGCGACCCCATTACCTTGTCCATTTTGGTTAATTGCACCTTATTTTCTATATGGTAAAGTGTTTTAGGATATTATGGCTATGATTTTGGCCGTGGTGGTGCAATTACCCAAACTGGGCAAGGCCTACCCTGACTCTATGATGCCCCCCCCCCCCCACATCTGCATAGAACCCTTGTGTTTCAACAGTCCGTCCTAGGCTTCGACGTTCTAGGACTCAGAGCTTCGGGGCGCTTAAGCATATCGGATCTGATCCCGTTCCCGACGCGGAACCTGCCCACCCGGTCAATCTCTGACAATATGTCCCAAAATTTTCATGTGCACGCACAATAGTGGGATTATGTAAGGTTTGTTGGGGGGGAGGGTGACCGCGTTGAATGCAGATACATACATACATACATACATACATACATACATACATACATACATACATACATACATATATATATATATTGCCCCATTCCATCCGCATGCCGAGGGGATGGATTGAGTCTCAGTTTCGGAACTGCTCCACATCAAATCTGCAATCATAATCTCGTCGGGACCGTGCCGATTCAAAGTGCTGCACACAGCTCAAACGTAGGCCGCGGACGATCAGAGACTCACAGTAGCCCGTACCCATGATCTTCCTCAGCTATGTCTCTTGGAACATGATTGCTTTCGGAATTCGGGTATGTAGACTCATCCATGGCTGTGCACCGCTGTGAGTTCTGCGTGGTCCCACCCCCATCTCGGTTGGCCAGGTTGTCCGAAAACCCCCGAAACCTGCAAACCTCAAAGCCCTCAGCCTCAAATCCCAAAACCACCAACCCAAACCTCACAACCACACCACCGGCCTGTGAAGAGGTCGAGGAGATCAATAGTACACCATACAGGTCATAGAATATTCGGCTCAGGCTCTGCATCACCCAGCCTAGTCGAATGAAGACCGCCTGGATGATCCCGAGATAGTAGCATGCTGAAACGATCGAGCTGAAGAAAACGATTACGGGAAGGACTTTGAAGACGAAGAAGAAGTCCTTGTAAGATGGGCCAAACACCTCAGGTCGGCACTTCTCATACGTGGGGGGTGAGGTGATTCACAGCGGCGCCACAAAGGAAAAAGCGCAGAAAAGGGCCAGAAGAGACCGAACCCTAAAGTCTCCATCCAAGACTGGGACTCTGAAGCCTAGAACCACTGAGCCGCGCCTTTGCATCTCAAGAAGCCGAAATCCTTCCTGAAACTGAAACACATCCATGGCGCGAACTCACTCCCCTGGTCCGTGAAGCCCAGGAAGGTCACCACGACATCGGCGAGCGCCTCGCGGGATGAGGGTTAAGGCCAGAGGAGCTCGAGCCGCCTCGCTTCTCAGGCCGGTCCCTTAGCCCCGCGTCCTGGAAAGCCTGATAGCCGAAATCCGTCTTCATGATCAGAAGGCCTTCCCAGATTTGCTTGCGCGAAGTCGGGAAGTCTTGACGTCAGGGCTTTTGAAGACATTTTGTTGCCAGGGCTTTTGAGCTTTCAGCATGACTGGATACAGGCTCTTTACCTCCAGCTTCGAGCCTTTACCCTAATGATGATAGGAAGAATAAGAAGAAAAGTCAGAATAAGAAGCAGAAGAAGAAGATAAGAAGAACAAGAATAAGAATAAGAAGAAGAAGAAGAAAACTTAAGGAGTATGCCTGGGGTGGGGATTTTGGGGCGGGGGCGGGGGGGGGGGTGGGATTTTGATTGGTGTGGGGTGGGGTGGTGCTAGGGTTTGGGGGGTTTGGGGATGCCACATCCTGACCCCAAACCCTAAACCTCATGAGCTTCCCGGCTTGCCGCGCGGCCTAAGAGGAACTGGAGCGCGATGCCGGTAATCACCGGCCTCCAGCGGACTTGGCTCCTGAGACATGGAGGGAGCCCTCAAAGAGGTTTAGGGTTTGGGGTCTAGGGTTTAGGGTTTAGGGATTAGGGTTCAAGGCTTAGGGTGTTGAGCCCTTTTGTTTGCCCTGAGCATCTACCCTCTAAAGAAGCACAAAAAAAGCCCATATTTTGGATCAACCCCCGACGTGCAGTTGTAAGCCGAAACCCTAGGCACTAAACCCAATCGCCTAAGCCCCAAACCTGAACCCGATAAACCCTCACATGTTAAACCCGAATGGCTACAAAACCCGAATACCCCGAAAGCCCACAAAACCCGACCCTACACCCGAAGCCTCAAAAAACCTTCAACCTACACCCGAAAACCTAAACCCCAACACGTCAACCCTGACCCCCAGAAACCCTAGACCCTGAACCCCCTCAACCCCTAAGCCCCCCCAATACCCCCCTTAACCCCCCAACCCCCCCGCCCCCCCCCCAAAAAAAAAAGAATAGTAAAATTCGCCTCGGCTTCCTGCCGAGAAGCGTCTGGAACAAGCAGACCCGGATCGGGCCTCCTTCCCCCTAACCCAACCCTTTCCCCCTTGCCAAATTTTCTGACCCCCCCCCCCCCCCCCCGCCCTGTGGGACCCCCCCCAATCCCTTGGAGGAGCTGCAAACCGATGCCGTGGAGGGTCCCGCTTGTCGGTGGCTCCTACAGGGGGAGTGCCTCAAAAACCCCCCGCCCCCCACCCCCCCCGCACCCCCCACCCCCCCCCTCCGACCCACCCCCCCCCCGACCCCGCCCCCCCCCCCCCCGACCCCCCCCCCCCCCCCCCCCCCTCCCTTTTTTTGCGAAACCCTCTTTCCTCCTTTCCTGTCCTGGGGCCGGCCCGGCTGCCGAGGCGGCGCGCGCAAGCGTTTACAATTAAAATTAAATCCCCCCAATCCAAGCACCAAGCCGCCGGTGGGCCGAAGTGAGCCAACCCAATAACACCAGCAGCCCAAGGCCAGAGGCGGGAATTAGCCGGTGCCACTCGTTCTGGCAGGGTTTGGGGGCTTAGGGGGTTTCGGCTTCTAGGCTTAAACCCTCAACCCTATACGTTGAGAGGCTTTAGACTTTAGACATTTAGGGGCCAGAAAAGGATCGGAGGTCGTTGAGGTAGAGGTTTCTGAGTGCGGATCTTTATGAAGCGTTCTGACGACGCAGGGTTTCAGAACTAAGGGCACTCATGGTTTTGGGGGAAGGGGGCTTGGGGCTGCGGTTGACGTCTGCAGGGTTTAGATGCTGTAGGGTTTCGGGTACCAAGGTGGCTATACGAGCACCCAGGCTGGTTGCTTGCGTCGCGATGTCGACCCCACCTCCTTCCATCCTGATTCTCTTTTGGTACCTTCCTCCAAGGTTCCAAAAGGTCAGAGACAGGCCCCAGGAAGCGTCGTGAAAACACCAAAGGCACTAAGAAAGCTTCAGAGGGTGTCAGAAGCGCAAGAAAGCCGGTTGATTCTTGGAAAAAAGTTTGGAGAGGGGCTGTTTGGCAAGCTCTGTCGTTTAACCCCATTTCCAAGCTCCCAACCCCCGGTCCCCATCCTTGTCCCAGCAAATGAAGAGCAGGGTCAGAACCATGGCCGCCACGATGGCGCCAAGGCCAACGCCTGCAGAACAGCATTTTGAAGTCGCCTAAAACCCTGATGAGAGCTCCGGAATTGGGGTCTTGAACGTGAATGATGCATGAAAAGCAGGTGAAGAAAGTCCGGGAACCGACCTTGCTTTCATTGCAATCGTTTGTTAAGTTAGTTTGTGAACCCCACAAAGCTATGTCTGACCGTTAATCTCCAAAATGCTCAGCTGACCAAGAGAACACAGGACAGCCACGCAATGCAATGCCATGCCACGCCACGCAGTGCTATACTATGCTAGGTTATTGAGCTGCTTTCTCGAGGTGCGTTTGTAAACCAAATCTCGCTTGTCTACCAAGACGTCACGGGGCTCAGAAACCCCTTAAACAAAAGCCGACAAACCAAGAAACACAGCACAACCCGAAATCCCTAAACCCCTAGCCTGTAGACCCCTAAAACCCCTCTGGACGCCTCCTGGGCAGCGAGCACAGCATCGTTGCAGAGGAGCCTCGAGAAGGCAGCAAGGGATTGTAGGGTCGAAAGTCGTTTGGAGGCTTGAAGAGCTTTGGGGCTGCCACTCGCCAAGCGGGGTTTTCTCACATATCCCAAACCCCAAATCCAGCCCCCCCCCGCCCACACACACACACACAACACAACACACCCGCGCGCGCGCCGTACTGTCGGGCCGTTAGCCAAACCTTGTTAGGGCTTCTTCCCTCAACCTCCAATGCCACAGGCACCAGCAGCCGCTCCATGTCCACGCCGGTCGAAGCGGACATCGCATCCCTCGAGTTTCCCGTGGCATTTCCGATGGGCTTGGGGGCTTGACCCTTGCCCCCATTGCAGTCGGGTGTGGACGTCATGTCCGGTGTCCCACAACGTTGTTCTCCGAACAACCCATTCAGCTACTCGAACCTCTCGGAAAGATAGTACGCCTTTTTGTAGTAGGTGTGGGGCGGGGCAAGGGTTTGCGGCCGGAGGGTTTTTAGGATTTTATGGTTACACCGTAGAACAGGAGCCGAGTCGGGTAGAACATAGATTCTGATTGCATTCTGAGTCGAGCCAGCCAATTTCCCAAAACATTAAACCTGGAGTTGAGAAACCCAAGAACCCAAAAGAGCGCTGTGCTCAAGCTAAAAAGGATGCGACTCCTGGGACCCTGAACTCTAGGCCGTGAGTCCAAAAATCCCACACAACAACGTGCGCGTGCCACCACCGGAAGACCGTGCGCCGAGCCACCAAGTCTGTATGAGGAAGATCGCCAGAGCAACCAGGCACAGAGGCACCGCCTTGGAGGCATTGTGGACCAAAGCTGCCGTGAGATATCCTGGCCACCAGGTCATAGCACTGGACGCCCCGGGAACCCTGAACCCTGATTCCCGAAACTCCCGTGGGACTGGCCATCGGCTCAAAGATGTTGGGCGCGGGGGCCTAGGTCTGGGCTTGTCTCGAATCCCTGTAAGCCCTACCCCAAGGGATCATGAGCTGCACCTTGGGCTTAAGCGTGCGGCAACCGCATGGAAGACCTGAAGCCAGAGCACCCGGACCCCATACCAGTGAACCCCTAAACCCTAAACCCTAAACCCTAAACCCCAAACCCCAAACCCTAAACCCTAAACCACAGAGGCAGCCCATCCTGCAAGCAAGAGCCAGAAGACCGCTCTGGACCATCTGGCACTCAACCTCGCTTACGGGATCCACACATGAGGGGCTTCCCAAAACAAAGAGGTACCGCCCGCGACAAGGGAGCTCCCATTTTGGACGAACATCGCGCTCTCCCTAGGAGGCGCAGACTAACCGTCGGAAACTGTCACTGCTGGGCAATGCGAAGCTGTCCTGGCTTTACATCTGGGTTCCCCAAATGCGAAACTGTCGTCCCTTCAGGACGTCTGGGCTCGCAAAACCTTCGGCGCTTTTTGACTTCTGGGCTCAGGTCTTCGCTGTTTTGGGGTCGGCAATATTCTCACCTGAGATACATATTCCCGAAGTTTCTAGAACGAAAGAGCCGACTAGCGGTGTACGTGGAGGTTCAGGGCCTAGGGGTTTAGGTTTGTAAGAAGGTCTAGGGTTGGGGTTTAGGAGTTCCGCGTAACGGAAGCAGGGTCTGAGGGTTTGGTGGATTTGGGGTTGAGGGCTCGAGGGCCTTTGGTGCTTAAGGCTTGCAGGTTTGTTGTTCGTGGGTGCAGGGCACCCTGCACACGAAAGGCTCGAAACAGTCAGGGGGCCATGATGGGCAGCAGCCCCCCGGAAGTTCTTCGCCTGGGCATCGTCTGTCCTAGCACCCTAAAACCATAAAACTGCCCGAGCACCCCCGACCCCAGAACACTGGACCCCGAAAAACCTTGACCCCCAAAAACGGTGCGAAGTGATCTTTACGCATCCACACTGAATCCCCAAACCACCGCAAACCACCAAGCCCCTCTTAACAAGTACAATATCGTGCCGAGAGAAGTGAATACAAATAATGTTATGAGAGCGCGCAATAATATTTTTATTGTAAGAACGTACGAACGGAACGCTAACTTCGTTCACACTCTTTTTTACTTACACATTATCCCGGGCTATAGTATAATATAAATAGAAGCCTGGGATTAACGGCCCTATTAACCGACTATATTTTGCGCCGTGGATAAACGCCCTAATGTTCTAATTGAATTTCATGCGTCATTTGTATTCCTTATCAATTGAACATTGCAAGGTCCTTTAGTATATTATGCGGCGACTAAGGCGATTCCCAGACCCAAACTCACCCTGACACCCTTTTGGGGGTTTCCGGTTTAGGGTTTAGGGTTTCCGGGGAGGGTGGGGCTTAGGGTCCTGGTTTCAGGGGTTGGTGGACCATAAACCCCCCATGAATCGAGCTATTCTGGAGATTCCCATGGGTTTAGGGTATAGGGTTTAGGGTCAGGGTTTCGGGTTTCGGGTTTCGGGTTTCGGGTTTCGGGTTTCGGGTTTCGGGTTTCGGGTTTCGGGTTTCGGGTTTAGGGTTTAGGGTTTAGGGTTTAGGGTTTAGGGTTTAGGGTTTAGGGTTTAGGGTTTAGGGTTTAGGGTTTAGGGTTTAGGCGGGGGATATCCCAGAAGCCCTGCAACAAAAAAGAGCCGCTTGTAAGGGTTGCTTCCCAACCCCGCAAAGGTGGGTGAGAGGGTATGGGCCCTTGGGGACCGAGGAGCCCCCCACGAAACCCTAAACATCAACCCTAACCTGAAAGCACTCGAAAACACATTAACCCCAAAGCCGGTGAGGCAGGCGGGGCTCCGTCGGGCACTTTTTCGGCTTTCTTTGGCGAGGGCTTCTCGGAGCACAGTGGCCTTCGGGTGAGTGTGGGGGTTTAGGGTTTAGGGTTTTCTGTCTGTTCAGAGTCTAGGGCGTTTTGGGGCGTTGGGCTTGGGGCCGAAGTGCGGATAGGAAATTTTGCGGTGAGGCCTCGTTCGGGAGCTTTAGGGTGGGGTCAAGGAAAAACATGCAAACGACGGGTTGCGGGCTGGCAGGGCTTGAGGCCTTGTGCAGGCTTAGGGTGTGGGGTCTATCAAGGTTCCATGTCACCCAAGCCCTCAACCCACAACTCTAACCCTAAACCCTAAACCCTAAACCCCTAAACCCCTAAACCCTAATAAACCCTAAACCCTAAACCCTAATAAACCCTAAACCCTAAACCCTAAACCCCTAAAACCCCTAAAACCCTAAGAGGGTTGGGCCTCTCTCCATCGTCTCCGTCGCTGGGCACGGCACGGCCGTGGACGCCCGGAGGCACCACCTGGACGAGGAGGGTTTAGGGTTTAGGGTTTAGGGCTTAGTTTGGGGCCGGTTTGGGGCTTTAGGATTTAGGGTTTCGGGGTTTCGGGGTTTCGGGGTTTCGTGTTTAGGGGATTTAGGGCGGCGCACGTTGGTATCCGACTGCATGGGTTTTCTCGTGTTTCGGTGAGGTGCGGGGGGAGTCGTGTGACTATTTGAGATCATTTAGGGTCTCAGCCCCGAACCTGTTCTCCTGCAACCCAAGTAGTCTTGCGTTTTTTTCATCCCGGGTTTAAAGGTGGTCAAGCATACCGGAGGCTTTCGGACGGGTTCTAAACCCTAAACCCTAAACCCTAAACCCTAAACCCTAAACCCTAAACCCTAAACCCTAAACCTTAAACCCTAAACCCTAAACCCTAAACCCTAAACATAAACGCCAAACCCTAAACCCTAAACCCTCAGCCACAGAGCACCTCGTCCAGGTTGCTGTCAACCTCCGAGGAAGTCATCTCCCAGCTGCCGGCTCGAGGACAACACGCCAAAGACCCTGTTGCAAACGAAGCCCTCGACACTGAATCGCGGGGCCTACGTCTTTATGTCCTGCCGGCTTGAGATGCAGCTCGGGCGTCACATTCTCTGCCCGGGAAGCAAGAATCCTTTGACAGCCTCTCGAAGCTTAAAAGATCCTAAACCAAAAACCCTTAACCCTAAATCCAAACCCCCATCGCCAAGTGGCGTTGAACTCTCGGGGTATCGGGTCTGCTTGGGGTCTCGGCTGGGCCGGGGGTCTCAACTTTCAACCTGAAGCCGCCCACATGCTCCCACAGCTCTTGCAAACCTTCGTGCTTCGGCCTTTCTTTGGGAGGAAGCCACACGGCAAACGAAACCCTCGTAGCTGCCCCCCTACTAAGCCCCAATCGGCCTTGGCAATCCTCAACCGAGCCCTAAACCCCCAAAAGACGGAATGAAAGGGCCGCCTCACATTGGGTTTGCGTGTTCAATCCCCTTTTGGCAAGCGACCTTGGCCTCGGGCTTGGGGAATCTTATTTTTCGGTTTGCTCTTTGGGGCCTTCCTTCCTTTAGGGTCCTGGGGATGGCTGTCCCATCGCCTCCTTTATGCCGAACAGCTCAGCTGACACTGTAAGCTGCAAAATCGACCGTGGATGACGAATTGTTGCAAACGCTTCCCAAAACGAACTCGCAGCTACCCTCAAGGGTAGGGAAGTTTGGGAAAGGACTAGTAGCCAGCTCGTACCCTTGGGGTGAATCTGGCAATTGCCCAGCAGCCCACTGATGTGAAAGATGTAGGGGACCCATCGAAGTTGGCAACTCCTACTCACTCTTGGACGCCCGCACGCTCGCAGAAACTGATATCTGGACCCAACAGCGAGCCCCTCTAGATTGTGCCTTCTGTAGCCTCATATCATACCTTACAGGGCATCCAAAAAGGCGGCCGAATTCTTTTTGGCAAGGCCCAAATCCATCTAAACTCCAGGGGGGCCCTACGTCTCACGACATTGTCTTGGGGCTGCTCATGGGCCGGCTCTAGAAGCTCCGGGCACACGCCGGCCCAGACAGGGACGCACCAGCTGCCCTAAGCTTTATAGCACTAGGTGGAGAGTTCGAGTATTTGGCATTGTTCTTTGGGGTTCAGGGTTTTGGGCCTCTTGGTATTGGAGTGGGTCAAGGCTCGGGGTGATAGGGTGGCCTGTATGCCCAAACTAGGAAATATCAACGACCTCCCTAACCCCTAAACCCAACCTGAACCCTGAGTCCAATTCCTGTTTTGGGCTCAGGGGCCAGGCTTGGTGGGAAGCTGGGCATCGAAATCAGCCCCCAGGCTCGATGTTTGGTTGAGAAAGCGTGGGTGGGGGGGGGGGGGGGGGGTATTGTGGATTTAGTGTAAGTGCTTAGGGTTGAGGGTTTAGGGTTTGGGGTTTAAAGTGGGCCTAAACGTCGGGGCGCACGATAAGGAATATGCGATGATCGATTGAGTTCACATCCGGGTTCAGGCGCTCAGTGCAGGAAGTTCGCCAGCTCTTCTATCTGGACCATGCCGTTGCCGTCCTTGTCCGCCGCGAGGAGCCTCATGCTCAGGGGTCTTTGGAGGCTAGAAGGCGACAAGTGATTGAGCCAAACAGCTCCACATTGCGGATTGGGGCATTCCACAAGTTTGCACAGGGAAGGGACCCGTCCGCACATTTTTTGCTCGAGAGATCACGGGGAATGTCCCGAGGTCACCACAAGCACGACCCCCAGAACCGGAAGAGAAACATTCCCTGACGAGGCTGGTGTCAAGGGAACAGCTCAAGGTGCCCTAACTTTAATTACCCTAAACCCTAGCTAAGTCCATGGCCCAGATTGAGAGCTTTGGGGCGGGAACCTTCTCGGTCCTCACTGCAGGCGAGACACAGCTGGTGTGCTAGGGACACGGAGGCATTGTTCGGACTGCGCGTCTTCAGGAAGGTCTCAACCTGGTTCTGGTTCTTTTGTGGAGCAGGGGGGGCTTAGACCATGTCGGGTTGGGGATCTAGGGCCTTGGGCTCGAGTGAAGGGAAAGGCCTAAGTAACCTTTCCCGCCTCTGCAGCGTCCGCGAGGCCACCTCAGCCCAGCAAAAGTGCCCTTGCAAACCTGCCAAGCCTGCTGGCCTTCAACAAGGTTCAGGGGGTGAAGTATGGTTGTTGAGTTTCCAGGCCCTCTTTGCGGCTGAGATTAAAATTTGGAGCTTTCCGGTCAGAGCTTTGTGCATTAGGGTTTCAGGTTCAGGGGTCGGAAATCAGAGCAAGAGATCAGGCGAGCTGCTCTGGTCCTTGTCCATCTCTTTGAAGGCCGCCCGCAGCCCAGCACGCAGTTCACTGGGTTCCAAATTGCCATCCCTGTTCCTTAGAAATCGAAGCACTTTGGAACCAAAATCTTTAAACTCTTTGGGGAATGTAGAATCTAGAAGGGGAGCATGTGGCAGCACGAGAGATGCGTGTTGGCTTCCATTTGCTTGCTTAGGTCGCCCTGGCAGGTGGCGGAGGCTCGGGGTACAGGGTAAAGGGCTCCTGGAAGTTTAGGTTCGGCGAGGTGTCGTGCGCAACCCTAAGAACCCTCTCACACCACAAATGCACCCCTAAGTCCTAGAAGCACCCTGGGATGCTTTATATACCCCTAAACCCCCAAACCCTCCAGGACTTCGGGCCGTGCCGCTGGTCCCAGGAGGAGTAGCCCAAGAGGTTCCTCCACATGTCCTTCATGCAAACCTGCCCCGCGAGCGATTCTTACTGGCAGAGGCTTGGGGCATTGTCGTACCCTGGGAAAAGGTTTAAAAAAGCAAAACCGTACCCACCCAAGCAAGTACGGATTAGGATTTTGGGGTTCGGGGGGCATTGATATCGGTCCCAGCATGAAGCGTTCAGGGTGTTAGGCTGAAGGCTTATGCCGGGTTGGGATGAAGTTTATGGGATGAGGTGATCTAGGTTTAGCATTTGGGTTTGAGGATTTCGGGCATCAGGGGGTTCACGGGAGCATGCATCTGACTTCAGCCTGTCAACGTGTGGGACGTGGCAACATCAATGGTTAGGGACCGAGAAACTCACGCGCCAGCAAGGCAGCACCATCTTACAAGCAACATCGGCCCCAAGCCCCGAACCCTTTAAACAAGCTGCCTCTATGATTGTTGGCTTCGCCATCGGGCAGCACTCCTGGCAGAAGGACGGCCGTTGAACCCGAAACCCTGAGCCCTGCTTTTCAAACCAAGGGGTTCCCCGAAACTGCAAAACCCTGACAGTAGTGAAACTGCCAGCTTTGGGTCTCAGAGGATCTGGAAGCAGAGTGCGGAGACTCCAGAACCACCAGCCTCGTCAGGCACCCCATTCGCCGTGCCGTACTCCACCTCTTGTCCAACAATATCCACATGCAGACGAAGCGCATTCAACAAGTCAGAGGTAGGAAACAACGAAGGCTTTATGCCCTGAGCCACCAGTGGCGTGATGGAGTTCATGCCCAGGAGGAGGACGCGCTGCACCCCTACCTTGCTCAAGGCTTAGGGTTCGGGGTTGGCATCGGATTCTCAAACCACGCGGGCTTGGACTTTAGCACATCTCGTCAAACAACCCCTCGTAAGGGAATGCCCCTTTTTGGAACCCTTTGGAGGAACTGTCTCCGAATCGCCCATTGAATTCTTGGACGGAAGAGCCGGCCTTGTACTCCCTGGTTGCATCGAAAGGCTGCTGGTTGATGGTGAGGATGTTGTTCTCCTCGAAACCCCAAACCTCAAACCTGCAATCCTGCAGCTTGAGCCTACCTGGACCCTGAACCCAAATGCCCAAAACCCTTGCGGCACAGTGCTCAAACCCTGTATGCCGAAATGCCCAGGCAGGGGATTGGAAAAGGCATGATTTGGATTTAGGGCTTCAGACCTTTCCTAACTGTCAGGAGGGAGTCAGGAGTAAGAACAAAAGCAGCACCTCGAATTCCGCGCCGTTCAGCACCTATCAGCCAACAGGCGACTTACGCCCTAAACTCTTAAACCCTGAACCTTAAAACCCCAAGCCCTAAACCCTAAACCAACCCCAATCTTAGGGCTCCAAGAGATCTCGGAGTCCCTCAACCCCAGGGTGGCCCCAGGGATAAACCAGCTTCCCTGCCGAGGCTCTGCATCCGTGGTGCAATCTTGATCAAGGTGGAGGAAGGCTGGCTTCTGGTCGCTGCCCGTCCTTTCTCGTGGGTTTAGGGTGTTTAGGGTTTAGGGTTGAGGGTTTAGGGTTGAGCGTTGAGGGGTTTATCTGAAACAATCCCGTCTCAGGGTGCTTAGACGTCAAAGTTGAGGGGGTGGACATTGACAAACCAAACCACTCTGATTTCAAAGGGCACACCAGGAAGTCCTCGAAAGCTGCCCCTAAAACCCCACCCTCGGGTTGCCCAAGCTTCCGTGAGAACTTCACAGCCTCCTCCAGAATGGAGCCCTTCATCGGAACCACGGCGTAGGCCTTTTTGGGAATGTGGGGGTTTGGGAAGAAGGGGGGGGAGAGGGGGCTTTCAGGGGTTTGGGGTTCATGGCGAGATTGGCCCTCTTGAGGTCTCTTTGGGGTTTTTGGAGGGTTTGTGGAGGTCTTGGATGATTTCTGCGCTGGCCTCATCATAGGCCAACTCCTTGTAAAGGTCCCCCAAAGTGAACGGGCCCGGCTCGTAGTCGGCTCTGCCGTGGACGTCGCCACCATTCCTGGGGCCATAAAGCTGCTTTAGCAGCTTCGGTACCGAGTATTCAGCTGAAAACGTGGCTGCGGCTAGATGTGACCGTCTAACCTCACTACTCGCTTGGCTTCACAACCAAAAACACGTTGACCTCCGGCAAGATTCATGATCACAACGTCAGCGCCATGCTGATGCAAGCCTGCAAGGTTGGTGGACGCTGGACAAGGGGAACGGGGGAGGCGGTGGGAGGAATGTCTTTCGTGAATCTGAAACTCTGCAGCCTAGAGCTTGTAGGGTCTCCGGGTCTTCAAGGCACCTACAACCCCCCAGTGCTTCCAGAGGCGCTGAAGTAGCCCTCTCCCACCGTCAAACCCGAAGTGGCATGCGATTCAGGGGCTTCGGGTGGAGGGTTGAGAGGGCTTAGGTTCGGGGCCCCTCCTTGACTACAAGCCCTTCTCGCCTGCAGGTTGGGGTTTGGGGGTTTGGCGGTTTAGGGTTTGAGGGACTTCGGGCCTTGAATATTGGATAGTAGGTTTGTGCGGCTTGCAGGATTCAGGGCCTTTTGGTCGTGCTTCCCTTCCACCCCCTAAACGCCCTAAACCCCCAGAGGCTGCTTTTGGTCTTCCGCGGCAAGGGTCAATCACCCCTTCACGTCTCACTGGGGTCAATCACCCTTCAGTGACATCTCAAATCTCGTTTCCTCTCGCCTTAAGGTGGGGGGGGGGGGGTTGAGGTTCGATTCGAGGGTTTGGGCTTCAGGGCCTTCGATCTTGTTTTGGCTCAGAGAGGGGCTTCGGGTGTGTGGGCGCAGCTTAAATTGGCCGGAGTGGGGTTCTGGGCCTGTTCAAAGCTATAGTTTGGGAGGTTTCTGACGGAGTTCCCGAGTTTAGCCAGGAACCCACATTGGAGATTGCTGGTAGCGAGTGAGCGGAACGCCCTGGGCCCTGCGTTGTTGGGGGACTCTTTGGAAACTTCGCTGTGTTGTTCTCCTTTCTCTACTCTGCAAGCTTAGGCTTGAGGGTTTGCCTTTTTCTTGTTTAAGGGCAAAAAGCAACAAAATGTTTCAAGGGTGCAACGCCAAGCGGCACCTTTCCGCAAAGGAGCCAAAGAGAGGCAAACGTGCAAATCGGGCTCAGAACTGACCTGAGGTTCAGGAGCTGGTGTTTAGGGATGTTTCGGATCCCTGGCTTCGAGCTTCCCACGGAACCTCGACCCCCAAAACACACCTTAGGACCTGAAACCCTAAACCAGCTAACTCAAGCCCCGTCCCACACTGAGCCACACCTTACTCACAAGAAAAGCACGAAGCCCACCCACAACCCTCATCTGAAGCCAAGCCACCATTGTAGGTTCAGGCCGGCCCACTTCACCCAATATCCGGCCCAGCCGTCGGCGATGTTCTCGTAGTTGTCGTAGATCTCGGCGATGTAGATCACCGACGTGTTGGCCCAGAAGAACCCCCAGTGAGTCAGGGCCGAAATCCTGCAGAGCTTAGGGCTGAGGATCTGAAAAAAGGGGGGGGGGGGTTCGGGTACTTGTTTTGGTTCAGTGTTTCTAACAAACTAGACCTACAGAAAGGAAAAAGAGAAAAGGGTGCACTACCCCTAAATCACAAAGCGCTAAAGCCTCACATCCGAAGCCCAAAGGGGCCAAGCCGGAACACCCTCAAAGTGCACCAGATGATGTGGAAATAGAACATAACTCCCCAGAAACACCCAAAGAAGCTCAGAAGCTCTGCAACGTCAATACCTCCACTCCTAACTAAACAGGACAGCAGCAGCACCACCACCAACAACAACCCTACACCACTAAAAGCCTGCAATCCCCTAAACCCTACCGACATGGACGGCCGAGTGTCAGAAGAGCAGTCTTGTAGTGTCGTCGTGCCTTGACACACTTGGGAGTAGGCTGAGCGGCCTAAAGGGTTGTGGGATTGTGGCTGCGTCCGTTTGAGACGTCGAACTTGGCCTGGCCTTGCTCGAGTCTTCTCTTGTCGGAATCCTGATTTTTCACGGCTCGGAAGCCCCTGTTGGTAAAAAGCAGCCCTGAGGAGAACAGGGTCTAGGGCTTTGGGCTGAAAAGTGTTTTGCTCCCTTCAAGATTGGGGGTGTCAGGCCACCCTCCACCACCCTTCAGCTCGCGGCCTTGAACATGGCGACAGCGGCAAGCTCGAAGGGCCCCGAGAGGACAAGCATCGTCTCCGTGGCATGCGACGACGCGTGCTGGCGCATGTAGCGGGTGTCTCCGGAACCATACCTGGGGTTTAGGGGTTTGTTGGAAAAAAGTTGTGGTGGGAAACCCTGGCTTCTAGGAGCTGTCGGGAGCTTCATGGAAGCCTAAGAGAGCGCTTTAGAGGCACCAAAAAGGCGCCGAAGACCCGGCGCGCCAAACGACCTCTTGATCTTTTGCCGGCCACGGGGCATCCAGAAGGGCCAAGCCCAGAGCTCGTCCACCTGCTTCTGCCGCTTCCACATTTTTTTTCCCGCTCTGAAGCTTAGGGCTGATGGAGCTTGGGCCAGCTTGGGGTTGCTCTTCTTTCCTGGCTTCAAGAAACCTTAATACGTAGGAGTCAGGGGCTTCAGGGTGATTTTGCTGCCTTTGGGGGGGGGCTTCCTGCAGGAAGTGGGGTGCTTCAGGGCCTCCAGCGTCGTTGTAGACTTGATCGGCTGCAGGTAGCGAACCTCCAACAGGGGAGTTTATTACCTCCGTGACCCACGTGGCTCTCCATCAACCCGCAAGCCACCAACAAAGCCGAAAGGATTTCCACTCCCACAGAAATGGAATTTTGGAACTAGGGCTAAACCCTGACTGGCTAGGCGGCTAGACGAACTGAGCGAGTTTCATGGGGATTCCAAGATCATGCATGGGTGGGCACCGCCCCACAGGAGGTGGAATTGTGCTTAAAAAAAGACCACTCCCAGAGATCGCTTGGGGGGAGCTCCGGGCTGTGCACCATACAAAGCCCACATGAGTTGAACAACTCCAAGAAGCATCTTGGGTTCAGGGGCCAAAGCACTGCAAACTCTGTGCCTTCCAGAGGACGAAGGGGAGCTCCCACATCACCTGCGCCAGCCCGCTGGTCAGCACCCACATGGTGATGAACTCCTGACGTTGTAGGGGGTTGAGGGTTCTGGTGTTGTGGGCGTTGCAGGGTCGCCCCTTTTGAAGGCCTTTTCATTGACGGGTCCGGGGAAGCTGGTAAGCTGACTTGAGGGGTGGGTTTGGCGGGTACAGAAGGGCCCTAAGAGATCCTCCCACTTCTGGATGCGTGTCCGGACCTCTCCAGGATTGTCCACGAAGGCAAAGACTGAGAGCCACAGGCACAGAAAGGCGGTGAGGCCACAGTAATCATCTGTGGGGTGTGGTGGGAGATACTGGATGTAGACCAGGAAATAGCCGAGAGTGGCCCAGAGGAAGAGGAGGGTGAAGCAGATGACGTAAAGGACGCCGCGCACCCCTCGGGCGCAGTCCATCAAACCAAACGCGCTGACCGTGGCATTGTCTGCCTTGGACATGGCAGGCAGGGCAAGCCCCCGAAGAGGCAACAAGCACAGCGCCGAAGCATAGGCTTGTTTTTGAGCCGAAATATTGAGCCGAAATGGAGCCGAAATGGGGGCCGAAGTACAGCTCTGACAGCTCTTACATCTGCAAGTTACACGCAGCATTGGAGACAGCCGCCCAAAGGCCTCGCTTCAGCTTCTGTAAGAGGAAGCCTGCCAGGTCGGATTGCTCGAACCGGACCATCTTGGTCGACATCTTGGAGGGCAGCTCCATGAGCGTCGCCTGCCGCCCCGAACACGCTCCGGGCCAGACGTTGTTCAAGCCTTGAATCCCTGAACTGCAAGAGTCCCCATCTGGACCTTCAAAGGTGCCCCCACCTTCATGGCCTTCACCAAGAAGTCCTCCCGATCCTTCGCCCAGGCTGCTGCCTCGAGTTCCGAGCGGGGTTTAAGACTGCATAAGGCGTTTCGGGGATTTGGCAAGGGATTGAGGGGCAGGGATCCAGCAAAGCTCCGGAGTCCCTTGAGATACAAGGAAAGGAAAAAGAGTCTCAAGCCTCTCAGAGCCCTCAAACACACACCCAACAGAGCACCTAAGTCCTGGCCTCGGCTTCGGGCTGGAATGACGAGGCGGGCACGAGGACGTGGCGGCTCTTCACCTGCCCCCCCACCGATCTCTGTTTAACGGTTCAGGGCATCTTGGGGTTTGGGCTATGAGAGGGTTTGAGAGGGGCTTTGAGAGAGGGTTTGAGAGAGGGAGTTTGAGGGGCTTGGGGGGGTTTGAGGGGGCCAGGTTTGGGGGGGCTTAAGGTTTGGGGTTAGGGTCGGAGGGCGTCGCGGCTTGGGAATCCGGCATTTGAGAATGGAAGCCTTCCAAATGCCCAGCCCCCAACCAACCCTGAGCCTTGGAGTGTACTTGGCTGCCCCCTGAGAGCAGCCTAAACCCTAACCCCAAACCAGGTTCTTTGGGGAGAGCAAAGGTGTCCACAATCCAAAAGAGCCCTAAACCCTGAAGCAGCTTTACACTGCCAAGCCCCAAGCCGCCTATGTGGACTCTGAACCCAAAGCTACCCGAAGCCGAGGCCATTGTTGCAGGTTGAAACCTTAATCGGAAGCCTTCGCTGGAGCTGTTGAAGCTCGTACCCCCAAAGATCCCCAAAGGCCTACGGGTTTTAGGCCTACACGACGGCCGCCCTCTGAACCCTGAACTGCAATCCGTCCTCGCCCGTCGCCGTCCACCACACATCGACGATGGCTATGTTTGCCCCGTCCTCCCCCCAAACCCTCCAAGCACCCACTCGAATTCTCACTCAAGCTTAAGGCAGAGGTTTCGCATCACTTGATGTTGGGCTGATCTTTAGGAGTTGGGACTTGCAGAGTGAGCACAGGGGCATCGCACAGGTTTGGCAGATTTAGAGAGAGCGGGGCCATAGGGCTTTTGAGGGTTTTAGGCTTTAGGGTCCAAGGGTATAGGGCTCAGCGGTTCCGACTGTCCTGCCCCGTCTTGACGATCAAGGACTCGCCGGCCCGTTCCTCGAAGACAGTATGCTCGTGGCCGCCCAGAATCACCGGCACCTTTTGCACGCTGGGGGCTTCGGAAAGTTGAGGGGTTGATCAACATAGACAGCCTCAACCCTAAGTCGATGCCCCGCAGAACCCGCGCAAAACTCCCAACATGCTGGCGGGCCTTGCCGCGCAGGGTGGGGTCCTGCTGAATCTCGAGGGCGAAGGCACGATCGTCCTCGATCAGCTGGTGGGTCATGGGGACCAGGATGTCGACATTCGCGTTGGACGACTGGGGCGGAGTGAAAGGGTTGGGCTGGTTGGCCCTTGGGAGCTTGCCGGGAATGGCGGGTTCTAGGTCTGAGGTGAAGAGGCTTAAACACATAAGCCCATTTGAGAATTCTCAAAGCCCAACCCCCCCGCCTCCCCCCCAGACCCTAAACTCCCTCACCTTCCAGGCCGTCAAGCAAGAGTCGAGGAAGGGAAGCATCGTTGGACAGTTCTTCTCCTCGGCTTCTTGGGGCTGGGCGGTAGATCGCTAGTCTCAGAAGGAGAAGAACCAAAAAGCCTCTAATGGGGATGCTTCCGAAGCCTTGGAGTCTAGACCCATTTTGGGGGGGTTTCCTTTCAGGCCCGCTCTATCCCAGCCCCGCCCCCAAAATGGTTTCCATCGCGACCCCTGCGCGGAGTAAATGGACTTGTCACGGATACAGAGACCCGCGATGAGAGCCTTCCGCTTGCCGACGGTAACGACATCGTACTTGGGCAAACTGCGCAACTCTGGGTCCTCCCCATTCGTGTTGACGATCTTGCCTGGCATCTGCAGACTTAGGGGCGGCTCAGGCCTTCAGGGGGTCCTAGAACTCCTAGGTTCATCATATTTCATCATCCTGCAGGGGCCTCGGGAGTCCGAAGCCCCAAGGCGGTAACTTCGGGCTGGTCCACACTATTCAGGGTTTGCCTCCCGGCACTGAGCTGAGGGAGGTTGAGGTTTGCTGCACACATGCTCGACCACCAAATTTTTGCAAAGCTGTTTGTAGGGCGTTGTATGCTTCGGATTGGCCGACGTGGCCTTATTGAAGCGTCATTATTGGCAACTTTGGTTTGGAATCCCAATCTAGACAGCGCCGCCCCCCCCCCCCCCCCCACAAAAAGAATGGGACGAAGTTGCTGCTCGTGGCTGGTATCCCTGCTGATGCCCTGCAGTCTACGCCAATTCGGCGAGATTGCTGGCATGCGCTGGCTGACGTTGGGGCTTATGATTCATTCTGCAAGCCTCGGCCTTCACACTTCCCCCCCCCTCAGACTCTCACACACAAAAAATCTAAAAAAAAAACATAAAGATGTATAAACATACATATATACGACTAAACATGAAGCGTTATCCTAGATCCGAGACCCCGCACGCTCCTTCCCGACAAACCCTCCCCTGGGCAGCCTTTGAAGAGTGGCAGCCGCGATTCCAACTGCTTCTTGTCCATATCGAACTCATGATTCCCTAAGCCTGGGGGCGTGGAGGGTACCCTTTACGCCCTGGGAGCTTGGGGTCGAGCCTCGGGTCGAGCCAACACAACAAAGCGCAAAAAAAAATGAAAGTAAGACGCCAAAGATAACCCCAGCAGCATACATAATCCAGCTTGGCATAGTTGAGGCCCTGCATCATGGTGGTTCCGCCATCCAGCGCCGTATGCATACAAGGCGACAGGAAGTCACCATTCATGTGCGACGTCACCACGCAGCCCAGTGTCGCGCCGAGCTTTCTGTGCATCTGGACAGCAGCGGCAAAGCTTGCATAGTTGTCCAGGATGTATACGTCATTGATGCTAAGCATTCGCAAAAACTGCCCATGCGCATCAGGGGGTCTGCCAACGCGAACCTCTACAGGTACCTCAGATCGCTGCAACCGCCCTACAACTGCACACAGTGCGCTCCAGCAAACAAAGAGCGAGAGCCAGAGAACAACTTTTTTCAGATGGGCATATATATATATATATATGCTACCCCCCCCCCAGCGACCTACCCTTTTTAGGCCTTTTTAGGCCTTTTTAGCAAAAAATAACAAAGAAGGCCCAAAAGTCGCGTAGTTAATCACCGGGTAATGAAGGACAGTTACTGGGACACCCACCTCACAGACCCCGATAAGCCAGCATTGGAAGAATCTACATTTTGAATCTGAAGCGGACAATGCTGTTTTTAGATGTTTAGATCAGTGTTTTTCTATGCAAATTGTGCCTTTCAAGGGCAATTAATGTTTTGTTGAGCAACTAATTTATTTATACAATTGTGTTTGTACGAGGCAAAGTATTAATCAAATAGTGAAACATTTTTCTTGGTTCTATGCGAATTTAGCTACTAGAGTAATTATTCAGCAAAGAGCCCAATTTGACTCAAGTGAATACTATTTAAAGGAGCATACTCAACCAAGATACGAAATAAACACCATTCTCAACCAAAAAATGGCAAAGTGTGCGTTTAAAGTGCAAATACTGTATTTATACAATTGTGTCTGTACTAGGCAAAGTATGCTCTCTGAAAAGTCCACTGAAATACCTTATGTTTACATATTCATGAATCGTTTTTACTTTTGAAATAAGAATTTTTATGCGAATTTAGCTACTAGAGTAATTATTGAGCAAATAGCCCAATTTGACTCAAGTGAATACCATTTAAAGGACCATACTTAACCAAAATACGAAAGAAGCACCATATTCAACCAAAATATGGCAAAGTGTGGTTTAAAGGGCAAATAGTGCTTTGTTGAGCAACTAATGCATTGAAACAGTTGTGTTTGTACCAGGCAAAGTATTATTGAAGTACTATCTGCAAAGTCAAATGAAACACCTTATGTTTACGTATTCATGAAACAATTTTTTTGAAGTATTCATTCTATGCGAATTTAACTACTAGAGGAATTCTTAAGCAAATAGCCCAATTTGACTCAAGTGAATACTATTTAAAGGACCATACTCAACCAAATACGAAATAAACACTTGCGGAAATGGAAACGGTTCTACCTACATAACAATGAGACAAAGATTGCTGAAGTATTCACTAAAGACCACTTATATACTATGTCTGAAAAGCACAATTTGCATGAGCAAGCTTAAAAATGCACAATAATGGAAATAGAAGCGGTTCTACTTACATAACGATGAAACAAAGATGTCTGAAGTATTCAATAAAGACCACATATATACTATGCTTGAAAAACGCAACTTGCACAATCAGGCTTAAAAAATGCACAAGAATCCTAGAAAAGTACTTAGTGAAGGCCATACACAAGCAAATTCACAAATACATAAAAACATCCAAAAGCGCAAGCTTTTCAGGAGAATCTCTGGTAAAGTTTGGATTATAGGGTTTTGGGGTATTCCTGGACGAGTAGGAGTCACTTTTTAAGCAAACAATTCTAAGCAATAAATGCTTTTTCTCAAGACAAGTATTGCAAATGCTGCTTCTAGATAATTAATCGCATTTACCAGGCAAATATTATCCATGCGAATTGAGCTACCAGAGCACCAAGTAATGGCTGAATAAGGTCTACTACACTTGAGTACAATCAAAAGATGCACTAAACACTAGCGGCTCTACTTACATAATAACGAAACAAATAGTTCTGAAGCACTACTATTTCTGAAAAGCACAATTAGCATAAGCACACTTAAAGATGCGTAGTTGTTGCCTCGTGACCGTGAAGGCGAACCAAAAAGCCAAAATGCCAAAACCAAAAAACCAAAAACACCAAAACCAAAAAAACCAAAAAAACCAAAACCAAAAAAACCAAAAATACCAAAAAACCAATTTTCCGGGACTCTTGGAGAAGCCTCATAGGGATTTCCTGAGAGTCCCGGAAAATTGGTTTTTTTGGCATTTTTGGTTTTTTTGGTTTTGGTTTTTTTGGTTTTTTTGGTTTTGGTTTTTTTGGTTTTTTTGGTTTTGGTTTTTTGGTTTTTTTGGGTTTGGTATTTTTGGTTTTTCTACTGTCCCGTGTATGCGATTTTAGTTGTATTTTAGTCTACGCCCTAGGAAATACGCTATATTGCACACCGAGTTTGCTTGCAGTGCAGCTGGGTGACTTGAGACAAGGCGAAAAAGGGTAGGTCACTGGGGGGGGGGGTACCATATATATATATATATGCACATGTCACATATACATATATTCAGAATAAATCCGCATGGCTGCACTCGTCTGGAGAGGCTCCGAAGGCTGCTCCGAAGGCTGCTCCACCTGCAGGTAGCTGCAACCGCACGCGGTGACATGCACGATCACTTGGTTGCAGGATCCCCAGGAACCATGAAAGCACATGGCGGTTGCCTACAAGAAAACGATCTATAGGTACCGGTACTCTTTAAAATCAGAACTCCAAGGAAAATTGATTTAAAAAATAGAACAATTCCCGCATGGCTGCACTCGTCTGGAGAGGCTCAGACGGCTGCTGCGCCTGCAGATGGCTGCAACAACAGACGCTCTTGCTAACAGCACTCCTTTAAAACCAAAGCAGCAAAAAAACAACGCCCCAACACAGTAAAAATTTCAGCAGGGCTGCGCTCTTCTGAAGCGGCTCAGAAGGCTGCTGCACCTGCGCCGGTGCGCTGGCGCAGCAGCCCATGGTGGACCTAAGTGGCTACGATTGCCGAGCTTCATGCGAAAAAGAAGCGCTTCGTTCACAAAGGCCCCCCTCACCGACGCCTCAAACATCAAAGAAAGGGAAAATGCCCTCTGCGAGCGATTCTCCCCTTGGCCCTGGCTGATGATGCAACCAAGGGGCTACCAAACGAGACCGGAGGCACCTCTGCCTACGTCTCGGTCTGCTCCGGCTGAGGAACACGCAAGGTCCAATCTGGGAAACGAACCTGTGCGTTTGCCAATCTTAGATCACACTCCCCGGATCGTCTGAACCCGACACCTCAAACCCCCTAATAACGGTCCTGATGTCAAGGGTCGGGCTAGGAAATCCTCCACTCATGGCTTTTAGGGCTTCAGGCTCTGAGGGCTTTGGAGGGTTTGGGGGTTGAGGACTTGGGGTCTTTAGGATTGAGGGTTCATGGTTTTGGGTGAGGCTCATCGAGGATAAGTGCCTTCAGGATCAGGCTACGGCCTGCATTGGACAATCGAGGAAACACCGGTCTTATCTCGGTATCTACGTGCAGGGCCTTATCTGAACAACCCAAAGCTTCATGATTACAAAGAAGCATTGGGCTCTCAAGGCCAGGTAGGGATCGGTGATGTGCAACATGGCTTTATCTCGGCTTTTGTGCACAATCTGTCATTGTGGCTGGGCCAGGAAATCAAGCTTCGCAAGATCCAGGCCCACCACAGGCGCGCGCAAGCCCGTCGCGCTCTGTGCAGGAAACCAAATGAGCCGAGCACTTGCGCCCCAAACTCTTTGAGGACATCTCTGGGCCACAGGCCGGCATGTACTTACGGACGGTCGAAGTCGTCAGCAGGGAAACCGACCCCATGCTCGATGCTGAATTGGGACGTCGGGAAGTATCCAGAAGCTTCGCGGGACAACGGTCGCATTGGGGCTTCTTCATGTCTGAGGGTTTCGGGTTCTATGCTGGGTGTCCCCTACAGCACCTGCGAGAAGGGTGACAAGGCCGGAAACTATCTCAGGCGTGGTTCCCCCGCCGGCGATTGCAAGTATCAGACATAAGCGCAAACCCCTAGACCCGATCAACCCTGCTTAAATCCCTAAGCGCAATCCTTACCTCACGTGTACCAGAGGTCGTCGCGGACAGAATACTCACTTTCGGCCTCGTGGCTGAGGTCCTGGTCAGCAGTACTGAACCTTCAAGAATAGTTTCAGAGACATACCCGAGTTTGGCGCGCCGAGGTGGAGGGCTTTGCGGTGAATAACTGAACTCCCAAACCACTTCAATCCCAGCAGGCGTGGGATGGATTACAGGGTGCCCTGGGAGTTCAATGAGGGCTTTGGAGGTAGGCCAGGCGTTTCCCGGCTCCGATTAGATAGGCCAGGGGGATTCTGGTCTTCAGGATGGCTTAGAGGTTTATAAGGGGTTAAGGTTATGAGGTTATGAGGTTATTGAGGTTATGAGGTTATGAGGTTATGAGGTTATGAGGCTATTAGGCTTAGAAGGTTACGAGGGTTTCGGGCTTGTAGTTGTTGGTGCCTGGAGCCCAAGGCTTGGCTGTTCCTGGAGCAGAACCCTAAACTGAACCCGCACCCAACGACAGGGTTGCAGGTTAAGTTTGCGGTTTAGGGCTTCGGGTTTAGGGTTTGGGGTTTAGGGTTTCTTTGTATCGGGTTTGGAAAGTTTGGAAGGACTCAGGCCCCCGAAACCCGAAACCCCAAACCCTCGACTCCCTCAGCGCTGCACCGTAAACACCGTAAGCCCCCACATCCTCAGCCGGTCCTGTTGAGGTCCTGCTTGTGCGTCGAGCTCCAGATCATCGAGGTCTGGCACCCAAAAGTCACGACAACGAGGTTTAGGGCGACAGGGTTTCACCTAAACACTACACCCCCCAAAAAAATCAGCGTTTTGAGTGCCAGTTGTCTAGGGTTTCTCTAGGGTCTGGACTGCTTCATGGGTTTGCAACATCTTGGGCCACAGACCTTTCGATGCACGAGGTCAAGCTGACCTACCTTCTTGTCCAGGTCCGATAACACTAAACTCCCAAAACCGCTCTTCGTATGTTCTAGCATGAAAGTCTTACTTGGATGTTATCACATACCTAGTTATCTCTGCAGCCTGTGAGGGACATGGAGATGTCCGCGACGCAGACCTCGTCGGTGGCGGTCTTGGACAAGGTCCTGTCAAATCAAAAGCCGCCCAAAGGACAGCTGCGGTTGGCTCTTTCGTGCTGCTCTCTCATGCCACATCGTGGCGGCGCGGCGCGCTCGTTTCTTGTTTTGTGGGGCATCGGCCTCTGCTCGAGCAGGTCGTCGAGGTTGCCGAACCTCTGGCAGATCTGCGTCACCTGCCTGCCAACTGCCACGAGGCGGGACACCGAACAGGGAAGCACCGCCCTATCCGCCCTCGTCTCTCAGAGAGAGAGAGTGAGAGAGAGAGAGAGAGAGAGAGAGAGAGAGAGAGAGAAAGAGAAAGAGAGAGAGAGAGAGCACACCTACGCCCCTACGCGCATGCTGCGGCGCCTCTCGAGGATGCCGCTCGAGGCGTGGGGCGTGAGGGGCAGCGCCAGGATGCCCAGCAGCGCCTGCCGAAGGATGCCCCAGGCGGAAGAGATTTCTGAAGAGAATTGAAGAGACTGAGGAGGGAGAGGAGGGAGAGGAGGGAGAGGAGGGAGAGGAGGGAAAAGGAGGGAGAGTCTAAGAGGAGGGAGAGGAGGAGAACGAGAACGCCCGCCTGGTAGGCCTTGGCCAGGCTGCGGCCGAGGTTCGGGCTGAGCCCGGCCACGCCGCCCTCCTCCACCTGCGCGCGTGCTCGTGCACTCAAAAAGAGACGTAGCAGCCCCCTTTCCCACCCCCGACTCCTGCTGGTAGAAGTCCGGGGCCGGGAACTGGAAGGTGCCGTCGTTCACCGGCACGAAGCTAAGCCCCTGCGCTCCTGTGGCTTCAGGCGGCTTCAGCTTGCCAGATCTTACGGCGAAAGCAGCTGAAGACCCCTGAACAAGAGCCGAAAAAACTCATAGCCTTGACGGAAGCCCAACAGCAGCCCCACGGTTTTTGCCAAAAAAAGAGATGGCATCCCGCATCCCACAGCGATCTCTTCGGCCGGGGCGCGCATCTGCCCGACGCGCAGCGCGAAGTCGGGGTCCTCCAGCACGCCCTTGCTCAGCAGCACCAGCGCGAAGGAGGCGCTGGCCGCGGCCGCGATGTCCTTGAGGCCCCGCGCCCGGAAGGTGGCGATGCGCAGCTGCTGCTGCACCATCTGCTGCAGGATCAGCCTGCGTCCGCCAACACGGGCAACGTCTACGCTAGGGGCGCAGCGACGCGGTCAGCAAGGCACTTTCTTTGACTACTAGACACCTGATGAAAAAAAAAAAAAAAAGCGGAGAGAGAGGGGAGGGGCATGCTAGGGGCATGCTGCCGCCGGGGTGCACGGTGGAGATGGCCTCGGGCTCCAGCTCCGTGGAGCAGAGCAGGATGCGCGCAGCGCCCACGGCGCCCTGGGGCGCCACCTCCGCGCGCCAGGCGCCTGCGGCACCAAGAACCACTTGAGCGTATAAGGTTTTCGTGTTTTTGTGTGATCTCAGACTATCTCGCGGGAGGCCACCTCGAGGCCCTCGGGCAGCCATGGCCACATCCAGGACCAGCCGCTCCTGCTCCTCCAGGCTGGCGTGCCGGCTCAAGGCGTAGCCCTTCCGCGCGCTCAGGTGCCGGTAGGTGGCCTCGCAGCGCATCGAAAGAGCAATCGCAAGAAGAGCAAGGCCCAGGAGAGAAGGAGAGAGAAAGCAAGAGAGAAAGAGAGAGAAAGAGAGAGAGGCAGAGGCAAAGGGACCCCCCCCCGCTCTGCCTTGATGTCCTCCATGGAGATGCCGTGGCTGGTGAGGGTGTACTGCTGCTCCTCGGTCCAGACGGACTGGATGTTGTTGATGCTTTCCGCATCGGGGAAGGCGTAGCCGTCGCAGTAGAGCGGGATGATGGGGATTCCGTGCTTGCGGGCGCTCGTCAGCTCCCCCGCGCACCACATGCCTGTCGCGTCCCGAGGCTCTTTTGCTGCTTCTTGCTGTTTGTCTTTTGTTTTTTTGCTTGGGGGGGGGGGGGGGGGGGGGGGGGGGGGGGCAAAGGATCAGGAGAGGGAGGAGTGGTCACGCAAATCATGGCAACTCAATTCTTTCTTGCTGGGCCGGGGCGCGCTGCAGCAGCTCGGGCGTGAGCACCGCCACCAGGCAGCGGGTGTCCGAGCTGACGATCTCGAAGATGCGGGCGAGGTCGTCGAGCTCGTCGGAGTCCAGGAAGATGTTCATGCGCCCGTACTTGTGCACGATGAGCTTGATGAAGCGGCAGAGGGCGCCGGCGCCCGCCTTGTGGTGGCAGAGGAAGGCGTCGTACTTGCTCTGGGGCCTTAGCCGCAGCGAGGCGGCCAGGCACGCGGCCGCCAGCGCCACCAGGGGCAGCAGGCAGAGCACGCCGGTGAGCAGCGCCGCCACCAGGAAGCTGCCGTCCTGATTCTGTTCCAGGCGCAGCATTGGCGAGGCGAGCAACAGCAAGATCAGCAGCGCCGTGGAGAGGACCAGGTCATTGTAGTTGGCCACTTCGACGCGCCAAGGCCAGAGGAGGCTCTGCGCCGCGAGCTTGATGCAGACCACGATGCCCATGATGCCCACCTGCAAGGCGGGCACGGACACCAGCGCCGCCGGGATCAGGGCCACCACCAAGTTGTGCCCGGAGAGGAGGAGGCCGCAGTAGTAGCGCTCCGGGCGGAAGCGGCCGAAGAGGAAGTTGTATTTCTCCAGCACCTCCAGGCCTTTGCCGGACCTGAGCCAGGTAGGGTACTTCCAGGTGAGGAACGCGATGCTGGAGAGGATGGTGACGGGGTAGGCCAGGATGCCCAAGGCCGCCAGCACCACCAGCGGCCCGTGCTCGGGGCCCCAGCAGAGGACGTCCGTGCGGGTTGCCATGGTGGTGAGACCGTTGGGGTTCTGCCGGCACTGGAAGGGCCGCATCACCGTCAGGGACATGGCCGTGAGCAACGCCACCAGCAAGACCCCATGGAGGTTCACGAACGAGTTGAAAGTGATGGGGCGCTTGGCCCAGCGGGCCAAGAGCCAGAAGCCGAAGGTGGCCAGCAACACGGCGGGGTAGGCCAGGAGCTGTGAGCCGTACTCCACCACGTGGCTCTGGGGATCCAGGATGCAGGAGAACTCGATGTCCAGGCTGAAGAGCGCCAGCGAGGAGAGCACGGCCTTGGCCGGGTCGATCCAGGCGATCTCGAACTGGTAGATGGCCTCTCACACACACAGATATACATATGTATATATATATATATTACACCTATCATGTGAAGATATATATATATATATTTTTTACACCTATCATGTGAAGATGAGGAGGATCCCTTGTCCACGCCGATGCTCAACTCAACAAGGATAGACTAAGGAGTGGAAATACACACACGATCATGCTCAAAACTGCTGCAAACATTGAATCAGCATCATACACGTTGCGAACGCTGCAGGGGGAAATCGCTGCAAACATCAAACGAATGCTTTACAGGAATGCTGCGACTCTGCCAGTAAAGCTTGCGCAAGAGGAGACCCCCCCTCTTGCTCCATCAATGCTGTGTGCGTGAATGACACGCCGGGGGGGGCCTCCAGGCTCTGCAGACAGACGACCAGCTGCCCGAAGATCACGCAGACGATGAAGATGCTGGTGGCCACGCGCCGCGCGCGGCTCACCAGGATGCTGGCGGCCACGAGCAGCGGCAGGAGCCCCAGGATCACGATGGGCAGCAGAAGGAAGGGCCACAAAGACAGGGCATCGCAGGGCCTGCAAGAGCCGTCCACATCGGAGGCGTAGCCCAAGAAGCAGTCGGCGCAGGCGCGCCCCGTGCGCCCGAAGCTGCACCGGCCCGGGGGGCCTTGTGGGCACCGGGCCGGGTCACGGCAGGAGTAGACCGAGTACCGGCTCCGGGCCTCTGTCCCAAGGTTCTCCGCCCAGAAGCCCCGCAGCTGCTGCGGCACGCCCGAGCCGCCCGGGCAGTCCATGCCCTCCGGGCACGGACGGCACTCCGTCAGGTTCCACAGGTACCTGGAGAGAGAGAGATTGGGGATACGAGAAGGAGAGCATAAGAGAAGACAGAGAAAGAGAGAGAGAGAGAGAGAGAGAAAGAGGGAAGCGCCCGCCTGCCGGCTCTGCAGATGCAGTCCATCTCGCTTGCAGCGGCCAGGACCGTCGTGGTCTTGTCATCCGCGCAGCTGCGGCACTCTGTGGCTGCGGTCTCGTCCTGGTACTGGCCTGCGGCACTTGCACACTATCGCACGTTGCTCTGATGTGTTTCCGCCCATCACCTTTCCTAGTCCCTGCCTTGCGGGCACTTCTCGCAGCGCGTCGCGGCCCAATGGTCCGCTTTGGTGCCAGCCGGGCAGTAGTCGCAGCTCACGGACATGGGCTTCACCTGGCCTCGGCTTCGGCACTTCCGGATCTTCCGACTCGCATGGACAGCCGCCCTTGATACCACCCCCCCTTGACGGCCCTTGTCTGAACCTGCCATGCAGCTGGTGCCCGGGTGGCATGGGCCTGAGATGCGGCACATGAGCTCAAGCCTGGTGACATCATTCCTGCGGCTCCGCTCCTTTCCCCCCGCTGCGTTTTGCTGAGGCACGGCACACGGCCGTGGCGCCGTAGGCGTCCTCCAGCAGTGCCGAGTAGCGCCCGGGAGTGCAAGCGCTGCAGGTCGCGTTCTGCGACCGGTTCGTCAGCCACTGCCCACCCTGAGTTGAGCTCAGATTCATTCAGGAATCAGAAGCACTCAAATCCTCTAAGCCCGAAACATCCAGAAACCTCCATACATAGGCGAAGTTGCCTCTTGCATGCCCTGGCCTGCGTAGCAGTTCGACTTCAGTGGCATCCAAGCCTGCCCAAGAAAGGTGACAAGGAAAGAACTGCACTTGCCACAAACTAACTGCTCTTGCGCAGGACAGTTTCCTTGCGGCAGCGGCCGACGTCCCTCACCGGATTCACACAGATCCTTCGTCTATGGACACGAAACCCCGGCGACCCAAAACCGCAACTTGGCCTGCCACGTGTCCCTGTTCTGCTGCAGCCAGTCACATGCCCCCTGCCAGCAAGCACCCCACCACTCCTCGAGCACCAGAAGCCCAAGGTTTGGGGAGAAGGCACGTGGTTCCTCAAAGAAAGGAACGAAAAGTCCTGCAGCCTTTTGAAGTTCCCCCAAAGCCCCTCTGCTTTCGGCTCCTGGGACGTCAGCGCGTCCATCTCGCTCAGCCCGAGACTGGCGAGGATCACCGCCATGGCCCGCACGCTGGCGACCATCATCTCAAGGGCCGCAGGCAGGTCCACCTCCTCAGTTTAACGGGAGCAGGCAGAGGACTCTGACCACTCCAGCCCCGGGGGCACACCCTAAACCCCTCAATGAACCCTAAGCCCTAAACCGCAAAACCCTACTAACCCTAAACCCTAAACCCTAAACCACCTAAACCCCCTAAACCCCCTAAACCCCCGAAACCCCCTAAACCCGAAACCCCCCAAAGATATGCGGCGGCTCCATGTTGAGGAGCAGGCCCCGGACATCCGGCGCCAGCACGTTCAGGTTCTGGTTGGCAAGAATCCGGTGGTCCAGGGGCTGTGCCATGGTGGCCTGCAGGGCTTGGGGGGGTTTTTAGGGTTTCAGGTATTTTCAGGTTTCGGGTTTAAGGTTCAGGGCTTACGGAGTCTCAGGGGGCTTCAGGGGTTTGTAAGGCCAAAGCTCCAAAGTCTGATCCAGAAGTTCGGCCGCTTGAGTTTTACGGATTCCCAAGCTCGACGCGTGTGGCGGAGGCTTTGGCCATTGTCACTTGTAGAGTCAGCACCTTGAGAGTTCGACGCCCTTTCACTGTGGAGTGGGCCGTGGGCCCCTCTACAAAGGTTCTTCTGACAGAAAACCGTTCAAGGGAGCCTCTTGTGGACGGACTGGCAAAGGATTCCGAAGGCGCTCCACTCACACAAAAAGTCCCTGTCAGCAATTTCTAAACGTCAGGTTTGTGCTGAAAGCAGGTCCCCCCCCCCCTCCCCCCCGGCCCTGCATTAGATGGCCAGCCAGGGTTCGATGCGGAAGTGAAAGCTTCGGGTAGAGACTCCAATAGCGGGCTCACCAGGAACCTGTTGCAATCGCAAACTCTACGTAAGGACCAGAAGGGTTCCTGAAGCCTCAACCCAAACAAGTTGAGCGCAGCCCGGCATGGGCCTTGGCTCCCAACGCCCAGCGTTGCTCGTTGAACTCTGGGAAGGAGATCAGGCGATGGCCGAGGTTTCCCAGCGTCAGGTCTGGCCTAGGTTTCGCGTGAAAGGAGGCAAAACGTGGCGTATGGATGGGTCATGATATAGGTTGGGAACACCCAAAAAAAGAAGGTCTGGAGTGGACTTGAAGTTTTTGACAGCACTTGACATACATTGACATACCAAGCGTCTCCCAGAAATAGAAAAGAACCGATTGCTGGGTGACGATCTGCCCGAAGCTTGTCCCGGCATCCGCAGCGGCCAAGGCCATGGGCATCGACCAGGCCACGGCCTTGGACATGATCTCCTCTGCGCCGTAAACGTACGTGCCTGCGGCCCCTGTGAGGCAGGGAATGCAACTCGAGGAGTTGCCCCGGCAAGCTGGCGCCAGCCACCAGTAGCCATCCGAGCAGCGAGGAGAGGGCTCACCTCCCGACATGTTCACACCATCACGATCCTTCGTGAAGTACAGATACTGAGAAACGTTGCCAACGAAGACTCCGCTCCACATGTGGCATGGCATAAGCATTGACCTGCTGATGTTTTCCATGCTTGAGAACCAATGCTTGGGGTTTAGGTACATCGAATCATAGTTCCGGTAGTCGTCCAGGAACAGCCGCTCGGATGTCTCCGCGAGGGCCATCGTGGGGCCACCCACGTAGATGCCAGACTGGGACATGAAGCCGAGGCTCTGCAAGTCATCCAGCACGCCCCCCATCTTGAAGCGCTGCACTTTGTCGTAGTGCGGCAGAACCTGGGGCGAACATCCACAGCCTGCAGCCCCTGAACCCTCTACAGGCCTCATATGGCTCAAGAGTTCGGGGACCGCACCTCTTGGTCAAGGTAGATTCCGATCGACACGTGCATCCGGGTCTCCTTCTCTGACCAATTTGTAGCTCGCAAAACGGGTTTAAGGGTGTTTTTGTGATGCTTTGCGCTTAAGGCTCACAAAACACAATTTACAAAACAGCGCTTGCGCTTTGGGACTCTTACGCTGGAAAAACCAGAACTTGATCGCTTTGACGCTGCGCATCGGTGTGGCCCCGAACGCTCTCTAGGCGGCGTTCGCTGACAATCGGGCTCGCTGCACTTTGGCAGGAAGCAGGGGAAATTTGCACAAAACTTCATCCACGCAACAAAAGTCGGAGAGGGGCATGCTCAGCACCCAGACTGGCCGAGAAGACGCTTGACTCACCCAAAGGGCCGCCCAGCAGTTTCCAGAGTCCCAGTGGCCTCCACGACCATGGGCGCGAACAAGACTCCCTGGGCAGCGTTCCCCTGCCTCCTGCTGCCGCGCCATCACGGCGAAATCCAACGCAGGGCCCCGGGGCGGGAAGGCAAGTCCCGCACAGCACTGTGACGTCGAGTACGTTCATTGTTGGCCTCGTGGCTGATGCCACATCGCCACCACATCGCCGTGTGATGTAAACCCACTCACACCAATCAATGTCAGCTGTGTCAGCACAGCCGAGGCAAATGCTGCACGCATCCGAGCAGCCTAACATGTTTTGATTGGGCAAGGGCCTCTGGTGAAATTGAGGCCAGGTTCGCGAACAGGGCTCAGTGCACCTGTCAGCAGATGTTCCTGCAAGAAACGTTCCTTAAAGCATGTATTCTGGACGCCTCGATTGCAGTTGAGATGAAACTCACAGATACGCGTAGAAAAGCTGCGATCACCAAGGAGATGCCCTGGTGGGACGCCTTGTGCATACACGGGACGCCTTAGGGCATGTACCCCAGAGGTCCCGCGCACACTCCGTGTGCGAAATTGTGCTCACGCCTAGGCTGCCTGAGGCTTCACGAAAACGTGGCAGAAAAGCAATGTCGGGTTCTGGATGGGTTAGCTTGGTGCATGCCACGGGGTTTTGCATGTCGGGAAAAACGGCCGCTCTTGCGTCGGCACATGCTCTCGAAGTGGTGTTGGAGTGCTTCGTTGGGGGAAGTACTTTCATGCTCCCTTGCTCTTGGAATGCTTCTGAAGTGGTCTTTCCCTGAGGTCCGATCCCGAAGCACTCAAGGGCTAAGACCCTCAACCCTAAACCCTAAACCCTAAACCCCTAACCCTAACCCTAAACCTCCAGCTCCTGCCCGTTGCAGCCGCGGTCGCCCTCCACGGTCGGCCGCTCGCAGCCGGCCAGGGCGTACAAGGCATCCTGACCGAGCATCGTGTCAGCCACCTGAGGGCACAGGGCTTCCAATTCTTAACAAACAATAACAATAACAATAACAACAATAATAATGATAATAGTAATAATAGTACTAACAATAAGAATAGTACTAATAGTAATAATAATAATAATAATAATAATAATAATAATGATACTTATTAATTATTATGAAGGCTTAGGGCTGCAAAAAACTTGATGCGTGCCCAGGACCCGAGCCAAAAAAGAAGGAAAGGTGAATGAGAGTGGCCCACTCAGCCACCTCCACATGCACGTTGTAACCCAGAAGTTCCTCGGCCAGGATCTGAAAGGCAGCAGTGGGCGTCGCCAGCTGCCACTTTCTGTGGGCGTTCCTCGACGGCTCTCGGCACCCCGCAAAAGTTTGGAGCTTCCAACCCTGAGCCCTCTCAACCCCCAAGCACACACGCGCACAGAGAACAGAAAAGAAGAGATAGATGGGGAGAGAGATAGATGGGGAGAGAGAAAAAAGAAAGAGAGAGAGAGAGAGCGCGAGAGAGAGAGAGAGAGCGAGAAAAATAACAAAGCAAAAACAACAAGACTGAGAGCATCTGCGCGCCCAGGCTCCAGATGCCGAGGGGGAAGCTCGTGCCATTGGCTGTCACGTTCTTACGGAGATGGACCGGGATGGCATCGGGAAGGCAGCTCTGGCCCTGGCCCTTGAGGTTGAGAGGGGATCTTTAGGGTCGAATAGGAATGAGACTAAGATGTTGTGCATGCTTCCACGAACATTCGGAGGCAGACACAATCGGTGACGTGTATAGAGACACAATCAGCGAGATAAAAAGAAAGCGAGACAGAGAGTGTCAATTGTTCACAAGAGAGATGTTGAAGATACCTCCCTCCACTTCTCCCTCTGCAAAACAAATATATCGAATTTGCGGCCCGAGGCACAGACGGCGCGCACAGCAAGAGCGTCAGCGAAAGAACAGCTCCCCGCAAGGTGCGCGTGCCGCACATGGCTCATCATCCACGCGATGGTAGCCGGACGAATTCAGGGTATTTCAGGGTTTCGGGCTTCCGATGCCTGGGCTTCGGTTGCATGTCAGCCTCCTTTCAGGGTGTTAGGACGTGGGGCTATTCGAGGGCTTCGAAGGGATCAGGAGGTTCGGGCTTCGAATCGGATGTCAGGGGCAGTATCCGATCTACCCACAGCTGAGCCCTCGTGCTAAGTCCAAAGTTTCAGGTCCCGACCTCGGGGCCGCGGGCCTAAGGATTAGGGGTTTAGGGTGCTTAGGAGGGCTTTACGCCTTCAAGGCGTTTAGGGGTTAGGGGTGAGGGTTTCGGCTAGAAGGGTTTGGGGTGCTTCTTTGGAAGACAACAAGGCACTTCTTTGGGATGATCGATCAACTCGACGCGAGCGTCCGGCGGACTAAAACAACAACGGCGGTCTCTGCACCCTGTACACCGACAAAGCCGTGACGGGAAAAGGACATAGGGCCGGGATGGCGAAAAGCATCTGCTTAACGGTGCTCGTTCGAGGCGCCTGACTACAAAGCATCCGCAAAAAAAGCGGATTGAGAAGTGTGCCTTAGGCAGCTTCCCCTGTACGTTAACTTAAGCGCGGCTTGAAATGCCGCTGTCTCGCAGATCCTCGCTGCGCTACACCCAAGGCGTTTCGGGCCGAGCATTCCCAGCCATCGCATCGCATCACTTGGGAGCGCAGTTTGGGCACGCCTAGGCGTACCAGAGATCATCACGACTCGAGTACTCACTGTTGAGCTCCGCGCTGTGGTCCTGAGGCGAGGCAGAAGGTCCGGGCGCCTACTAGCGCCTTGGGCTCCAGGTTGAGGGGGTCAGCTCAGATATGCTTAGTGTGGAGAGTCAAGGCTTCAAGGGCTCAGTTCGGGTATAGTGCCCGCACGGCTTGCAAGTTTGGGGCTAGGGCCAAGTCCGCTGACGCACCAGCAAACGGTCAAGGATTGTTCCTGGTCGGGCGTGGTTTTCGCATCGCCATCCACGTCTTCGAAACCTGGTGCCGCTACACTCAATGCCTTCAGACTCTGTCTGAGGCATGGTTCAAGGCTTTGAACAAAGGCGAGGGGGATGAGCTTAGAGACAAGTCGACGAGTTCGTTAAGGTCAGGCAAATGCCTTGAATTCTTGTCTGTCCGCTCATGGTGTAGGTTCTGAAGCAGGGACCGATTACTGTTGCCCGGCCACCTAGCCCCTCCCTGCAGCCTGTGAGGGACATGGAGATGTCCGCGACGCAGACCTCGTCGGTGGCGGTCTTGGACAAGGTCCTGTCACGCCAAGCAAAGGTTGTCCCGGCGCATGTCCGATGCTCAGCATGCCACATCGTGGCACCGTGGCGCTCTTTTCCTAGGGGATAGGATTAGGTCCCTGCTTAAGAGAGCCAAGAGGATTAAGAAGAGTTCCCTTTTAAGGGCCCCCCTTGTCCTACCTAGGATTTCTTGCCGGAATTTGGGGCATCGGCCTCTGCTCGAGCAGGTCGTCGAGGTTGCCGAACCTCTGGCAGATCTGCGTCACCTGCCTGCCAACGGCCACTAGGCGGGACACCGAACAGGGAAGCACCGCCCTGTCCGCCCTCGTCTCAGAGAGAGAGAGAGTGAGAGTGAGAGTGAGAGTGAGAGTGAGAGTGAGAGTGAGAGAGAGAGTGAGAGTGAGAGTGAGAGTGAAAGTGAGAGTGAGACACGGAGAGAGGCGAGATAGGACACACACACACACACACACACACACACACACTGACATATGCCTCTGCACACCTACGCCCCTACGCGCATGCTGCGGCGCCTCTCGAGGATGCCGCTCGAGGCGTGGGGCGTGAGGGGCAGCGCCAGGATGCCCAGCAGCGCCTGCCGAAGGATGCCCCAGGCGGAAGAGATTTCTGAAGACATTTGAAGAGACTGAGGAGGGAGAGGAGGGAGAGGAGGGCGAGGAGGGAGAGGAGGGAGAGGAGGAAGCGGAGGAGAACGAGAACGCCCGCCTGGAAAGCCTTGGCCAGGCTGCGGCCGAGGTTCGGGCTGAGCCCGGCCACGCCGCCCTCCTCCACCTGCGTGCGTGCTCGTGCACTCAAAAAGAGACGTAGCAGCCCCCTTTCCCACCCCCGACTCCTGCTGGTAGAAGTCCGGGGCCGGGAACTGGAAGGTGCCGTCGTTCACCGGCACGAAGCTAAGCCCCTGCGCTCCTGTGGCTTCAGGCGGCTTCAGCTTGCCAGATCTTACGGCGAAAGCAGCTGAAGACCCCTGAACAAGAGCCGAAAAAACTCATAGCCTTGACGGAAGCCCAACAGCAGCCCCACGGTTTTTGCCAAAAAAAGAGATGGCATCCCGCATCCCACAGCGATCTCTTCGGCCGGGGCGCGCATCTGCCCGACGCGCAGCGCGAAGTCGGGGTCCTCCAGCACGCCCTTGCTCAGCAGCACCAGCGCGAAGGAGGCGCTGGCCGCGGCCGCGATGTCCTTGAGGCCCCGCGCCCGGAAGGTGGCGATGCGCAGCTGCTGCTGCACCATCTGCTGCAGGATCAGCCTGCGTCCGCCAACACGGGCAACGTCTACGCTAGGGGCGCAGCGACGCGGTCAGCAAGGCACTTTCTTTGACTACTAGACACCTGATGAAAAAAAAAAAAAAAAGCGGAGAGAGAGGGGAGGGGCATGCTAGGGGCATGCTGCCGCCGGGGTGCACGGTGGAGATGGCCTCGGGCTCCAGCTCCGTGGAGCAGAGCAGGATGCGCGCAGCGCCCACGGCGCCCTGGGGCGCCACCTCCGCGCGCCAGGCGCCTGCGGCACCAAGAACCACTTGAGCGTATAAGGTTTTCGTGTTTTTGTGTGATCTCAGACTATCGCGCGGGAGGCCACCTCGAGGCCCTCGGGCAGCCATGGCCACATCCAGGACCAGCCGCTCCTGCTCCTCCAGGCTGGCGTGCCGGCTCAAGGCGTAGCCCTTCCGCGCGCTCAGGTGCCGGTAGGTGGCCTCGCAGCATCGAAAGAGCAATCGCAAGAAGAGCAAGGGAGAGGAGAGAAAGAAAGACACAGAGAGAGAGAGAGAGGTAGAGAGAGAGCGAGAGTGGGGCAGAGGCAAAGGGAACATGCCTCCGCCCGCCCTCGTTCTGCCTTGATGTCCTCCATGGAGATGCCGTGGCTGGTGAGGGTGTACTGCTGCTCCTCGGTCCACACGGACTGGATGTTGTTGATGCTGTCCGCATCGGGGAAGGCGTAGCCGTCGCAGTAGAGCGGGATGATGGGGATTCCGTGCTTGCGGGCGCTCGTCAGCTCCCCGGCGCACCACATGCCTGTCCCGTCCCGAGGCTCTTTTGCTGCTTCTTGCTGTTTGTCTTTTGTTTGTTGCTTGGGGGGGAGGGGGGGGGGGGGGGGGGGGGGGGGAGGTGCAAAAGATCAGGAGAGGGAGGAGTGGTCACGCAAATCATGGCAACTCAATTCTTTCTTGCTGGGCCGGGGCGCGCTGCAGCAGCTCGGGCGTGAGCACCGCCACCAGGCAGCGGGTGTCCGAGCTGACGATCTCGAAGATGCGGGCGAGGTCGTCGAGCTCGTCGGAGTCCAGGAAGATGTTCATGCGCCCGTACTTGTGCACGATGAGCTTGATGAAGCGGCAGAGGGCCCCGGCGCCCGCCTTGTGGTGGCAGAGGAAGGCGTCGTACTTGCTCTGGGGCCTTAGCCGCAGCGAGGCGGCCAGGCACGCGGCCGCCAGCGCCACCAGGGGCAGCAGGCAGAGCACGCCGGTGAGCAGCGCCGCCACCAGGAAGCTGCCGTCCTGATTCTGTTCCAGGCGCAGCATTGGCGAGGCGAGCAACAGCAAGATCAGCAGCGCCGTGGAGAGGACCAGGTCATTGTAGTTGGCCACTTCGACGCGCCAAGGCCAGAGGAGGCTCTGCGACGCGAGCTTGATGCAGACCACGATGCCCATGATGCCCACCTGCAAGGCGGGCACGGACACCAGCGCCGCCGGGATCAGGGCCACCACCAAGTTGTGCCCGGAGAGGAGGAGGCCGCAGTAGTAGCGCTCCGGGCGGAAGCGGCCGAAGAGGAAGTTGTATTTCTCCAGCACCTCCAGGCCTTTGCCGGACCTGAGCCAGGTAGGGTACTTCCAGGTGAGGAACGCGATGCTGGAGAGGATGGTGACGGGGTAGGCCAGGATGCCCAAGGCCGCCAGCACCACCAGCGGCCCGTGCTCGGGGCCCCAGCAGAGGACGTCCGTGCGGGTTGCCATGGTGGTGAGACCGTTGGGGTTCTGCCGGCACTGGAAGGGCCGCATCACCGTCAGGGACATGGCCGTGAGCAACGCCACCAGCAAGACCCCATGGAGGTTCACGAACGAGTTGAAAGTGATGGGGCGCTTGGCCCAGCGGGCCAAGAGCCAGAAGCCGAAGGTGGCCAGCAACACGGCGGGGTAGGCCAGGAGCTGTGAGCCGTACTCCACCACGTGGCTCTGGGGATCCAGGATGCAGGAGAACTCGATGTCCAGGCTGAAGAGCGCCAGCGAGGAGAGCACGGCCTTGGCCGGGTCGATCCAGGCGATCTCGAACTGGTAGATGGCCTCTCACACGCGCACACACACACACACACAGACATACATACATATATTTGTCCACCTATCATGTCAAGATGAGGAGGATCCCTTGTCCACGCTGATGTTTAATTCAAAAAAGGATAGACAAAGGAGTGGAAATACACACACGATCATGCTCAAAACTGCTGCAAACATTGAATCAGCATCATCTCCGTTGTGAACGCTGCATGGGGAAATGGCTGCAAACATCAAACGAATGCTCCACAGGAATGCTGCGACTCTGCCAGTAAAGAGGAGACCCCCCCTGTTGCTCCATCAATGCTGTGTGCGTGAATGACACGCGGGGGGGGCCTCCAGGCTCTGCAGACAGACGACCAGCTGCCCGAAGATCACGCAGACGATGAAGATGCTGGTGGCCACGCGCCGCGCGCGGCTCACCAGGATGCTGGCGGCCACGAGCAGCGGCAGGAGCCCCAATATCACGATGGGCAGCAGAAGGAAGGGCCACAAAGACAGGGCATCGCAGGGCCTGCAGGAGCCGTCCACATCGGAGGCGTAGCCCAAGAAGCAGTCGGCGCAGGCGCGCCCCGTGCGCCCGAAGCTACACCGGCCCGGGGGGCCTTGTGGGCACCGGGCCGGGTCACGACAGGAGTAGACCGAGTACCGGCTCCGGGCCTCTGTCCCAAGGTTCTCCGCCCAGAAGCCCCGGAGCTGCTGCGGCGCGCCCGAGCCGCCCGGGCAGTCCATGCCCTCCGGGCACGGACGGCACTCCGTCAGGTTCCACAGGTACCTGGAAAGAGAGAGATTGGGGATACGAGAAGGAGAGCAGAAGAGAAGACAGAGAAAGAGAGAGAGAGAGAGAGAGAGAAAGAGGGAAGCGCCCGCCTGCCGGCTCTGCAGATGCAGTCCATCTCGCTTGCAGCGGCCAGGACCGTCGTGGTCTTGTCATCTGCGCAGCTGCGGCACTCTGTGGCTGCGGTCTCGTCCTGGTACTGGCCTGCGGCACTTGCACACTATTTCACGTTGCTCTGATGTGTTCTGCGTTCTGCCCTCCGCCCCTCACCTTCGCTAGTCCCTGCCTTGCGGGCACTTCTCGCAGCGCGTCGCGGCCCAATGGTCCGCTTTGGTGCCAGCCGGGCAGTAGTCGCAGCTCACGGACATGGAGTACGCCTGGCCTCGGCTTCGACACTTCCGGATCTTCCGGATCTCGAGCACTGTTCTTGACATGTTTCAGGGTTTCGGGCTTATGAGGCTGATAAAGTTAAGGGTTTCCCCTTTTGACGCTCAGGAGGGTTTAAGTGTTGGGGGGGCCCTTCGTGACCCTCTGTTGTATGCCAGGCGGCTGGTGCCCGGGCGGCATGGGCCTGAGATGCAGCACATGACCTCAATCCTTGTATCATTCGTTTCCTACGGCCCTATGGCTCGGCTCCTTTCCCCCACGCTGCGTTTTGTCAAGGCACGGCACACGGCCGTGGCGCCGTCGGCGTCCTCCAGAAGCGCAGAGTAGCGCCCGGGCGGGCAAGCGCGGCAGATTGCTCGTTGGGACCGGTTGGTCAGCCACTGCCCACCCTGAGTCGAGCTATGCAAAGCAGGTATTTCACAAATGGACTCAAGCAACTGTGCACAAACGCTCCAGAAGATAAGGCACATAAGGCTCCAGACCATCCGGAGACTCACCGGTTTCCTGAAGGACCTGCTGCCGGAGCGCGGTCAAGCTGACGAGGGCTTCAGATCGCCGGAGAACTGTTTAGGTTTAAGCCTGGCCTGCCACATCCCTTGCCCTGCATAGCAGTTGGACCGCAGCGAAATCCAGCCCTGCCATACCTGCCTGGCGCCAGAGAAGTGTTGTGGTCTTAGCCTTCTTCTGGCTTGTGTACTGCAGAGAAGCTGTTTATTTAATTTTGGAACAGAAGCCTTTGTCAAAGCCCATTTTTGGGAGCTGGCCTGTTTTGCTGCAGCCACTGGCACGCCCCGACCCAGCCAGCGCTCCACCACTCCTCCCTGATCAGAGTAGTTCCGAGAGCCGCCTGGAGGTCTTTCGCGGCATCGCTACTCGCGGACATCATCACAAGCACCTCGTTCTACAGGATTCAGGGGATTCAGGACCCCAACTCCTCGACGAAAGGACATGCTCTCTGAACTCTGGGAACCCCCGGTAAAGAGTGGGGGGAGAAGATGTGCCAGGGTATTCCTTCTGAGCCATCCTTAAACCCATCAACCCCGAAAGCGCGAGGCCTCCGCTGTCGAAATCTCCATGTTGATCATCAGGTCCCGCACATCCGGCGCTAGGGTGTCAAGGTTCTGGTTGCCCACGATGCGCAAGTCCAAGGGCTGCGCCATTGTGGCCTCTCAAGGTGAACGTTTCTAACTCCTCTCCGGGAGTTGAGTTACCCCCTCAAACCCCGCAACACCCTGAGCACCCTATCCGAGGGCACACACTTCGAAGAGGACTTCCCGACCTCTCACCCCGAAAAAGGAACCAAAGGCACTTGTGGGCCTTTGTTCCGCATTCACAATGGACTCATTTATGGGGCGTTAGGGTTTCGGGCTTGCGGGTTCTGGGAGTGGCCTACGAGGGCTTTCCGCTCTCGGTACTTGCCCAGGTGGCCTTGTTGCCGAGAGCCCACTGTTGCTCGTTGTTCTCCGGAAAGGAAATCAACCGGTGAGCTTGCCGGAACGTCAGGTCCGGTTCCCAAAAATAGAAGAGGAGCCTGCCCGTCGCATGTCTGCCATCATATTGCCCCAAAGACCCAAAAAGCTCGCAGAGGCTTAGCCGCAGCCTCCCAGACACCCTCAAAGTCCAGAAGCCCTAACCGTTACACCCGCAAGCCTGTAAACCCGTAACCCCTTATGATCCCCCCGAACATGCAGGGGCTCCTTTCTTCCGTGACCAGCTCGGCAAAGGCGGTTCCTATCGCATGCCCGTCTGCCGCGGCCAGGGCCAAGGACATGTTCCACGCATTGGCCTTGAACATAACCTGGCCAAGGCAAGGGGCCCAGGGCTGCAGGAAATACATGGGTGTTGTATTTCTCGGGGGCGAAAAGGCCAAGCACAGTCGCGCAACGTCACAAATCGTGGATTGGTTGTAAGGTTTTTTGGGCACAGGGAGCGGGTTGTCAGGTTTTCGCAGGGTTTGGATGATTCAAACCTCCTCCACATCGTAGACATAACTGTGGGAGCTCCCAGTGATGCAGGGAGTGCAGTCGTCTGGATTTTGCCTGCAAGTTCTCGCAAGCCACCAGAAGCCATCCGGGCAGTAAGGCACGATTTCCGGCCCTGAAAAATCAAGCCCTTCTAGGTCATCAAAGAGTTGGAGAAACATTTCCAGTCCACTCTGCAAAGTGCCTCTCCACCTCACGCACGGTATAAGCTTGGACGTATTGATGCTTGCTCTGCTAGAGAACCAGCGGCTTGGATTCTCGTACTTCGCGTTGTAGTTCCTGTAGTCGTCCAGAAACAGCCGCTCTCGTACAAATGCAGAAAGCTGAGCTTGGCCATCTACATAAAGCCCAGCATATGATGGAAATCCTATGCTTGACAAATCCTCCAGCACTCCTCCCATTTTCATGCGCTGCACCTGCTCGTAGTGCTGCGCCACCTCTTGTGTAAGGTAGACGCCAATTGCTGCGTGCCATTTCGTCTCCTGTCCATAGCAGCCACGGTCGACATCGTCGCTTGCTGTGGGATTGTCACAGCCAGCCAGCGCGTAGAGGACATGCTGGGCGACACCAGAATTCGACACCTCGACGTTTACATTGTAGCCTAGGTACTCCTCTACGAGAATTTGGAATACAGCCGTTGGCGTAGCCGTCTGCCATTTGGCTTGCCCATTCCAGATGCCCAGCGGGATACTTGTGCCGTTGGCTGTCACATTTCTCCGCAGCTCGTGGGGAACTGCGTCAGAAAGGCAAGTCTGGCTGGCGTGCACCTTTGGCACATAACTCTGGCACCATGGATACACTTCACGTGGGTGTTATTCAAAATAATACATAAGGTCCCTTACCAGAAGCTAACAAAGGGCTCTCATTTCGAACGACCCCCAAGCACCGGGAGTCAAGAAGGAAGAAGCGGAGGGGGGGAACCCTCAGCCATTAGGGCCTGAATGTTTCGGGCCTTCGGTGCTGCTTTCAAACATAGATTTATGGGCACGGCTGGATTCGGGTATGTTTGGTTATGGGGTTCGTGGGCTTCAATTGAACCGAGCGGCCGCGGATGCGCAGAGGACCAGCGCAAATCCCAGCATCTCAGCCCCAAGCCCCAGCGGGCAACTTGAGCTGAGGAACATGGCTGAGGCACTTGGATTGTCGGCCTTGGCATGTGGAGGGTTTTGCCTTGAAAGCGCCACGCCGGCCACATGTCTTCCATTGTTCCCAAATGTTCCCACTACCTGGGTACATCGCACCTCGTGCCTTGACCACATTGGATTCCGACAAGTCCCCTGCCAAGGGAACCCGAAAGTTAAATCCTGCATCTTGCATCCGAAACCCTGAGCACGTTCTTTCTTCGTCTTAAGGTAGGAGTTCCTGATGGAATCGAAACGGCCACGTTTGTGGGTGAGCACTCCTGGCCTGGGCACAGGGGAGCACAAAAAAACAAACGACCCCCAAGGATTCTTCGATGGGATTCAGAAGATGCGACTCGTAAGCAGTAGGGTGCTCAGGCTGCTTAGGCTGCATAGGTTTGAGGGGTTCAGGGGCCTGCGTTAACATCAACGTTGGAGCATCCCAAAACCTTCGGTTTCAGCACGGTCCGGAAGAATGAAAGGTGGCACGAGCCACGTGCTGGTCAAGATCGCTGTACATCGAGGCCACTCACGTGGCAGAAAACGAGGTCTCCAATCACACTATCACGTTTTTGCGCGGAGGCTTGCGGGCTCTCGCCTGCCACCCTGCATGCCTCTAAACACACTCATTCCGGCAAGCCTACATCCCAGCACTACAAATCACACGCACAGAGCATCATCACTGGAGCTCATGTCGTCGGTCTCTGCAGATGCTGGAGACGGAGTAAAGGCCTGTCATACACACCGGCGATGTATCCACGGCGACAGTTCAGAAAGACAAAGAAGTGAAGAAAAGAAAGAAAGAAATGCAGAAAGAAAGAAAAAAGGAAAGAGCGAGAGACACACAGACAGCGAGAGCCCCTGCCTGGCGCATACGGCTGCTTCTATTCAGTCGTTGTAAGGGCGAAGGGATGCTCTAATATCTAAACTGGAAGAAAGCAAAAGGACAACAGAAGGACCTGGTTAAGGCGCTTAAACAAAATGAACCACAAACCCGGAATTTACAGACCCGCAAACCTGACGCCTAAACCCCATAAGCCCCGTAAACCCTATAAGCCCTAAACCCTAAACCCTAAACCCTAAACCCTAAACCCTAAACCCTAAACCCTAAACCCTAAACCCTAAACCCTAAACCCTAAACCCTAAACCCAAACCCTTCCCCCCAACCCCTGAACTCTCTGACCCTGTAAGCCCTGAACCTTACAACCGAAGGCCGCAGGGCCTCATCTTTAGCCTCGCTCGTGGCGTTGGTTTCCTTGAGCGGAGGGCTGAACCTTGCGCCGGATTTGGTTCCGGATTCGTTTATGTGTGTATATATATGTATGTCTATATATATATATATACATACATACACATACGTATACATACACCTATACATACATACATATATATATATATATATGTATTTATTTATTTATATACATATACAGATATATATATATATATACATATATATACATGTATAAGGATGTTTGTCTTTTTCTTTCGGGGGGTGGGGGGGAAGGTTTAACGTTTAGGGTTTGGGGGGTTGTCGGTTTGGCGTTCGGGTTCGGGGTTAAGGTTTGAGGCGGGGTTGGGGGGGTCGTGTATCGCAAGAGGAGGTTCGTGTCTTTCCCACCTTTCTCCATGAGCTTCAACTGGTTTCGAAGCATCTTAAACCTATAGATGGACTAGGGGCATTAGTTCCTTGGCTTTGGGCTCAGATTCGGCGGCCGCATGTGTGTGTGTGTACACGTCTGTTTGCCCAGGATTACTAACTTGCAGGGGGGCAGCGAACATGTTGTGAGACGCTGCCTAACAAAGAAGCTCGCTTCATGTTTTGGTGCATCATGCGAGCCAAAGTGCAATGGACAGAAACCTTATCCCCATGATGCCGTTGCACATACGACTCCTTCGAAAGAGGGTGCGGACCTGTGTGTGTTGGTTGTGTGTGTGCGCTTGCGTGTGTGTTTTTACAAGTTGTGCCTCCTGCGGGCTGGGGCTGGGATTTGAGACACACACACAGCCCCAAACATGCCAAGCAACAACGCCACGAGCCCCGCAACCATGCTCTGAAGAAGCCATTTAAGCCCGGGGCCTTCTCTGCGGCGAGTCCTCTAAGTTGCCGAATCGCTGGCAGATCTGCATGACTTGCCTCGCCACTGAGGGTTCAGGGCTTGAAACAAGATGCTCTGGCTTGCGGGATCGCAAGAATGGCTTCAGGCCCCGAAGATAGACCAAAAGGCCCAAACTCTCCACACAGCCCTTGCCTGTCCAAGATCCCACTAGATCCATGCGGAGCGAAGGGGAGAGCCAAGATGGAGAGGATGGCCTCACAAGCCAGCTTCTCGCTCTCTGGGGCTGGGGCTACAACATCCAAGAATCGCGGTTGACGCCACGTATGAGGGAATAGGGCTTGGGGCATAGGCAACATCGAACCGAAACAGTGCATCTATCTTTGAACAGCCATCCGAACTGGGGGCCCTCGGCACATTCGCCCTCGAAGGTACACAATCCATGCTTCAGAGTCAGATCCCTTGCCTGGTAGGCCTTTGCCAACGCTGGCCCTGAGTCTTCCGAAAGTCCCGCGATGGCGATGTCCCCGCCTTCTACCTTGCAAAAGGCCATGGGATCTGTGTAGAGCTTTAGGATACTCCAAGGCGTTCTTGAGGGATTCTTGTTTGAGAGGGTCCATGGTTTTGGGGGCCATGGATTCTCGTAGAGGATCGGAGTTCCGGCTGCTGGTTCGTGCAGGCACCGCTCGCCGACTTATAAAGGGGTGCCTGGCCTTCCGGTAGAACTCTGGCGAGGGGAACTGGAAGGACCCATCATTCACCGGCACGAACTCGATCCTCTCGCTTCCTCACATTCACAGGCACTGTTTAGGTGTAAGGTTTTGCTTGGGAGCGCCTAAACCCTATCGCAACCAGAGCCAAGGAGGCGGCACGCCCACACACCCTGCATCCACCAACACCCCGAAACCCTGGACCCACCCACCCACTCCCTGAAGCTTCAACGACTTTAACCCTTATAACCTGACCCGAAAAAACCCCACGAAATCCCACAGCAAACCCTCAAAACCCGAACCCTCCGAGGGGCGGATGGCCACAGCCAGCCTGGCAAAGGTGGCGTCCTTGAGAACACCGCGGCTCCTTAGGCTTGAGCTGCTGGGGCTTTATGGGGTTTAGGGTTTAGGGTTTAGGGTTTAGGGTTTAGGGTTTAGGGTTTAGGGTTTAGGACTTGAAGTTTAGGGTTTTTTGGGTTCAGCGGAGGCTTCGTTTTGGGGGGTTGAGGGTTTGGACGGGAGCAGACATCCAAGGGAAGGGGCAAGTCTTTATGCCAACACACAGTTAACTTGCATTCCGGCAAAGAGTCCCGAGATTCATCGCCTAAACCCAGCAAGAACATTGGAAAAACCTCGGATTCCCAAAGCCTGGCAAATCAGGGAAGGCTCAGCAACACCACCACGAAGGTGGCCCTGGTCGCGACTGGGAGATCAGCCGGCGACTGCGCGCTGAAGACCGCAACCTGCAGATGCCTCAGGGAAGTTCGGGAAAGTTCAGGGTTCAGGGTTTAGGGTTTAGGGTTTAGGGTTTAGGGTTTAGGGTTTGGGGTTTGGGGTTTAGGGTTTAGGGGCTCAGAGCTTCGGAGTCTAAGACAGTCCAAGGGGAGCTGAGTGCTTGGGGTTGGGAAGTTGGGATGCCCCCGAACTCGGGGGGGGGGGGGGGGGAGCCTCTGGATCATCTGCTGCAGGAGGAGTCGGGTGGACACGAACTCCGGCTCAGCGTCGGAGGAGCAGACGAGGATGCGAGCGTTGGCGATGGATCCTCTACTTGTTGTCAGTAGGGCTGTCGGGACAGTCTAAACCCTAAACCCTAAACCCTAAACCCTAAAACCCTAAACCCTAAACCCGAAAACCCTGAACCCTGAACCCTAAACCCTACACAGAGCCCAGAAAGTCCTTGGGGTGGCACTTCGACTCCGGCGCTTCCTGGATCGGCAGCTCTTGTGCAACGTTTGGGGGTTTCTTTTTCAGCGCAAAGTCCTAGGGTTTGGGGTTTGGGGTTTGGGGTTTGGGGTTTGGGGTTTGGGGTTTGGGGTTTGGGGTTTGGGGTTTGGGGTTTGGGGTTTGGGGTTTGGGGTTTGGGAGCGCTAGTGCGTTTAAGGTGAAAAAAACAGCACAACCCCACAAACCGGACAAGCACCTCAAGAAGACCTACAAACCATAAACCCTAAACCCCAAACCCTCCATGCCCACAAACGAAACCTTCAACGATCGCGCTCCACCCTGCCAACCTGGCGACACGGCCGACATCAACCGCAGCACCGCGCGCTCCTGCTCCTTGCGAGGCACCCCTGTTCCCCCCCCCCCCCATGACCCATACATGCACTAAACCGGAACCTGTTAGGTTCTAAACTCACGACACCCGTTCACCCGGAAGAAAAAATATATCTGAAAACGCTAAACAGAAAGAGCTCATGAGGCTCCTCGAGACGATCCGAGCGCCGAAGCGTAACAAAGGTAAGGGTGCGGATATGGATGTAGGCGGCCTGCTCAGGGGTTTCGGTTTCGAAGGGTTTCGTTCTTGGGCTTTAAGGTTCACGGGCTGAAGGTTTGATGTGAGCTTGCCATCTATGGGAATCAGTGAAAGTTCAATCGTGCATGCTCCTTCGTCCCCGGTGCGTGGCCAGGCGGTTGTTGAGCTAGCTATGGGCTAGCTGTACGCTTAACGCGTGCACCGAAATCATCAGGCATGTTGTGAGCATGGCCGTCGGTCTTAGCCGTGGTTTCACGACATGGTGGTACCTGGACTCATTCGCAGGCCGGTGGCATGAGCCAAAGGCTTTTCGGGGGTTCTCAAATCGGCGAAAGTCACGCCAACTTCCCAAGGACTACCACAAGTCTGAACAGATTCGAGATGGGGCCAGGCAAAGCGCTAACCAAATCTGCACCAAAACGCCCACCGAGGGCTCAAGGCAACAACTGCATCGATGCAAAACAATCTGTCTCAAAAGCAGGAATGTACACCAAGATGCCACGTGATGACCCAAATGTTGACATTGCACCAACAGGCTAAACGCCAGCAACGTTGGCACCATATCCGCATCACAAGACCAGACTCGTCCAAAAAAAACAAACGCAATCATTGACACACAACTTGCACTTGACCCTAAAGTCCTGTAAAACGTCTACCACATCTATCAAAGTATCACGACGCCAAACACAACACTGTGCCCACAGCAAAGCACGCGAGATAGCGCAAGAATGCGAGGTTATGGCTTGGCACTTTTTGGGTGTTCGGTTGAGTGGAGTCGCTGTGGCAACTATGAGCCATTCAAGTAGCCCGACTTCACAGTTCCGGGAACAGGGTTACCTGGTGGCATTGATCAAAGTGGGGTGTAACTGCCTTGTCGGGGGGTTTGACGGCCCTGCTGTCGGACGTGCATAACTTTTTTGAGTTGTTGCCTTTAACCTTGTGGTTGTCGCGGTGTTGCTGCTGCCCTCTCATTTTTGCTGTATACTGAGTATACTGTATATCTTGTGACTGGTCGTCTGCCGACCGGGAAGCAAGCGCCTTGATGTCCTCCATGGAGATGCCGTGGCTGGTGAGGGTGTACTGCTGCTCCTCGGTCCACACGGACTGGATGTTGTTGATGCTGTCCGCATCGGGGAAGGCGTAGCCGTCGCAGTAGAGCGGGATGATGGGGATTCCGTGCTTGCGGGCGCTCGTCAGCTCCCCCGCGCACCACATGCCTGTCCGTCGCCAGGCTCTTGCTGCTTCTTGCTGTTTGTCTTTTGTTTTTTGCTTGGGGGGGGGGGGGGGGGGGGGGGGGGGGAGGGGCAAAGGATCAGGAGAGAGAGGAGTGGTCACGCAAATCATGGCAACTCAATTCTTTCTTGCTGGGCCGGGGCGCGCTGCAGCAGCTCGGGCGTGAGCACCGCCACCAGGCAGCGGGTGTCCGAGCTGACGATCTCGAAGATGCGGGCGAGGTCGTCGAGCTCGTCGGAGTCCAGGAAGATGTTCATGCGCCCGTACTTGTGCACGATGAGCTTGATGAAGCGGCAGAGGGCCCCGGCGCCCGCCTTGTGGTGGCAGAGGAACATGGAGTACTTGCTTTGCGGGCGAAGTCGGAAGCAAACAGCGGCAGATGCTGCGAGCAAGGCTGCAATAGGTAAGATGAACATAACGCAAGCCAGAAGAACTGCAACAAACTCCATGGCCTTCTGCTCATTCAGATTCAACAATGGTGACGCCAGAAGCAGCAAGATCAGAAGGCCCGCAGAGAGCACCATGTCATTGTAGTTGGCCACATCGACACGCCAGGGCCAAAGCAGACTCTGCGTGGTCAGCTTTACGCAGACCACGATGCCCATGATGCCCACCTGCAATGCGGGCACGGACACCAGCGCCGCCGGGATCAGGGCCACCACCAGGTTGTGCCAAGACAGCAGGAGACCGTAGTAGTAGCGCTCGGGGCGGAAGCGGCCGAAGAGGAACTTGTACCGCTCGAGCACCTCCAGGCCACTGGACGATCGAAGCCAGATGGGGTACTTCCATGTGAGGAAGCTGATGGCCGAGAGGATCGACACCGGGTATGCGAGAACTCCTACGACAGCTAAGGCAACAAGCCCTCCATGTTTTCCAGTGGTCCAGCAAACGACATCTGTTTGGGTCACCATGGTCGCCAAGCCGTTCGGGTTCTCCCGACACTGGAAGGGCCGAAGTACACTCAAAGACATTGCCGTTAGCAATGCCACCAGCACAATTCCATGCAAGTTCACGAATGCACTGAAGCTCACACGCTTGCGAGTAAACCGTGCCATGTACCAGAGGAGGAAGGTTGACACCAGCACAATCGGGTAAGCCATCAGCTGAAAGGCATACTCCATCAGGAAGCTTCGCGGAGGTAGCACGCAAGAGAACTCGATGTCCAGGCTGAAGATTGCCAAGGAAGAGAGCACAGCCTTCGCTGGGTCCACCCAGAGAATGTCGAATTGGTATATGGCTTCCAGGGACTGCAAGCAAACCACGAGCTGGCCAAAGACCAGGCAAACCACGAAGACAGTGATGGCCACTCTCCGGGCTCTGCTGAGCATGACGCTCGCAAAAACCAAGATCGGCACCACCCCCACGATCACAACCGGCAGGAGGATAAACGGCCACATCTTCAATGCATCACAAGGCTGGCAGCTTCCATCGGCGGCGGCGGCAAAGCCCTTGTAGCAATCTGCACACGCGACGCCTCCCCAAGCTCAGGCTACTGCTTTTTGGAATTTTAATTCAGGCCCAGGGTCGAAGGTCTCTCTCAGAGGAAAAAGGGTCTGACCCCCAAGCGCTCGAGATCTAGAGTTGCACAACCTGGCCTGTACGACCAACCTGGCACTGCCCAGGGTATCCCTGCGGGCAGCGGAGCAAGTCCCGGCAGTAGTAGATCGAGTAGTCTCCTCCTCTCCAAGGTTTAGGGTGTCTTAGCAGGCACCAGCCTGTCCGACTCTCAACGCCTCAACACCCTGACGCCTCAACACCTCTCAACGTGATCTCCCTCCTCCGAGGTCTTCTGCCCAGTGCCCTGCCCTCTGCATTGGCGGGGCGAAGCTGCCGTTGCAAATGAACTCCTCGGACCAAGGCCATCCCACACCGGAAAGAAAAAAAACAAACTAAACCCCCCCCCCCCCCCAATGCCTCCTCAGCCTTTCTGCTTCCCCCACCCAAAGCATATAGTTGCTTCCCCCCACCCAAAAAAGAAATTGCTGCCGCCACCCAAAACACAAAATCTGTGGAATCTCAGAAAGACAACTGTTGCTTGGTTGACAGGGCCCAGGCTCTTGGGGGCATTGGACACATGTCGATGACTCCATCTGCCAATACCTGCATCGCTGCGCCGTTGCTACTGTTCCCGGTACCCTTTCTTGCACATTTCATTTGGGACAAGCGCTGGCTTCTGCCCTATTGTACCCTCAACTGCTAAGCCCCAAATCCCTGAAAACGAGCCGTGATCCTGGGGTGCCCTTTACAAGCAATATGGCCGAGGATCGTGTCTTCGCTGCAGATGCACTCTAACTCAGTGGTGGCGCCCTCGATGCTTGTCACCATGTTCTTTGGGCAGGCCAAGCAGGTGCTTTGACCCGTCCGATTCTGGAAGAAGCCTCTAGGGTTTAGGGTTTAGGGTTTAGGGTTTTGGGTTTTGGGTTTTAGGGTTTAGGGTTTAGGGTTTAGGGCTGGGGCCATTAGTAATTAGGACTCGCATCGCGATGAGCAACGTGGCGGACAGCCGGCCCTTTCTGGCCAGAAAATGAGAAAGCAATGAAACGCCTGCGATGGCCAAACACCGAAGCCTTAACAATAACCCTTGAACCGCAGACTCAAAAGCCCTGCCTATTGGGCACTTGCTGCACTCCGTGCTCCCGAATGAGTCGGAGATTCTCCCACGCGGGCACTCGCCACAAGAGAGTGCGGAGAATGACGGCTGTTTGTAGCCGGGGTCGCAAGGACCTCAGATGCTGGGATCTTGGATTCCAGGATTCAAGGATTCATGGGTTGAGGGCTCCGGGGATGTCATGCCTATCAGGCCTATCAAGCATGGGCTTATTGGGCTTAGGCTTTCGGCTTGTTGGGCACCTTGGCTTGGCTGCACCATACTGCGGCCATCTCCGGAATCCCAAGCCATTTCCTCTCTTGCGGGGCTGTTGCAAGCGGGCGGCGACAAACAGCTGTGTCCACCTGGGTGTCGTCTGTGATCATCCTGGGTTGGAGCTCAAGGAGACCCCAAAGAAGCTGCGAGGGGTTTAGGGTTCAGCGGACTAACCTTGATGGGCTCCGCTTCAGCGACTCGCGCGGCCGGGTTTTGGAGTTCAGGGCACCGCAAACAAAAGGCTTCGGATAGCTGAAGACCCCCTCGAAACCTTTTAATCCTGGGCGCCCCTGAACCCCAAATCCCAAGAACCTCTAAACCCTGAAAATCCTTGAGCCCCTAAACTCTAAGAATCCCAAGCATCCCTAAACATCCCCAAACCCCTGAATTCCTGAACCCCTACACCTCCCAAGAACCCCAAATTGCTAAACCCCTAAACCCGAAGATCCACCCTAAACCCCTCAAGAGTCCCTAAACCCCAACCCCCCCCCAAAGCCTAAACCCCGAAACTTTAAGAGTCCCTAAACACCCTAAAAGCACCTAACACCGTGCCAAGGCTCTGCGACCGGGATCCCGGCTCGCAGGGGCGGCAGACAGCACCCACCTGCAAATTCATAGGGGAGTTTGGGGTTTAGGGTTTAGGGTTTAGGGTTTAGGTGTAGGTTTAGGTTTAGGGTTCGGGTTGTAGGGTGTGCAGGGTAGTGTTTCGGGCTCAGGGTGTAGGAAGCAGCTAAGGTGTTTTGGGGGAGTTCTCTGAGAGTTTGAAGCGTTCAGGGTTCTGAGAGGGGTGAATTTGGGGTTCTAGGGTTCTGTAGGGCTTCCTGCAGCTTAGGGTGCAGATGGGTTTCGGGTTTTTGGGGATTCTTTTGGGTCTCCAGGCGATGGAGGGTTGAGCACCTGAATTGCTGGGCCCAAACCCACCAAAAACATAATCACGATAATCATCATAATAATAATCATAACAATAATGATAAACATCATCATCATCATCATCATCATCATCATAGTAAAACTCAACCCCAAACCACCCTAGACCACATCCGCGTCCCCACCTGCCGGACCTCCAGCCAGCCGGCGGAAGTCTGAGAAAGGTGGACGGCTTTAGGGGTTGAGGGGTTTAGGGTTTAGGGTTTCGGGTTCAGGGTTAAGGTATAGGATTTAGGGTTTAGGGTTTAGGGTTTAGGGCTTAGGGTTTAGGGTTTAGGGTTTAGGGTTTAGGGTTTAGGGTTTAGGGTTTAGGGTTTAGGGTTTAGGGTTTAGGGGTTTGGGCAGAAACTCCGATTTCCGGAAGACACATGAAAGGAGACTCAGATTTCGGGTTCACCCAAGACCGGGAGCTACCCCATCCCCCAAACCCCAAGCCCCAAACCCCAGTCGGGTTTAGGGTTTTCCCCAACCCCAAACCCAAACTCACGGAGGCTTGGCGGCTCAGCAACCCCAAACCCCAAAGGGGCCCTGAGACGCAACAACCACCCGAAGGGCCAGGGCACCGAAAACAAGCCTTGGCCATGAAGACAGCTGTCAGCCTCTCGAATGGGGAGTTGAGGCTTTGGTTGGGGGGGGGGGGTAAGAGTGGAGGTGATTTTGGGGGCTGAGAGGCCCAACGAGTCCAGAGAAACTGCCGGGGCCTGAGGAATCCAAGTCCTCCAGATGTACTCCTTGGTTTGGTTTAGGATTTGGGGGCAACCCTAGGCACGGACGGGAGCAACCCCTTGGCTAGACTGAAGTGTCTTGAAGGCCTAGGGCCTAGGCAATGCAGAAACCATACCCTAAACCCTTAGAAGCCCAAGGCAGGAGAAAAAAAGGTAGAAAAAGATTCTGCAGCTCTGTCTCAGGCTCTTTTGCCAGAAGCCACTCGCAAGCGCCTTTCCAAGCAGCGTCCGCGATCCAGTGTCCGGAGCTCAGCTGCGCCTTCAAACCCCAACTCTCCAAATTCAAGCTTGGCGAGAGGCAAGGGGGACCGAAGTTAGGAACACGAACCCCAAGCCCCGAATCGTACATATCCTAAACGTGAGTCAAACTAAACGTGAGTCAAACCCCGAGCCCTCCCTGAAACCCTATAATGAACTCACATGTATAGTCTAGACCCCACAAGCCCGGTGTCCCTTCAGCCGGGTACGAGAAGTTCCCTGATAAGCCTAAACCCTGGAGCTTAGATCGGCGCAGGGCTACTAGAAAAAGATTGTTCCCTTTGGGGTTTTAGGAGGTTTCAGGGGTTGAGGTTTGGGGTTTGGGACTTGGGTTTGGGACTTGGGGTTTGGCCTTACAGTAGGGTTTGGGGTTTAGGGTTTTCAGGCTGGGGTTGAGGACAAAGCGGCGAAGCACGCAAAAAAACCACCGGATCTACCCCAAGTTTAGGTTTTGGGGTGGTCCGGGTCCAATGCCTCCAGCATGTCCCCCATGTCGCCTCTGTCAATGGTTCCATTTGAATCCGCGGACACCTCTTTGGGTTGGGAGGTGGTCAGGGTTTATTCAGGGTTTAGGGCTGTTAGCGTTTAGGAAGCTTAGGATATGACAAGTTAGGGTCTTGTGAGCTTGGGGTCTGGCTTCTGCAGTACGACACTAAGAATCCTTGACGCAGCTGCGATGCCCGCTTTGTCAAGGTCACACACAAGTCGGAGGCCCCGAGCGGCCTTCTGTTCCACGCCCTGTTGCATCATGGAGTCAATGTCCTGCAAGGACCTCATGATGAACGTGAACAACATGAATGAGTATGAATGTAAAGGCTGGCCGAGCCCAGATATACAAAATTCGAAGGCTTAGGGCTTAGGGCTTAGGGGCATAGCATGTCAGGCTGGTCTGACAACCTGGCGGCCACTTCATCTTCAGCAGTAGCTCCCGGGCGTCGGGCGCCAGCCGCATCAGGTCGCTGCTCACCACGATCCGTGGGTCTTGCGCTTCCGAGTCGGTACTATAATCACCCGCCTTCCACTGCACAGGATTGTGCTTCGGGAAGGAAATCCGACGGGGGTGCAGCAAGAGAAAGGTGACATCTGGCTCCCAGAAGACGAATAAAGTCCGATGGGCCACAACAAGGTCATGGAGGTCTTTGACGCTCTGCGTCACCCCCAGAGCCAAGGGCATTCTGTGGGCGACGGCTTTCTGCATCACTTCTGCAACCCGGTAGGCGGTTCCTCCCAGAGTAGCCGTCAGGCACGGAACGCAGCCGACAGTGAGGTTACCTGAGAGAGTGGCGGGAGGCTGAACCCCCCAAACCACCAGAGCATGAACCAAAAAACCAAAGTCACAGCTCGGAATGCTACGTCACACTTACGACAACACATTTTGAACCCCATGTATTCCCACTTCAAGTCCCAGCTTCTCTTCACCCTGCACATGGGTGCTTTCCACCACCTGTTCTCACAAAGTGCTGCCTGATCGGGGTCAAGCCAGTCGGCACAGTCAAGGAGGGTCTGGGAATCGAAATACTGCAAGTCGTCGAAATACTGCTGCGGTCGATGGTAAAGAGCATCATAGCTCCTGCCGTGTAAAGGGGATGTCAGGGAATCACGAAACCTAGGCTTGGCTGTGGCAGCTCCATGCAGCTCCTGTAGTCGTCAAGGAGCGCCCGGCTGTGAGACGACTCTGCATAGTGCACGAGGCTTTCTGTGAGGTAGATCCCAGATCGCGCCAGGTATCCCATGCTGGCCAAGTTTTCCAGCAAGCCCCCCATCTGTAGCCGCTGCACTCGACCGAACTCCACCGACACGTTCCAGCTAAAGGTAACCTCACTTCTCACTTCCCCGATGCAAGCAGTACGAAAAAAGTAACTGACAACCTTCCTTCTCCGAGGACTTTGGTTTGCTGGCATGCCGACTTCTGTAGTTGGATGCGCTAGAGGCCATGTAGTGCTCGATCATTTGCGGCGTCCTCGCGCTGAATGCCTCTAGTTTATCCGCGCAGAATTGCAAGGACATCATGTAGAAACGGCATCTTTATGAGACTACAATCAGATTTCAATGCTGTATCCTACGCTTTGAATTCTATTTGGTGAACAACTAGCCTCTCTGCGTCCTGCTTCACCATTTTTTACTTCCTGCGCCCGAAAGCTTTTGAAAAAGACCCCTCGGAGATGTAGGAAGCTTGCGATCAAGAGGCAAAACAAAAGAGACGGGCACAACCCACTGCGAAGATGTGGAGTTGATGCTCGAGGAGGGGAAAATCATGGAAGAGTTAGTCAAGACAGAAAGCCAGGCATCTGAAGCTGAAGAATTACCGCAGAATCCTTGAAGGTTAAAGCTGCTAATCGCTTCTCCCTTTTATTAAATGCCCCCCTATTTCTCAAAACACTTTCCGGAAGATCCACCCGAAAGCACCCCAACAATTTAAAACCTATTGCGAATTAGGGGGTGGGTTGAGGTCTCCCAAAACCCTCAAACCAACCAATCTCCTGTGTGAGTGGAGCTCTCTCTCTCTCTCTCTATTTTGCTCTCTCTCGCCCTCTCTCTCTCTCTCTCACTCTCTCTCCCTCTCCCTCTCTTTCAGTTTACACCCTAATGAAGTACTTAAACCCTCCAAACCCTCAAGCCTAGACCCTAAACCCTTTGGACCCAAAACATGACATTTGAATAAAGACGTCCCCCTATGTAGCGGGGGGGGGCTCGGTTGATATCAGGGGGAAGGATGAACTCCTCTTTGATTCATGTGTATTGTAGCACGAACTGACCAATAAATGTGCAGATGGTCCACCTGCCGACCTTCTCGCTTCGAGTGCCTCACCCTTGGTTCACCAATGGCCGAGCAGCCCCGAAGGTGACGTGGTACTCCCTGCTCCCATGGCAGCCGTCAGGGTCATTCGGAGCGCAGCCCGCTAGCATCCAGAGGGCCTCCTCGGCAGTGCTCACGTCTTGTGCGCTGGCACGGACGTTGTAACCTTGGATAGGGCAAAGCTTTGATTCCTAGACAAAGGGATGGTAGGGTTTCGGGGGGGGGGTTACCCCTCTTTGTGGAAATGCCCATTTACAGCACCAGGTACACTCTCGCCTGCTTTGGCCGGGCCGCCCAGCACCTCCTCCGCGAGAATCTTGAAGATGGTGCTTGGTGTGTCCAGCTCCATCTGCGAGCCATACAGACTCCACAAACCTGCCAGTGCAGGCCTCCCTAAATGCTCTAAATCACACGCAGGCTCCACGAAAATGTCATCATGGAGGCTCTGGAAGGTACCCGAACTTAGGGCCAATCCACCCGGCATTGCTCCACCTACCGCTGGGCCTAAGGGGTAGCTGGCGCTGTCGCCCAGCAGGTCTCTCCGGAGTGCTGAAGGAACCGCATCCGGCAGGCAGGTCTGTTCCGTCCTTTAGGGGTTTCGGGGTCCGCTGAGCTTCTGAGGGGTTTTTGGTGGGTTTTTCGGGGTGGGCTCGTACTCTTTCCTGAGCCGGGAAAAGCCAGGTTATGGAAGCGAGCTAACCCTGGGTGACGAAGTAGGGAGGTCCACAGTAGAGATCTCATTATATGTGTATATACATACATATATATATATATATAGATAAAGATGCTTACATAATATATATATATATATGTATAAGTATATTACTGGTCACCCCCACCCCCCAAAGACCTCCCTCTCACATGATATCTTCTTTTTCGGTATGTCGCTGCTTACTACTCTGCTTGAGGGGACCTATTGAAAACATCTTTTTCTGTTTTGTCTATATTTTCATCACAGGAAAAACCTCTTTGTTAGTGTTTACAAAAAGGGAGACGTTTATTCACTGTGTTCATCGCCATAGGACATAGGAAAACCAAAATTTGTGTATACTATCATCGGAAAACCTGTATTATGTCCACATTTACATGGCAAAGCCCTTGATATTCCCTTAGGAAAACCTCTATGTTCTCTGTGTTTGCAAGGGAAAACCTCTATGTACTCCATATTTACAAGGGAAAACCTCCATGCTCTCCATATTTTGCACAAGGAAACCACGTTTTTCTTGGCATTTACATAGGTTTTTTAAAAATAGTTATAAAGGAAAACCTCTGCTTACTTCAGAGGCAAACCTTTGCGTTTTTCTAGGGTTCCACAGGAAAACCTCTTTGTTTCTGTATTTTGATAGGCAAATGTTTAAATGTATTCGCACGAAAACTTATGTTTTTCCAATACTTCCATTGTTTCATCGATATATTTTGTAGTACGATAGGAAAACCTCTGTTTGCTCAACTTCGGCAGTAGATTTCGACTATCTCTAGACTTTGATAGGATCTTAGGAGGATTCTTTATATTTCAGGATTACCGAACCTGCATTTTCTCTATGGTTTACCCCTATAGATATATATATATATATATATGTAGGAATCTGGGTATATAAATACATAAAAGAATACATATACAAAGAGATTATAGCCAGAAGGCCAACAAGCCAAAAAGCCACGAAGGTTGGAAGCCAACAAGCCAAGAAGCCGGGAACTCCGTGTAGCATAAGCAAGAAGCAGAAACCTAACAATGAGAAAGTAGTTGCGGTCCTACGTCAAATAGAGTGAATACAAGCTTTCCTACTGAGAAGTATACAGGAACTTGAGGTTTTGCTACTATAATGACGTTTTCCTATGAAAATATAAATAGAAATGAGGTTTCATAGTAAGAATCTAGGGACAATCAATGTTTTCCTATTTCACATACAGAGAAAAGTGATGTTTTCTCAATATTTCCTAATTAAAATAGAAACCCAAAAAAAGACTTTTATTAAAAAAAAAAAGGTCCCCATGTGTTCACGGCAACATCCCTACATGTTGAAATGCCCTACATACGGACCCCTGCACTTTGTCATCTCTGCCATATCCGAAGCACAATGCGAAAACCACAGTCCGCATGAGCTGTCATCTCTCACAGGAACATTGGCATCCATGGCAGTCCAGAGATTCTTGGTGTGAACCCATGTACTTTATAGTAAAAAAATCATAATGGGCTATGGCCGGCCACTGAACTAACGCAATTAGCCCGGCCCTTGCCGATATGAGCCTTCCCAGTAGTACTATTTCAGTACCGGTCAAAGGCTTCATGCTTTGCATTTGTCCGCTAGGAAATAGACACAGCTCAGAGGCGATATCGACACAGGACTATTGTGAGCAGACAACACGTCTGCTCATTTATTCGTAGTCTTGTCATATTCCGAATTTGTTTAGTCGTTGTAAATCATGTTCTGGTCTAACTCAGAGAGGTGTGGCCCCAGTGGTAAGTGGCAGAATGTTGAAGACTGTACATGCCTTCTGCTGCTATAGATCATTTTGATTCGGGGCCAACCTGAAGAGTTCTATGATCTCATGAAGTCTTGATAAATGGCGAAAGGGCAAGTTGGTTTGTTTAACTAGGAAAGTTAAGTTAACCCCAAATCTTTACCAACCAACAGGTTCTTCAATGTACCTTCAAACAAATGCACAAGAATATGCATTTCAACTCATTGACAATAGAAAGAGTAACCTTTCATTCTCATGTTTTGGTGAGATGCTTCCTTTATCAGACTCTTCATTCCACAACCTTCCCAGATGCTGGGCTGTAGAACCGAGCCTCCAAGCTGAAACTACCCCTCCATGAAACCTTTTCTTTCTGACAGGCCTTCAAGTGCTGGTGGCGGCCGCTACAAGCAACAAAACTCACTCAAATAGGCCAAGCCAACTTCATCCTAAATCTGAGGGGCGGTCCGGAAACAAATTGAAAGGATGCTGCCCATGAATTGACGTTCGAATTGAGGAAAGAGATAGAAAGTTTCGGAATGTTTTACTCGAAGAAGTGATTTAGTCGAACAAACAAAGTAGCCTCAGACGTTGGGGACCCCACCCCCACCCCGGCCCCCCACCCCCCTAACCTCCTTTTTGGCGCGCGCAAGCGTTTGCAATTAGGATATATTACGTCTCTCTAACGTTTGAAGTGATTTTCCTTTCACCTTATGGAACTAGGCCCGCAACAGTATTCGCATGCCAACTATTGGATTTCGACAGCGCTGTGAATGAAATTTGCCCGGGTTGTCATTGTAATGTGACATTCTCAGATTAGCTCAGCTCAGTCTCCCCTATTCCATATGCCCAGATTTGCTCACCTCAACTTCTCAGATTCCCAGACTTTCTCACCCCAACTTCCAGGATTCCCAGATTCCCAGATTCCCGTTCAGCGTATATTCCCAGATTCTCAGATTTGCTGGCCCTATGTTCCCAGAATCCCAGATTAGTTGGCCTGAGGGTGAGAAAATCGCCGAATCTGGGAAGTTGGGAATCTGGAAACATTCGAGTAAGACTACCCAGGCTCAGGGTGTGAGAATTTCGCACGATCCTTACGCAAGAGACTAGGGAGGTCTTGGGGGGGGGAGGGGGAGGAGGAAGCAATTTATCACTTGAGAACTCTCAAGAAAATGGTCAGGAACTGCCTTCAGAAACCCTGAGCCCTGGTTCCCTGCATCCCTGCAACCATGCACGCTACTCAACCCTTCAAACTCTTCGCAACACAACCCCCTAAACCCTAAACCCTACACCCTAAACCTTAACCCTCAACCCTAAACCCTGAAGCCCAAACCCCAAACCCTAAACCCAAAACCTTAAACCCTAAACCCTAAACCCTAAACCTGAACAACCGCTGTGAGGTCCCGCTCTGGCTGGGCGATGTCACAATGGCCTGGGCATCCTGGGCGACGCAGGAGACCTGGATACTGCCAGAGCAAGGTAATCATACGTAATCCGTACTGTTAGGCATCCGCGTGAGGGCGGTTTGGGGGGGGAGTTTTTGGGACGGCTTTGGCTCTTTTGTGCTTTGCGCTCTGTTTGTTTGGGAGGGGGCGGAGGGGAAGGCAGGCAAAAGAAGTCCGAACACTCTGTCTTCGAGTCCCAACAGCTCAAGAGCCGAGACGCGATGTGCGCACTGAGGAGCGCGAAAGCCGAAACGCGGAGGTTCATTCCCGCTGCATTGAAAGCATGGAAGGAGTACTGGCTCGAAGCTGTTATGAATCAGGGTCCCTGGGGTATGTAGCTGCAGAGTCTGAAGCTTAAGGTCGCATGCCCTAAACCATGCTAAACAGAAGGCCCTACATGTCTGTGGGGTTGCTTGCTTGCTCCCTTCGTTCCATGTACCCTCTGGGACAGACACGAACCAAAATGTCGCAGTATAGTCTCAAGCATCCATACGCAGGTACAGTCGGAAACCTACGTAACCTAGCTGCCGTGCCAGTGAAGCCTGGCATGTGCCACTGCCACGGTCCTAGTACCAGAGGCCCCAAACCGAACGAGAGGGCGCTCGTCCCCAATTTTCACTAGCATCTCAGCCTCTTCCCAGGATGCTCGAGTGTGGTGATGCGTTCTGCAGAGCTTAGCTGACTTATCGTGAGACTTCTGGACTGCTGGATGTCAAGATGTCAAGTTGAGCTCAGGTTGCCACCCTCCAGACAGCAGCGACAGAAAGACAGCTACAGTGATATGGCTTCGCACATTACGGTCATCCACAAAGCGCTTCTCTTGAACTTGCAAGCTGACAAGACTCTGCAAGTCTGGCGACATCTGAAAAACCCTAGCCCTAAACCCAAGACCCTGACCTGTGAGAAGACGGTGGAGAGCACTTGAGTCAGGAATGAAAAACTGAAAACTAACATCCTATATCTTCTGGATCCGTGTTCCCAGGGCCAGGAGCTTCCACTCCGGGTGGCATCCCCCTCATCAGGGTAGCCTTCACCTTCGCAAGCTGCCCCTTCCTTGCCACACTTTGGCTATTGTCGGTTTAGAGGTGTCAGAAAACCCATAAAAATTGCACAAATCAGAAAGCTCTGTTTGGCCTTCGAAACAATAGCCAGCCATCAAAAAAGACGCTCCTGGCAAAATCCCCAAGAACGGAACGTGTGAAGAGGTGGTTTTCGCGTGCACTTGGACATAGAATTTTGAGGCTTACATCATGCTTGCACCGTTTCGTGTCTTGGAGAACTTGGCAGGGACACACAACTTCCGGCCCGTGCATCTTTCATCTACGGGTGATTTAGGTGTTTTTGTGGTGGTGCTGCGAAAAGGTGCCCCTCCATGCGGTCACTCCTCAAGCCCACAAAGCCCACAAAGCCCTGGGTACCCCCGAGCCGACTCAGGTGCGAGGTTCAAGCCCGGGCACATCGACCCGGTTGAAGATGTAGAGTTTAAACTTGGGGGGGGTTTAGGGCCTTTTTTGAGTGCACGGCTGCTCTCGGCGCCTGCCCTCGCAGGTTGTGCTCTGCTCGTACCTGCGGCCCTGCACGATGCTGGTCATTGAACTGCAGATGATACAGCTGGGCACAGAGCATCTTCAGACAGACTGAGAAGTTGAAAAACATGCGATGAGTCCCTCTATGCTTCTACCACTTTCGCTTGCCAGGCGTAAACCAAGTAAAGTTGCCTTGCCAGCAACGGCCTGGTTTTCGTGTTGCTTGGATGCAATCCCACCAGCAACAAGAGGATGCGGGCGATTTTTGGCAGTACCATGCCGATCGAGAGGCAGATGAAGTTGCGCGAGATGTAGCTTTCCAGCGACGGGTTTCTCTGCTTGCCCCTGTTGATGGACGCTGTCGGAAGGTCCAGGAGGTGCTGATGGCAACGCACCGCTCTTGGCAAGAATCTCAGCACGTGCAATCTTTAAGAAATCAAGGGCCGAAGCCGCCGACTAGGGTAGCTGGTTCCTAAGTATGCCTCAACCTTTCATCCTGATCATTCCTTCGGACTCAGCGCCGAGGGCAGCAGCCAGCAGGCAGAGTGTGTGAGAGATGTGGACTCCGCGTGAGGAGCAATTGGCTCAGGCCCAAACTTGTGGCGTGTTTAGGGCTGCCTTGTTCTCTTGGAGACCAGCTTGGTGTGTGAGGAGCACAGGAGCTGTATGTTGAAAATGGCCACTTAGGGTGTCGGCGTGGTAGTGTCCGGCAGGCTGTACACAGTTTTGTGTGCTGCAACAAGAGCCTGAGAGTTTGAATTTGACGTAGCAAAGGATGGTTTCGCCATGTCGGACATGTCAAGAAAAGCTCGCTTCTTTTCGAAGTCTGTTACATAGTGAACCCCTGCCTTTGTTCGACGCGGCTTCGCAGACTTCCTTTGGACATCAAGTTGAAGACCCTCCTGCATGCAGGACCCGGTCGAGACGAAAGTGCTTTAAGCTGCTGAAGCGCCGCCCGCCCCACCACTGGCACATCATGGATGTCGAGCTTCAAGCCGTGAGGAAGCGTTCTTGCGCAAAAGGCTCGCTTTTGGGAGCGCACATGTGGAACCCAACGCGTCAAATCTAAACAACACGCAGGAAGGATTGCAGCAAAGCATGGGCTCTGTGGGATATATGTACATCTTCAGCTCGCCGTTTGGAAGCTCTTCCTCGGTTCAAAAGCAACAGCTGCTTCCAGCGATTCGTGCCTCGTATATGCAAGCGCACAAGAAGAAATTAATCCAAGACACGTGGTCTTTTACAATGGCACATGGGCTTGGGCACGACTTCCCGACATTTTACAACAGTCCCAGCTTCGGATCTCGCCCACTCTTTCTGCATGTCTCTCAAGATAGTCTACATTGAGCTACGTTGGTTGGGGATTCGCATATGATTTTCCTATCAACATGCCAGTTCACCCGATCACCCGTCGAGTCCATGTGGAGCCAAACACTGCTATGCCAGATCATGCTCCGCCAGCCCCCTTGTATCTCCAAAACTTGTCTCATACACTGACTGCTTTGCGTCCATATGAACACACGACTATAATCTCATACATGGCCCAGCCACCTTCCGTGGCAGCACATGGGGAAAGGCGAGGAAACACCGCCCATACCTTACAAAACCAAACCTCATTCAAGCCCCAAGCTATCCAAACCTGACCCTCCGAACATCGCAATTCTAACCCTCTCATAGAAGTAGCCTGGCTGGACGGTGCTGGTAGCTATGACCGGACAAATAACCATACTTGTAAACAGAGGTCCCCTACTGAAGACTCCACGCATAACTACCAAAGCCAGCAAGCCCTGGGCCGAAAGAACACCGGCTGAAACAACTGCTGCCACCAGCGTGATTGCAAACTAGCATCGAACATATCGTATTTGGTTTATGTCGATATGCACAGCACGATGGCAGTAAGATGACAAAACAGGCAACGCTTCAAGACTCGGATGTCGCTACATGTAGTCGCACGGTTGGCACCCCTTTTTTGCGGAACTGGACCGGAACAACACTCCAGATCACTGCTGGCATCTGCGGGGATACCAGGCAGGATGCTGCAAGATTTTTGAAACTGCAGAGTTGAAACTTCTGCCAAGCAAGTGGAGCATTGAAAGTACTGTTTTCGAAAGGTTGATATGCGAGGCCAAACGAGGCCAAACCAAACTATGGCTTGCTGTGGAGCCTCAAAACACCCTTTCACCGGGTAAATGCCGCAGCTCTGCAGAAAAACTGCAGAAAGCCAGTCCGAAGAAGTGGCAGACACAAGCCTCGCTCAGCAACAACACCCACATGAGCATGCGCATCCACAGCTGCAACCGCAACCGCAGGAGCACCCGCACAACTGGGATAGCTCAGGTGACACGGACGCAAAGCAACCAAGTCTACCGGATTCTGTCAAAAAAGGAACTCACAAACAGAAAAAAAAACGCAAAAAAGGTTGCCAGATTTGCAGCTGCGAGAAGCGCAAAGAGCAACGTCTTCCTTGGACCACGCCGCTTCATCGACGCGGCCATAGTAGTCGCAGAGCTGCATCTTGGTGCGCAAGAACATGTTGTCCATGGACGATTTCTGCTCTTTGAGGCCCTGCTGCTCCAAGAGAAGGTTCGCCGGCTCGTGATGGAGGAAGTGGCCCAACAGAGCGCGGGTGTCTGCCTGGTACTTTTTGGTGTTTAGGATGTGGGCGTGCCATGCATCATCCACCTTCTTCGACGGCACGGGGCTGAGACCGATGCTCACCAGGGCCAGGTACTTGCGGTATTCCTCCGCGAGCTCTGCTGCCTTCGTGGGCGAGTAGCCGTCCTTCTTCACGAGAACTGCCACGACAGCATCCAGGTCCAGCGCTTTCACCTTTTCAACCGACGCGTTGAACCGCTGCATCTGCTGCAGCGATGGTCGGCTGCCGGATTGCTGGCACACAGCAGGCTCAGTCGCGCCTGGAGCTCCGAACTCTGAACGCAAGTCTACAGCAAGTCTGACCGCAAGAATGCGCAAGACAGCGCCAAGCCTCTACACGAAGCACCCACCAAAAGAAAAAAAAAAAAACAATACAATACAATACAGCAAGCGGCTGGCCAAGGCACCCGAAACCGAGGCCCCCTCTCCGCGTGAGTCCAGTAGCGACGGCGCGACGCTAGTCAGGCCGCTGTCGCTCAAGTCGTCTCTGTCCCCCTGCAGGGAGGCCACCCAAATCTTGATGTCTTGGATCTTGCCTTCGGGGTTCACCTCGAAAATCAAGAGTCCCATCCGGGGGTGGAGGTTATTGCCCTTGTTCTCGATCATGAAGGCGCCTCCGTCCACGGAAAGGAACTCTCGAGCCCCAGTGGCATTTTCGAAGTCGCGGAAGAAGTCTATCACTTCAGCCTTCCCGTCACGAGTTTCAGGCGCATCGGTCACTTGCGACATATGCGTCAGGCGCACGTCGGCCGCCAGAAGGTCGTGCTTCTCAGCTGCGTTGTTGTTGAAATTGAGCATCCACGTCTCCATGGCGGCTTTGGTCAAAGCGACGCCTGCCTCCCCGACTTGAACCATCGCCTAAGCGTTCTCTCACTGTAAATCTGCGCTAGCCGACAGCGCGAAGCTTCCAGCGAAGCCTTCACAAGCTTCAAGGGCTCTAGCTATGCTTACGATGGCTTACGTTTCCCTGCTACGCCGTTACGCGCTCCTACTCGCTGCAGTGTCGCACTCTGCACTACAGCACCACTGAGATCCTGGCTTGTAGGGGGTAAGTGTTCCTGGCCATGGATCCGTTGCCTGTGTAGTGCAAGGTGAGATTCTCGAGCCCTGCGTCGTTGAGGTCGTCTACGTCCTTGAAAAGGGTGGCCATGAAGATCTTCACGTCCAGAATCTTCCCCTCGGAGTCCACCTCGAAGATGTCGGCCCCCATGCGCTTGCCCTTCTCAATCTCGATGGCAAAGGCCTCGTGGTCCACGGACAGGAACTTCCGGGCTCTGGTGGCATGGCTGTAGTGGTGGAAGAAGGACAGAGCGTTCTCGAGGCCCGTGTGCGTCACGGCCGTGTTGGTGTGCTGTGAAGCCACCATCACGTGGACGTTCTCTGCCAGGAGACCTTTGCGGAGTTCAACCTCCTCGTTGATGTGGTCCAGCCACTGATCCATGATGGCCGCTGTGTCAGAAGGGTCCGTGCTCTCCGAGAGAGCAGCTGGCTTTGCTGCCGACCACACAAGTCGGTCAACCATGCCGAAGTAATCACAGATCTGCTGCTGCGTCTGCTTCAGGCGACTTTCTTCCAATTGCTGACCAAGGGGGTCATGCTCCAGCTGGTGGCCAAATACCTCCTGGCAGTCCCGCTCGTACATCTTCGTGTACCTGGTCTCGCGCGAAATTACAGGCACCTGCTAGCAGGAGAAACACCAGAGCCCCGCCTGGCGACGGCTAGAAAGTGCTAGAAACAACAAGAAGTGCGCTAATATTTCGGACTGGTGGCATGATGTGTGAATGCCAGGCGTCGAGAACCATATGGGAGGCGATCGGTGTCTCCCCCATGCCCATCAAGACAAGGAACTTCCGGTACTCATCAGCGGCCCTCTTCGCAAGCTTGGGCGCGTAATCGTTCTTCTTGACAAGGCGGGCGAGGACAGGGTCCAGGTCGAGGGCGGAGACCTTCTGCGAAAGCAGCTCGAACTTTGCCCTGTTCTCGCCCAATAGCGGAGCTCCTGGCAGGGGTACGTGCAACGCGCAGCAAGTCAAAAGGAACTGGGCCGAGGCGGCATGCGAAAGTCAGAAAGTCGCACACAACGCGTGACGCAGGCAGAGCTCCTGCCGGCTCGCACTCAGAGCCCTCGGGATGCCCAGGCCCATCCTTTTTTGCCTCGGCGAGAAAGGCCATGAAATCCGCGTGTTTCTTGTCCGACTTTTGCTTCTTCATCATCTTCTTCTTCTTCTTCTTCTTCTCCTTGATCTCTGGTGTCTTGAGGGACTCCGCTGGCATCGCCTCCGTGTCGGACAGCACCTTATGGGATGAGCTCAGGCGTTGGATCAGGCTCCCAGACTGGCACGCTTCCGCGGTTTCCGTTCCTCCGGCATCCGCGACGTCTGTTCCGGCGTCGACCCGAAGGGTGTCGGCAGACACACCGGCCTTGAAAGCCAAAGCAAACAAGAAGGCCACAACGCACGAGGGCTTCATGGCAATGTCAATCCAAGGTGGACTGGCGGTAGGTGAGAGGAAGGTGACTACAGCAATCTTGCTCTTGAGCCAGGCTAAGCCGGAACGAGATCGACCACATCTACCGAGATTCCAGCAAATCGTGAATTGGGCCTGGAAATGCCAGGCTGGAGGTAATGTTGACTTCCAGCGTTGAGTCCGTTAAGTCTCCTGCTGAAGTGAAAACGCTCTGACATGGCTGCCAACACAGCTAGCACACGCTAGCACGCTGCTCTCCAGGTTCATGCTGCAACGTGCGAACCCAGGGGCTGAAAGACTACAACTACATACAACTACATACAACCAGCCTGTTGAGGATGAGCAGATCGCACGATGGCAGCAAGATGAACCAACAGGCAATGCTTCAAGACTCGGATGTCGCTGTAGCAAAACCTCGCGCGGTTGGCACTTCTTTTGCGGAACTGGGACCGGAACAACACTGCAGATCCCTGCTGGCATCTGCGGGGATGCCAGGCAGGATGCTGCAAGATTTTTGAAACTGCGGAGTTGAAACTTCTGCCAAGCAAGTGGAGCATTGAAAGTACTGTTTTTGAAAGGTTGATATGCGAGGCCAAACCAAACTATGGCTTGCTGTGGAGCCTCAAAACACCCTTTCACCGGGTAAATGCCGCAGCTCTGCAGAAAAACTGCAGAAAGCCAGTCCGAAGAAGTGGCAGACACAAGCCTCGCTCAGCAACAACACCCACATGAGCATGCGCATCCACAGCTGCAACCACAACCGCAGGAGCACCCGCACAACTGGGATAGCTCAGGTGACACGGACGCAAAGCAACCAAGTCTACCGGATTCTGTCAAAAAAGGAACTCACAAACAGAAAAAAACACAAAAAAACGGTTGCCAGATTTGCAGCTGCGAGAAGCGCAAAGAGCAACGTCTTCCTTGGACCACGCCGCTTCATCGACGCGGCCATAGTAGTCGCAGAGCTGCATCTTGGTGCGCAAGAACATGTTGTCCATGGACGATTTCTGCTCTTTGAGGCCCTGCTGCTCCAGGAGAAGGTTCGCCGGCTCGTGATGGAGGAAGTGGCCCAACAGAGCGCGGGTGTCTGCCTGGTACTTTTTGGTGTTTAGGATGTGGGCGTGCCATGCATCATCCACCTTCTTCGACGGCACGGGGCTGAGACCGATGCTCACCAGGGCCAGGTACTTGCGGTATTCCTCCGCGAGCTCTGCTGCCTTCGTGGGCGAGTAGCCGTCCTTCTTCACGAGAACTGCCACGACAGCATCCAGGTCCAGCGCTTTCACCTTTTCAACCGACGCGTTGAACCGCTGCATCTGCTGCAGCGATGGTCGGCTGCCGGATTGCTGGCACACAGCAGGCTCAGTCGCGCCTGGAGCTCCGAACTCTGAACGCAAGTCTACAGCAAGTCTGACCGCAAGAATGCGCAAGACAGCGCCAAGCCTCTACACGAAGCACCCTCGGAAAAAAAAAAAAAAAATACAGCAAGCGGCTGGCCAAGGCACCCGAAACCGAGGCCCCCTCTCCGCGTGAGTCCAGTAGCGACGGCGCGACGCTAGTCAGGCCGCTGTCGCTCAAGTCGTCTCTGTCCCCCTGCAGGGAGGCCACCCAAATCTTGATGTCTTGGATCTTGCCTTCGGGGTTCACCTCGAAAATCAAGAGTCCCATCCGGGGGTGGAGGTTATTGCCCTTGTTCTCGATCATGAAGGCGCCTCCGTCCACGGAAAGGAACTCTCGAGCCCCAGTGGCATTTTCGAAGTCGCGGAAGAAGTCTATCACTTCAGCCTTCCCGTCACGAGTTTCAGGCGCATCGGTCACTTGCGACATATGCGTCAGGCGCACGTCGGCCGCCAGAAGGTCGTGCTTCTCAGCTGCGTTGTTGTTGAAATTGAGCATCCACGTCTCCATGGCGGCTTTGGTCAAAGCGACGCCTGCCTCCCCGACTTGGACCATCGCCTAAGCGTTCTCTCACTGTAAATCTGCGCTAGCCGACAGCGCGAAGCTTCCAGCGAAGCCTTCACAAGCTTCAAGGGCTCTAGCTATGCTTACGATGGCTTACGTTTCCCTGCTACGCCGTTACGCGCTCCTACTCGCTGCAGTGTCGCACTCTGCACTACAGCACCACTGAGATCCTGGCTTGTAGGGGGTAAGTGTTCCTGGCCATGGATCCGTTGCCTGTGTAGTGCAAGGTGAGATTCTCGAGCCCTGCGTCGTTGAGGTCGTCTACGTCCTTGAAAAGGGTGGCCATGAAGATCTTCACGTCCAGAATCTTCCCCTCGGAGTCCACCTCGAAGATGTCGGCCCCCATGCGCTTGCCCTTCTCAATCTCGATGGCAAAGGCCTCGTGGTCCACGGACAGGAACTTCCGGGCTCTGGTGGCATGGCTGTAGTGGTGGAAGAAGGACAGAGCGTTCTCGAGGCCCGTGTGCGTCACGGCCGTGTTGGTGTGCTGTGAAGCCACCATCACGTGGACGTTCTCTGCCAGGAGACCTTTGCGGAGTTCAACCTCCTCGTTGATGTGGTCCAGCCACTGATCCATGATGGCCGCTGTGTCAGAAGGGTCCGTGCTCTCCGAGAGAGCAGCTGGCTTTGCTGCCGACCACACAAGTCGGTCAACCATGCCGAAGTAATCACAGATCTGCTGCTGCGTCTGCTTCAGGCGACTTTCTTCCAATTGCTGACCAAGGGGGTCATGTTCCAGCTGGTGGCCAAATACCTCCTGGCAGTCCCGCTCGTACATCTTCGTGTACCTGGTCTCGCGCGAAATTACAGGCACCTGCTAGCAGGAGAAACACCAGAGCCCCGACTCCCACTGAAACATGGAGCCACCCACCTGGCGACGGCTAGAAAGTGCTAGAAACAAGAAGAAGCGCGCCAATATTTCGGACTGGCGGCATGATGTGTGAATGCCAGGCGTCGAGAACCATATGGGAGGCGATCGGTGTCTCCCCCATGCCCATCAAGACAAGGAACTTCCGGTACTCATCAGCGGCCCTCTTCGCAAGCTTGGGCGCGTAATCGTTCTTCTTGACAAGGCGGGCGAGGACAGGGTCCAGGTCGAGGGCGGAGACCTTCTGCGAAAGCAGCTCGAACTTTGCCCTGTTCTCGCCCAATAGCGGAGCTCCTGGCAGGGGTACGTGCAACGCGCAGCAAGTCAAAAGGAACTGGGCCGAGGCGGCATGCGAAAGTCGCACACAACGCGTGACGCAGGCAGAGCTCCTGCCGGCTCGCACTCAGAGCCCTCGGGATGCCCAGGCCCATCCTTTTTTGCCTCGGCGAGAAAGGCCATGAAATCCGCGTGTTTCTTGTCCGACTTTTGCTTCTTCATCATCTTCTTCTTCTTCTTCTTCTCTTTGATCTCTGGTGTCTTGAGGGACTCCGCTGGCATCGCCTCCGTGTCGGACAGCACCTTATGGGATGAGCTCAGGCGTTGGATCAGGCTCCCAGACTGGCACGCTTCCGCGGTTTCCGTTCCTCCGGCATCCGCGACGTCTGTTCCGGCGTCGACCCGAAGGGTGTCGGCAGACACACCGGCCTTGAAAGCCAAAGCAAACAAGAAGGCCACAACGCACGAGGGCTTCATGGCAATGTCAATCCAAGGTGGACTGGCGGTAGGTGAGAGGAAGGTGACTACAGCAATCTTGCTCTTGAGCCAGGCTGAGCCGGAACGAGATCGACCACATCTACCGAGATTCCAGCAAATCGTGAATTGGGCCTGGAAATGCCAGGCTGGAGGTAATGTTGACTTCCAGCGTTGAGTCCGTTAAGTCTCCTGCTGAAGTGAAAACGCTCTGACATGGCTGCCAACACAGCTAGCACACGCTAGCACGCTGCTCTCCAGGTTCATGCTGCAACGTGCGAACCCAGGGGCTGAAAGACTACAACTACATACAACTACATACAACCAGCCTGTTGAGGATGAGCAGATCGCACGATGGCAGCAAAATGAACAAACAGGCAACGCTTCAAGACTCGGATGTCGCTGTAGCAAAACCTCGCGCGGTTGGCACTTCTTTTGCGGAACTGGGACCGGAACAACACTGCAGATCCCTGCTGGCATCTGCGGGGATACCAGGCAGGATGCTGCAAGATTTTTGAAACTGCGGAGTTGAAACTTCTGCCAAGCAAGTGGAGCATTGAAAGTACTGTTTTGGAAAGGTTGATATGCGAGGCCAAACCAAACTATGGCTTGCTGTGGAGCCTCAAAACACCCTTTCACCGGGTAAATGCCGCAGCTCTGCAGAAAAACTGCAGAAAGCCAGTCCGAAGAAGTGGCAGACACAAGCCTCGCTCAGCAACAACACCCACATGAGCATGCGCATCCACAGCTGCAACCGCAACCGCAGGAGCACCCGCACAACTGGGATAGCTCAGGTGACACGGACGCAAAGCAACCAAGTCTACCGGATTCTGTCAAAAAAGGAACTCACAAACAGAAAAAAAACACACAAAAAAGGTTGCCAGATTTGCAGCTGCGAGAAGCGCAAAGAGCAACGTCTTCCTTGGACCACGCCGCTTCATCGACGCGGCCATAGTAGTCGCAGAGCTGCATCTTGGTGCGCAAGAACATGTTGTCCATGGACGATTTCTGCTCTTTGAGGCCCTGCTGCTCCAAGAGAAGGTTCGCCGGCTCGTGATGGAGGAAGTGGCCCAACAGAGCGCGGGTGTCTGCCTGGTACTTTTTGGTGTTTAGGATGTGGGCGTGCCATGCATCATCCACCTTCTTCGACGGCACGGGGCTGAGACCGATGCTCACCAGGGCCAGGTACTTGCGGTATTCCTCCGCGAGCTCTGCTGCCTTCGTGGGCGAGTAGCCGTCCTTCTTCACGAGAACTGCCACGACAGCATCCAGGTCCAGCGCTTTCACCTTTTCAACCGACGCGTTGAACCGCTGCATCTGCTGCAGCGATGGTCGGCTGCCGGATTGCTGGCACACAGCAGGCTCAGTCGCGCCTGGAGCTCCGAACTCTGAACGCAAGTCTACAGCAAGTCTGACCGCAAGAATGCGCAAGACAGCACCAAGCCTCTACACGAAGCACCCTCGGAAAAAAAAAAAAAATACAGCAAGCGGCTGGCCAAGGCACCCGAAACCGAGGCCCCCTCTCCGCGTGAGTCCAGTAGCGACGGCGCGACGCTAGTCAGGCCGCTGTCGCTCAAGTCGTCTCTGTCCCCCTGCAGGGAGGCCACCCAAATCTTGATGTCTTGGATCTTGCCTTCGGGGTTCACCTCGAAAATCAAGAGTCCCATCCGGGGGTGGAGGTTATTGCCCTTGTTCTCGATCATGAAGGCGCCTCCGTCCACGGAAAGGAACTCTCGAGCCCCAGTGGCATTTTCGAAGTCGCGGAAGAAGTCTATCACTTCAGCCTTCCCGTCACGAGTTTCAGGCGCATCGGTCACTTGCGACATATGCGTCAGGCGCACGTCGGCCGCCAGAAGGTCGTGCTTCTCAGCTGCGTTGTTGTTGAAATTGAGCATCCACGTCTCCATGGCGGCTTTGGTCAAAGCGACGCCTGCCTCCCCGACTTGGACCATCGCCTAAGCGTTCTCTCACTGTAAATCTGCGCTAGCCGACAGCGCGAAGCTTCCAGCGAAGCCTTCACAAGCTTCAAGGGCTCTAGCTATGCTTACGATGGCTTACGTTTCCCTGCTACGCCGTTACGCGCTCCTACTCGCTGCAGTGTCGCACTCTGCGCTACAGCACCACTGAGATCCTGGCTTGTAGGGGGTAAGTGTTCCTGGCCATGGATCCGTTGCCCGTGTAGTGCAAGGTGAGATTCTCGAGCCCTGCGTCGTTGAGGTCGTCTACGTCCTTGAAAAGGGTGGCCATGAAGATCTTCACGTCCAGAATCTTCCCCTCGGAGTCCACCTCGAAGATGTCGGCCCCCATGCGCTTGCCCTTCTCAATCTCGATGGCAAAGGCCTCGTGGTCCACGGACAGGAACTTCCGGGCTCTGGTGGCATGGCTGTAGTGGTGGAAGAAGGACAGAGCGTTCTCGAGGCCCGTGTGCGTCACGGCCGTGTTGGTGTGCTGTGAAGCCACCATCACGTGGACGTTCTCTGCCAGGAGACCTTTGCGGAGTTCAACCTCCTCGTTGATGTGGTCCAGCCACTGATCCATGATGGCCGCTGTGTCAGAAGGGTCCGTGCTCTCCGAGAGAGCAGCTGGCTTTGCTGCCGACCACACAAGTCGGTCAACCATGCCGAAGTAATCACAGATCTGCTGCTGCGTCTGCTTCAGGCGACTTTCTTCCAATTGCTGACCAAGGGGGTCATGCTCCAGCTGGTGGCCAAATACCTCCTGGCAGTCCCGCTCGTACATCTTCGTGTACCTGGTCTCGCGCGAAATTACAGGCACCTGCTAGCAGGAGAAACACCAGAGCCCCGACTCCCACTGAAACATGGAGCCACCCACCTGGCGACGGCTAGAAAGTGCTAGAAACAACAAAAAGTGCGCCAATATTTCGGACTGGCGGCATGATGTGTGAATGCCAGGCGTCGAGAACCATATGGGAGGCGATCGGTGTCTCCCCCATGCCCATCAAGACAAGGAACTTCCGGTACTCATCAGCGGCCCTCTTCGCAAGCTTGGGCGCGTAATCGTTCTTCTTGACAAGGCGGGCGAGGACAGGGTCCAGGTCGAGGGCGGAGACCTTCTGCGAAAGCAGCTCGAACTTTGCCCTGTTCTCGCCCAATAGCGGAGCTCCTGGCAGGGGTACGTGCAACGCGCAGCAAGTCAAAAGGAACTGGGCCGAGGCGGCATGCGAAAGTCGCACACAACGCGTGACGCAGGCAGAGCTCCTGCCGGCTCGCACTCAGAGCCCTCGGGATGCCCAGGCCCATCCTTTTTTGCCTCGGCGAGAAAGGCCATGAAATCCGCGTGTTTCTTGTCCGACTTTTGCTTCTTCATCATCTTCTTCTTCTTCTTCTCCTTGATCTCTGGTGTCTTGAGGGACTCCGCTGGCATCGCCTCCGTGTCGGACAGCACCTTATGGGATGAGCTCAGGCGTTGGATCAGGCTCCCAGACTGGCACGCTTCCGCGGTTTCCGTTCCTCCGGCATCCGCGACGTCTGTTCCGGCGTCGACCCGAAGGGTGTCGGCAGACACACCGGCCTTGAAAGCCAAAGCAAACAAGAAGGCCACAACGCACGAGGGCTTCATGGCAATGTCAATCCAAGGTGGACTGGCGGTAGGTGAGAGGAAGGTGACTACAGCAATCTTGCTCTTGAGCCAGGCTGAGCCGGAACGAGATCGACCACATCTACCGAGATTCCAGCAAATCGTGAATTGGGCCTGGAAATGCCAGGCTGGAGGTAATGTTGACTTCCAGCGTTGAGTCCCGTTAAGTCTCCTGCTGAAGTGAAAACGCTCTGACATGGCTGCCAACTAGCACGCTGCTCTCCAGGTTCATGCTGCAACGTGCGAACCAAGGGGCTGAAAGACTACAACTACATACAACTACATACAACCAGCCTGTTGAGGATGAGCAGATCGCACGATGGCAGCAAAATGAACAAACAGGCAACGCTTCAAGACTCGGATGTCGCTGTAGCAAAACCTCGCGCGGTTGGCACTTCTTTTGCGGAACTGGGACCGGAACAACACTGCAGATCCCTGCTGGCATCTGCGGGGATACCAGGCAGGATGCTGCAAGATTTTTGAAACTGCGGAGTTGAAACTTCTGCCAAGCAAGTGGAGCATTGAAAGTACTGTTTTGGAAAGGTTGATATGCGAGGCCAAACGAGGCCAAACCAAACTATGGCTTGCTGTGGAGCCTCAAAACACCCTTTCACCGGGTAAATGCCGCAGCTCTGCAGAAAAACTGCAGAAAGCCAGTCCGAAGAAGTGGCAGACACAAGCCTCGCTCAGCAACAACACCCACATGAGCATGCGCATCCACAGCTGCAACCGCAACCGCAGGAGCACCCGCACAACTGGGATAGCTCAGGTGACACGGACGCAAAGCAACCAAGTCTACCGGATTCTGTCAAAAAAGGAACTCACAAACAGAAAAAAAACACAAAAAAAGGTTGCCAGATTTGCAGCTGCGAGAAGCGCAAAGAGCAACGTCTTCCTTGGACCACGCCGCTTCATCGACGCGGCCATAGTAGTCGCAGAGCTGCATCTTGGTGCGCAAGAACATGTTGTCCATGGACGATTTCTGCTCTTTGAGGCCCTGCTGCTCCAGGAGAAGGTTCGCCGGCTCGTGATGGAGGAAGTGGCCCAACAGAGCGCGGGTGTCTGCCTGGTACTTTTTGGTGTTTAGGATGTGGGCGTGCCATGCATCATCCACCTTCTTCGACGGCACGGGGCTGAGACCGATGCTCACCAGGGCCAGGTACTTGCGGTATTCCTCCGCGAGCTCTGCTGCCTTCGTGGGCGAGTAGCCGTCCTTCTTCACGAGAACTGCCACGACAGCATCCAGGTCCAGCGCTTTCACCTTTTCAACCGACGCGTTGAACCGCTGCATCTGCTGCAGCGATGGTCGGCTGCCGGATTGCTGGCACACAGCAGGCTCAGTCGCGCCTGGAGCTCCGAACTCTGAACGCAAGTCTACAGCAAGTCTGACCGCAAGAATGCGCAAGACAGCACCAAGCCTCTACACGAAGCACCCTCGGAAAAAAAAAAAAAATACAGCAAGCGGCTGGCCAAGGCACCCGAAACCGAGGCCCCCTCTCCGCGTGAGTCCAGTAGCGACGGCGCGACGCTAGTCAGGCCGCTGTCGCTCAAGTCGTCTCTGTCCCCCTGCAGGGAGGCCACCCAAATCTTGATGTCTTGGATCTTGCCTTCGGGGTTCACCTCGAAAATCAAGAGTCCCATCCGGGGGTGGAGGTTATTGCCCTTGTTCTCGATCATGAAGGCGCCTCCGTCCACGGAAAGGAACTCTCGAGCCCCAGTGGCATTTTCGAAGTCGCGGAAGAAGTCTATCACTTCAGCCTTCCCGTCACGAGTTTCAGGCGCATCGGTCACTTGCGACATATGCGTCAGGCGCACGTCGGCCGCCAGAAGGTCGTGCTTCTCAGCTGCGTTGTTGTTGAAATTGAGCATCCACGTCTCCATGGCGGCTTTGGTCAAAGCGACGCCTGCCTCCCCGACTTGGACCATCGCCTAAGCGTTCTCTCACTGCAAATCTGCGCTAGCCGACAGCGCGAAGCTTCCAGCGAAGCCTTCACAAGCTTCAAGGGCTCTAGCTATGCTTACGATGGCTTACGTTTCCCTGCTACGCCGTTACGTGTCGCACTCTGCGCTACAGCACCACTGAGATCCTGGCTTGTAGGGGGTAAGTGTTCCTGGCCATGGATCCGTTGCCCGTGTAGTGCAAGGTGAGATTCTCGAGCCCTGCGTCGTTGAGGTCGTCTACGTCCTTGAAAAGGGTGGCCATGAAGATCTTCACGTCCAGAATCTTCCCCTCGGAGTCCACCTCGAAGATGTCGGCCCCCATGCGCTTGCCCTTCTCAATCTCGATGGCAAAGGCCTCGTGGTCCACGGACAGGAACTTCCGGGCTCTGGTGGCATGGCTGTAGTGGTGGAAGAAGGACAGAGCGTTCTCGAGGCCCGTGTGCGTCACGGCCGTGTTGGTGTGCTGTGAAGCCACCATCACGTGGACGTTCTCTGCCAGGAGACCTTTGCGGAGTTCAACCTCCTCGTTGATGTGGTCCAGCCACTGATCCATGATGGCCGCTGTGTCAGAAGGGTCCCTGCTCTCCGAGAGAGCAGCTGGCTTTGCTGCCGACCACACAAGTCGGTCAACCATGCCGAAGTAATCACAGATCTGCTGCTGCGTCTGCTTCAGGCGACTTTCTTCCAATTGCTGACCAAGGGGGTCATGTTCCAGCTGGTGGCCAAATACCTCCTGGCAGTCCCGCTCGTACATCTTCGTGTACCTGGTCTCGCGCGAAATTACAGGCACCTGCTAGCAGGAGAAACACCAGAGCCCCGACTCCCACTGAAACATGGAGCCACCCACCTGGCGACGGCTAGAAAGTGCTAGAAACAACAAGAAGCGCGCCAATATTTCGGACTGGCGGCATGATGTGTGAATGCCAGGCGTCGAGAACCATATGGGAGGCGATCGGTGTCTCCCCCATGCCCATCAAGACAAGGAACTTCCGGTACTCATCAGCGGCCCTCTTCGCAAGCTTGGGCGCGTAATCGTTCTTCTTGACAAGGCGGGCGAGGACAGGGTCCAGGTCGAGGGCGGAGACCTTTTGCGAAAGCAGCTCGAACTTTGCCCTGTTCTCGCCCAATAGCGGAGCTCCTGGCAGGGGTACGTGCAACGGGCAGCAAGTCAAAAGGAACTGGGCCGAGGCGGCATGCGAAAGTCGCACACAACGCGTGACGCAGGCAGGGCTCCTGCCGGCTCGCACTCAGAGCCCTCAGGGTGCCCAGGCCCATCCTTTTTTGCCTCGGCGAGAAAGGCCATGAAATCCGAGTGTTTCTTGTCCGACTTTTGCTTCTTCATCATCTTCTTCTTCTTCTTCTCCTTGATCTCTGGTGTCTTCTTGAGGGACTCCGCTGGCATCGCCTCCGTGTCGGACAGCACCTTATGGGATGAGCTCAGGCGTTGGATCAGGCTCCCAGACTGGCACGCTTCCGCGGTTTCCGCTCCTCCGGCATCCGCGACGTCTGTTCCGGCGTCGACCCGAAGGGTGTCGGCAGACACCCCGGCCTTGAAAGCCAAAGCAAACAAGAAAGCCACAACGCACGCGGGCTTCATGGCAATGTCAATCCAAGGTGGATTGGCGGTAGGTGAGAGGAAGGTGACTACAGCAATCTTGCTCTTGAGCCAGGCTGAGCCGGAACGAGATCGATCACATCTACCGAGGTTCCAGCGCAAATCGTGAATTGGGCCCTGGAATTGCCAGGCTGGAGGTAATGTTGACTTCCAGCGTTGAGTCCGTTAAGTCCCCTGCTGAAGTGAAAACGCTCTGACATGGCTGCCAACACAGCTAGCACACGCTAGCACGCTGCTGCGAACCCAGGGCTGGAAGACTACAACTACATCCACCTACATACAACTACATACAACTGCATACAACTACATACAACTACAGCTACATACAACTACATACAACTACATACAACTACATACAACTACATACAACTACATACAACTACATACAACTACATACAACTACATACAACTGCATACAACTACATACAACTACAGCTACATACAACTACATACAACTACATACAACTACATACAACTACATACAACTACATACAACTACATACAACTACATACAACTACATACAACTACATACAACTACATACAACTACATACAACTACATACAACTACATACAACTACATACAACTACATACAACTACATACAACTACATACAACTACATACAACTACATACAACTACATACAACTACATACAACTACATACAACTACATACAACTACATACAACTACATACAACTACATACAACTACATACAACTACATACAACTACATACAACTACATACAACCAGCCTGTCGAGGATGAGCAGATCGCACGATGGCAGGTGGACAACCAGGCAATGCTTCAAGACTCGGATGTCGCTACATGTAGCAAAACCTCGCGCGGTTGACACTTCTTTTGCGGAACTGGGACCGGAACAACACTCCAGATCACTGCTGGCATCTGCGGGGATACCAGGCAGGATGCTGCAAGATTTTTGAAACTGCAGAGTTGAAACTTCTGCCAAGCAAGTGGAACATTGAAAGTACTGTTTTCGAAAGGTTTGATATGCGAGGCCAAACAAGGCTATGGCTTGTTGTGGAGCCTCAAAACACCCTTCCACAGCGGGTAACTGCTGCAGCTCTGCAGAAAAACTGCAGAAAACCAGTCCGAAGAAGTGGCAGACACAAGCCTCGCTCAGCAACAACACCCACATGAGCATGCGCATCCACAGCTGCAACCGCAACCGCAGCCGCACCCGCAAACCTCGGATAACTCAGGTGACACGGACGCGAAACAACCAAGTCTACCGGATTCTGTCAAAAAAGGAACTCACAAACAGAAAACAAAAAACAAGTTGCCGGATTTGCAGCTGCGAGAAGCGCAAAGAGCAACGTCTTCCTTGGACCACGCCGCGTCATCGACGCGGCCATAGTAGTCGCAGAGCTGCATCTTGGTGCGCAAGAACATGTTGTCCATGGACGATTTCTGCTCTTTCAGGCCCTGCTGCTCCAGGAGAAGGTTCGCCGGCTCGTGATGGAGGAAGTGGCCCAACAGAGCGCGGGTGTCTGCCTGGTACTTTTTGGTGTTTAGGATGTGGGCGTGCCATGCATCATCCACCTTCTTCGACGGCACGGGGCTGAGACCGACGCTCACCAGGGCCAGGTACTTGCGGTATTCCTCCGCGAGCTCTGCTGCCTTCGTGGGCGAGTAGCCGTCCTTCTTCACGAGAACTGCCACGACAGCATCCAGGTCCAGCGCTTTCACCTTTTCAACCGACGCGTTGAACCGCTGCATCTGCTGCAGCGATGGTCGGCTGCCGGATTGCTGGCACACAGCAGGCTCAGTCGCGCCTGGAGCTCCGAACTCTGAACGCAAGTCTACAGCAAGTCTGACCGCAAGAACACGCAAGACAGCGCCAAGCCTCTACACGAAGCACCCTCGGAAAAAAAAAAAAAAAATACAGCAAGCGGCTGGCCAAGGCACCCGAAACCGAGGCCCCCTCTCCGCGTGAGTCCAGTAGCGACGGCGCGACGCTAGTCAGGCCGCTGTCGCTCAAGTCGTCTCTGTCCCCCTGCAGGGAGGCCACCCAAATCTTGATGTCTTGGATCTTGCCTTCGGGGTTCACCTCGAAAATCAAGAGTCCCATCCGGGGGTGGAGGTTATTGCCCTTGTTCTCGATCATGAAGGCGCCTCCGTCCACGGAAAGGAACTCTCGAGCCCCAGTGGCATTTTCGAAGTCGCGGAAGAAGTCTATCACTTCAGCCTTCCCGTCACGAGTTTCAGGCGCATCGGTCACTTGCGACATATGCGTCAGGCGCACGTCGGCCGCCAGAAGGTCGTGCTTCTCAGCTGCGTTGTTGTTGAAATTGAGCATCCACGTCTCCATGGCGGCTTTGGTCAAAGCGACGCCTGCCTCCCCGACTTGGACCATCGCCTAAGCGTTCTCTCACTGTAAATCTGCGCTAGCCGACAGCGCGAAGCTTCCAGCGAAGCCTTCACAAGCTTCAAGGGCTCTAGCTATGCTTACGATGGCTTACGTTTCCCTGCTACGCCGTTACGCGCTCCTACTCGCTGCAGTCTCACACTCTGCACTACAGCACCACTGAGATCCTGGCTTGTAGGGGGTAAGTGTTCCTGGCCATGGATCCGTTGCCCGTGTAGTGCAAGGTGAGATTCTCGAGCCCTGCGTCGTTGAGGTCGTCTACGTCCTTGAAAAGGGTGGCCATGAAGATCTTCACGTCCAGAATCTTCCCCTCGGAGTCCACCTCGAAGATGTCGGCCCCCATGCGCTTGCCCTTCTCAATCTCGATGGCAAAGGCCTCGTGGTCCACGGACAGGAACTTCCGGGCTCTGGTGGCATGGCTGTAGTGGTGGAAGAAGGACAGAGCGTTCTCGAGGCCCGTGTGCGTCACGGCCGTGTTGGTGTGCTGTGAAGCCACCATCACGTGGACGTTCTCTGCCAGGAGACCTTTGCGGAGTTCAACCTCCTCGTTGATGTGGTCCAGCCACTGATCCATGATGGCCGCTGTGTCAGAAGGGTCCCTGCTCTCCGAGAGAGCAGCTGGCTTTGCTGCCGACCACACAAGTCGGTCAACCATGCCGAAGTAATCACAGATCTGCTGCTGCGTCTGCTTCAGGCGACTTTCTTCCAATTGCTGACCAAGGGGGTCATGTTCCAGCTGGTGGCCAAATACCTCCTGGCAGTCCCGCTCGTACATCTTCGTGTACCTGGTCTCGCGCGAAATTACAGGCACCTGCTAGCAGGAGAAACACCAGAGCCCCGACTCCCACTGAAACATGGAGCCACCCACCTGGCGACGGCTAGAAAGTGCTAGAAACAACAAGAAGCGCGCCAATATTTCGGACTGGCGGCATGATGTGTGAATGCCAGGCGTCGAGAACCATATGGGAGGCGATCGGTGTCTCCCCCATGCCCATCAAGACAAGGAACTTCCGGTACTCATCAGCGGCCCTCTTCGCAAGCTTGGGCGCGTAATCGTTCTTCTTGACAAGGCGGGCGAGGACAGGGTCCAGGTCGAGGGCGGAGACCTTTTGCGAAAGCAGCTCGAACTTTGCCCTGTTCTCGCCCAATAGCGGAGCTCCTGGCAGGGGTACGTGCAACGCGCAGCAAGTCAAAAGGAACTGGGCCGAGGCGGCATGCGAAAGTCAGAAAGTCGCACACAACGCGTGACGCAGGCAGGGCTCCTGCCGGCTCGCACTCAGAGCCCTCAGGGTGCCCAGGCCCATCCTTTTTTGCCTCGGCGAGAAAGGCCATGAAATCCGAGTGTTTCTTGTCCGACTTTTGCTTCTTCATCATCTTCTTCTTCTTCTCCTTGATCTCTGGTGTCTTCTTGAGGGACTCCGCTGGCATCGCCTCCGTGTCGGACAGCACCTTATGGGATGAGCTCAGGCGTTGGATCAGGCTCCCAGACTGGCACGCTTCCGCGGTTTCCGCTCCTCCGGCATCCGCGACGTCTGTTCCGGCGTCGACCCGAAGGGTGTCGGCAGACACCCCGGCCTTGAAAGCCAAAGCAAACAAGAAAGCCACAACGCACGCGGGCTTCATGGCAATGTCAATCCAAGGTGGATTGGCGGTAGGTGAGAGGAAGGTGACTACAGCAATCTTGCTCTTGAGCCAGGCTGAGCCGGAACGAGATCGATCACATCTACCGAGCCAACACAGCTAGCACACGCTAGCACGCTGCTGCGAACCCAGGGGCTGGAAGACTACGACTACATCCACCTACATACAACTACATACAACTGCATACAACTACATACAACTACATACAACTACAGCTACATACAACTTCATACAACTACATACAACTACATACAACTACATACAACTACATACAACTACAGCTACATACAACTACATACAACTACATACAACTACATACAACTACATACAACTACATACAACTACATACAACTGCATACAACTACATACAACTACATACAACTACATACAACCAGCCTGTCGAGGATGAGCAGATCGCACGATGGCAGGTGGAAAACCAGGCAATGCTTCAAGACTCGGATGTCGCTACATGTAGCAAAACCTCGCGCGGTTGACACTTCTTTTGCGGAACTGGGGCCGGAACAACACTCCAGATCACTGCTGGCATCTGCGGGGATACCAGGCGGGATGCTGCAAGATTTTTGAAACTGCAGAGTTGAAACTTCTGCCAAGCAAGTGGAACATTGAAAGTACTGTTTTCGAAAGGTTAATATGCGAGGCCAAACAAGCTATGGCTTGTTGTGGAGCCTCAAAACACCCTTCCACAGAGGGTAACTGCTGCAGCTCTGCAGAAAAACTGCAGAAAACCAGTCCGAAGAAGTGGCAGACACAAGCCTCGCTTAGCACAACACCCACATGAGCATGCGCATCCACAGCTGCAACCGCAACCGCAGCCGCACCCGCAAACCTCGGATAGCTCAGGTGACACGGACGCGAAACAACCAAGTCTGCCGGATTCTGTCAAAAAAGGAACTCACAAACAGAAAACAAAAAACAAGTTGCCGGATTTGCAGCTGCGAGAAGTGCAAAGAGCAACGTCTTTCTTGGACCACGCCGCGTCATCGACGCGGCCATAGTGTCGCAGAGCTGCATCTTGGTGCGCAAGAACATGTTGTCCATGGACGATTTCTGCTCTTTCAGGCCCTACTGCTCCAGGAGAAGGTTCGCCGGCTCGTGATGGAGGAAGTGGCCCAACAGAGCGCGGGTGTCTGCCTGGTACTTTTTGGTGTTTAGGATGTGGGCGTGCCATGCATCATCCACCTTCTTCGACGGCACGGGGCTGAGACCGATGCTCACCAGGGCCAGGTACTTGCGGTATTCCTCCGCGAGCTCTGCTGCCTTCGTGGGCGAGTCTGAGTGGTGGAAGAAGGACAGAGCGTTCTCGAGGCCCGTGTGCGTCACGGCCGTGTTGGTGTGCTGCGAAGCCACCATCACGTGGACGTTCTCTGCCAGGAGACCTTTGCGGAGTTCAACCTCCTCGTTGATGTGGTCCAGCCACTGATCCATGATGGCCGCTGTGTCAGAGGGGTCCCTGCTCTCCGAGAGAGCAGCTGGCTTTGCTGCCGACCACACAAGTCGGTCAACCATGCCGAAGTAATCACAGATCTGCTGCTGCGTCTGCTTCAGGCGACTTTCTTCCAATTGCTGACCAAGGGGGTCATGTTCCAGCTGGTGGCCAAATACCTCCTGGCAGTCCCGCTCGTACATCTTCGTGTACCTGGTCTCGCGCGAAATTACAGGGACCTGCTAGCAGGAGAAACACCAGAGCCCCACCTGGCGACGGCTAGAAAGTGCTAGAAACAACAAGAAGTGCGCCAATATTTCGGACTGGTGGCATGATGTGTGAATGCCAGGCGTCGAGAACCATATGGGAGGCGATCGGTGTCTCCCCCATGCCCATCAAGACAAGGAACTTCCGGTACTCATCAGCGGCCCTCTTCGCAAGCTTGGGCGCGTAATCGTTCTTCTTGACAAGGCGGGCGAGGACAGGGTCCAGGTCGAGGGCGGAGACCTTTTGCGAAAGCAGCTCGAACTTTGCCCTGTTCTCGCCCAATAGCGGAGCTCCTGGCAGGGGTACGTGCAACGCGCAGCAAGTCAAAACTGGGCCGAGGCGGCATGCGAAAGTCGCACACAACGCGTGACGCAGGCAGAGCTCCTGCCGGCTCGCACTCAGAGCCCTCGGGATGCCCAGGCCCATCCTTTTTTGCCTCGGCGAGAAAGGCTATGAAATCCGCGTGTTTCTTGTCCGACTTTTGCTTCTTCATCATCTTCTTCTTCTTCTTCTCCTTGATCTCTGGTGTCTTGAGGGACTCCGCTGGCATCGCCTCCGTGTCGGACAGCACCTTATGGGATGAGCTCAGGCGTTGGATCAGGCTCCCAGACTGGCACGCTTCCGCGGTTTCCGTTCCTCCGGCATCCGCGACGTCTGTTCCGGCGTCGACCCGAAGGGTGTCGGCAGACACCCCGGCCTTGAAAGCCAAAGCAAACAAGAAGGCCACAACGCACGAGGGCTTCATGGCAATGTCAATCCAAGGTGGATTGGCGGTAGGTGAGAGGAAGGTGACTGCAGCAATCTTGCTCTTGAGCCAGGCTGAGCCGGAACGAGATCGATCACATCTACCGAGGTTCCAGCGCAAATCGTGAATTGGGCCCTGGAATTGCCAGGCTGGAGGTAATGTTGACTTCCAACGTTAAGTCCGTTAAGTCTCCTGCTGAAGTGAAACGCTCTGACGTGGCTGCCAACACAGCACATGTTCGCTGCTGCTCTCCAGCTTCATGCTGCAAAGTGAGGGGCTGGAAGACTGCAACTACATGCAACTACATACAACCAGCCTGTTGAGGATGAGCAGATACTATACAGTTCATCCGAGGATCCTCAGGCAGAGCTTCGCCTCGGGAGCCAGAACGCGGAGGATGCTCTGAAACAATCCATAAACAGCGAAGCCCTATGCCTCAAAACCGCCTATCCCCAAATCTTTCCTGGAATGCTGTGCGACTGCGACTCTCATTCTTCTGTGGCAACTGATGGTCGTCATTCGCTGGCGACGTTTGAGACTTGCATCACCTAGCTTCTGCTATCAGACGTCTCAACCTTGGTAAGGCTGAAGCCTCGAGAAGTGAACTTATATACTATAGTGTATATGGTATACTGCATAAAGTATATTGGTAGAGCATATTCAGCTGTTGGGTTTGGGGTTTTGGGTAAGGGCTTAGGGTTTAGGGTTTAGGGTTTAGGGTTTAAGGTTTAGGGCTTAGGGCTATAGGGTTTAGGGTTTAGGGTTTAGGGTTTAAGGTTTAGGGTTTAGGGTTTAGGGCTTAGGGCTTAGGGCTTAGGGCTTAGGGTTTAGGGCTTAGGGTGCCCAAAGTCATGATTTCGGACCAGCTTAGCCCTCACCAAAATAGTGACAGTTCATAGGCCATACCAACACCTGACCATAAGCTCCGAATCTGTTGATTTCCGTTCCTAGCACAAGCTGGCACGGGCAAAAATGCTTAATCATCATGGCCTTTGTAAGCGCTCAGGGGGGAACACGTCCCCGTTGGGATACTGTAGGAAACTTGGGGCCATTAGCAATGACAGGTTGCAGTCCTATTGCATTTCGTATACTGCGGTACACTGGAGCAGTCCACAACAGCAGAACTTGTGCGTAGCACGCTGCGGTAGCAGACCGCCTCTATTGGCAGAACATGTTGGCGGACCATACAATATGCTACCCTATACTATAGTATATGATGTAACGTAGGGATGCAGGAGGCTTAAAGATGTTGTCCCGCTTCCATGCTTGATGCCACGTAGAGCGCGCCCAAAAGACTGTAGACCCCACGGTGGACAACAGTCTACTACATCGAACTATGACAAGCTGCAGTTTACTATGCTATACCTGCAACACATTTTCGTGAGTTCTACAAACCGTAAACCCTTAACCCCAAACCCTTACTCCCTCAACCTTCAGCATCATAAGGCTGGCTTTTTGCCTACGCCTTACCCACTCAGCGCGTGCTGAAAGCTGGTCTCAAAAGTTAGCATGCACTGTCCCGCTGCTATGGGGCTATGCACACTGTTCTTCTTGAAGAATTAAGGCCTACAAGCTGGAGGGACTCTATTCTGTTCGACTTGTTCAGTTCATTCAGTCTGTACGGGGCTTTTGAGCTCGGAGTGCGTACTATAAAAAGTATATAGTATATAGTAGAACGTATATAGCGTACAGTATACAGCATATAGTATATAGCAGAAAGCATATAGCATATAGCATATAGCATATAGCATATAGCATATCGCATATAGCATATCGCACAGCAAAACATATAGCATATAGTAGAAAGCATATAATATGAAGTATGTAGTATGTAGTATATAATATGTAGTATGTACTATGTAGTATGCAAATGTAGTATGTAATATGTAGTATGTTGTATGTAATATTGGTATGTAATATGTAATACGTAGTATGCAATATATAATATAATCTATAGAAAGTAAAAAATATATATATATACATAGAATATAATATATAATAGATAGTATATAGTATATACTGAAAACTATATACTAAATGAAGTAAATCGTAAAGATAAAAGAAAACAATGTAGAGAAGTAGATAGTAGATAAAGTAAGTAATAGACAGAGTGTAGATAGTAGATTGTAGATTGTAGATAGCAGATAGTAGATAATAGAAAATAGATAGTAGACAGTAGATAGTAGACAATAGATAGTAGATACTATACACTCTATACAATATACTAGAAAATGAAAATACCACATATAGCATTTTTTGTACAGTATTTATGTATATGTACACTTTTTTATACATTTTTCTGGAATGGACATGCTCAAAGTGCAGAACACGTTTTTCCATGCTGACGAGAAACACTATAACACTGTGCAAAGATCTATATATATATATATATATTTGTATACATATATGTATGTGTTTCGATATTGTATTACAAAAAACACATACACATTGCACTTTTTATATTAGACATTGAGATGTTAAATGCCTGTAGATTTAGATTCTCTTCCTGCATACTTGAGCCAAGCATTGAAATGAATTCTAACAAACATGCAAAATGAATCCACTCTGCTTGCAGAAGCGCAAGCCACCCTTTTTTAAAGCGGACGCCCCTTTACCACATCAGCAGCACAGTGGGCCAGTCGACTGCGACAGAGAAAACAACTTTGAGAGTCAAACTGTGCAAGCCAGCGAGCGTAAAAGCAAGAACCTGACTGCCCCGCGGCTGGCTTTACTGTCGCACACAAACCACCAAGAACGAAAGTTGGCACTGTGTTGGGCTTGCAGAAATTGCGAACTTAAAGCCCATGGACCTGGAACCAGCAGGGAAAGAAATCTTGAATCTGAAGCCTGTGGGCCCTCAAATCTCGAGCCCAGAGGAATCCGGGCTGCCTCTCTTCTTTCATGTGAAAAGAATTTTAACGCCGCAGCTGGCTCCAAGTCCTCTTCATTCTCTATTCAAAACGTCACGACGGACTCGACCGCTTAAGATGATCCTCAAGCTATTCTTGCTGCGCAAGTTTACTTCTCGATCCTCAGAAAAGCCTCAATGATTCTGAGCTTTCAAAGTTTTATGATAAAGTCCTAAAAGGCCTTCTGCGTGACATTGCAAGCTGACGTTGGTCTCCAGCGGGCAAGCAAACTGGAGGGCCTTGAGAAGCTTGAAACCTTCGGCAAAGTCTGAGGCTCAAAGATGATGTTTCGTGTGCAGCTGAGTGAACGCTTCCCACCATTTAAACATTACCAACGCCCTTCAAGAAGACAAACTAACTCGTTCACAAGGCTTTCGCTGGGGGCGTCGATCTTCCCTTTATCTTCTTCTTCTTTGGGCCATTGGGCGCATGACGCATGGACTCAAGTTCCGGGCCGGCGCAACACGCTATCTTCGCCAAACCCAAGCCCCCGCCAAAAGCTTTCATTCTGCAATGTCCAGCAGGCGACTTGCACAACCACAGAAAACGTTGAAGCCACGTTAGTCAACTTCCCAGAGCTTGAAGCGCGACTCCTGTCCACAGAAAAATTCAACAAAGACTGAGATACCTGCTTGGCTGGTTTTCCAGGACGAAGCGCAAGTTACGGCTGTCGGGCAACCCCACTTTTCAGGTCTGCGAAACACAAGCAATTCTAGCTTTGCCACCTCCACAGTTGCAGTCCTTACTGCAGCATTGCAACAGCAGGTGCAACAGCTCCCACGCGCTTAACACGACGCTGCCCTTTTTTTTGGACTGACGCCTCTTTACTACATCAGTAGCACAGTAGGCCGGTCTTGTTGGGCTCGACGTAAAGGGTGAAACAAAGTCAGCGCACACGGGGGTATTTAAGTACTCCCCCGGGCGGTCGCCGGGCCCATCCTCAGTCCGGTAAATGTACCCCCGGACACCCCCCCCGCACCCCCCCCACCCCCCCCTCCCCCGTAAGATGGACACTTAAAGGCTATGCTGCACGTGCGTGCCTTGTAAACAAATACTTTACAAAGGAAACACCCGCAGAATAGACGCAACGCACCCGCAGAATAGACGCAATGCACCCTTAGCATCAGCGCACTGTGTCCTGGACGAAAAAGGCGCGGAGGGTGCGGAGGGCGCGGAGCGCGCGGAGGGCGCGGAGCGCGCGGAGGGCGCGGAGGGCGCGGAGGGCGCGGAGGGCGCGGAAGGCGCGGAGGGCGCGGAGGGCGCGGAGGGCACGGAGGGCGCGGAAGGCGCGGAGCGCGCGAGAGGGCGCGGAGGGCGCGGAGGGCGCGGAGGGCGCGGAGGGTGCGGAGTGCGGAGGGCGCGGAGGGCGCGCGGAGGGCGCGGAGGGCGCGGAGGGCGCGCGAGGGCGCGGAGGGCGCGGAGCGCGCGGAGGGCGGGGAGCATGCGGAGGGCGGGAAGGGCGTGGAGGGCGCGGAGGACGCGCAGGGCGCGGAGCGCGCGGAGGGCGCGGAGGGCGCGGAGGGCGCGGAGGGCGCGGAGGTCGCGGAGGGCGCGGAGAGCGCGGAGCGCGCGGAGGGCGCGGAGGGCGCGGAGGGCGCGGAGGTCGCGGAGGGCGCGGAGGGCGCGGAGGCGCGGAGGGCGCGGAGGGCTTGCAAACGCGGACACGGAGGAACATCCACGTGTCCCCACTCCCCTGCCCATCACGGGAATGTCACGCTCCCCGCCACGCCCCTCTCCCAGCAAAATGTTCCGAACCCTCTCCCTTGACCGTGTCGTCCCCGCGGCCTCACGTCAAAACTCCTCCAAGAAGCGGTCCGATAGAACGCCTCTAACGAGAACCCAATTTCAGAATTTGTTTCCCAAGAAAACAAAGAGCACGCGCAGAATAGACGTTAAGCGTCCAAGGCACCCCCCCCCCCCCCCCCCCCCCCCCCCCCCCCGCCCCCCCCCCCGACCCCCTCCCGAGTGCGCCTAGGGCTCCCCCCCCCCCTCCCGAGCGACCGGGTAGTTCGGGGGGTGGGGGGAGGGGGAGGGGGGAGGGGGTCGGGGAGGGGGGTCGGGGGGGGCGCGGGCGGGAGGCGCTGCACTGGG